TGCCCGGATGTACTGCGCGTCTGATACGAGCTGTTCAATCGAAGTGATATGTACGCGGTGTGTGCGGTTATAACGTCTCACGTGACAAATCCCGCTTAACAAAGCGATATATTTTTCTGGACGCGATCCCCAACGCGAGATAATCTTATTTTCTTCTTGAATTTTTGACGATCTCATTCTTCTCTTTAACGAGCCGCTTCATAATGCACATATTCATCTTGGAAAACAGAAGAGAAAAACGCGCGCGTTTATTATTTACTTTACATTTACCCTGTTTAATACGCGATGCTTAAAGAAAGTCGTGCAAAGTTGGAAAAGACGTTCCGAACACTTTCGAGCTTGTTAATTTCGAGATAAATTATTCCCGTGCGCAAGTTTTGCAAGAAGACGGGGGGAATGATAATGGACGCTCTTATTTCCCAGAGGGGTTCTTTCTTGAACAACACCGATCGGCAAAGACGGTTTTGCGCGATCACGCCGAGCTATGTATCCCGCGGGCCGAAGTGCGCTTCGCGTTTCGAGGCGGACTAATTTATGCGCGGGAGCAGCTTCGGCGAAACCCGTTACCGTGTACGGCGTAACTTACAACATGCGACGAGACGTATCTGCGATGTAAATCGTGCCGTAGGTAACAACACACACACACACACACATACACATACGTGCGCGGTATCTCTTTGTTGTCGTCGAGACAGGTCTCTTGAAAATTATAGGCCTGTCTCTTCCTGGCTCTCTATCCACTCTATAGTCAGGACCCACCCCTTCTCTCTCTCTCTCTCTCTCTGTCTCTCTCGCGAAAACCGCCACGATCGTGGAAGATTTGTTGCAAGTAACGTCTTCCTGACTTTCTCGGTCGCGCGCAAGAGACGGAAAGTTTGGTCCCGGGACTCTTGCCGCGCGAGTCGACTTCGTCTCGCAAAGCACGTATATAAAGGAGTTTAAAGCCTGATTTATTGTGACGACCGGCGCTACTGAGGGCACGCCGAAATGCAAGCAGACAGGCCAATGTGCCGCGCGACAAGGGTACAGAGATGTGATCTATTATAGGCACTAAGTCTATTTCGGATTATCTGACACGAGGACGCATGCCTGTGTAATGCGTTGACGTCACGAGAACCGTCGGGATAATGTAATGCGATATACGTCGCCACCGGAGCACGTCATCCGGAATCGCGCAAAGTAATCCTCCTGCAAGAAGGATGCATTTGCCATTCTATCTAACGTCGTCTCGGCGAATATTTCTATTTACCTGACTTTTTTTTAACAGGAGATATTTTATAAATTACTTTATATATAATATCTATCTATATATATACGCGTACAAAACCGGTTTAATTAAGAATAGAAATTTAAAAAAATTTTCTAATTATATTATATAACAAACATTAATGAGATTCAGATTCGTACAAGAAAAAGTTTCATGTCGAACAAATTCGTCAAATCTGCTTTGCGCAAAGTTAGCAGAGAAACTCTGATTTGTTTGCAAGTATCTCTTGATTTGGTGGTTTTTCTCTTATTTTATTTTAGTGAAGTTTCTCTCTCTCTTGGTTTATTTCAACATACAAGATCCTGGTGAAACCCTTAGTATCAAAGAGGATCGAAAGAACGGGAACGAAAATTGGAAGAAAAGAAAAGTGGCCAATCAAGATTGTCGTAAAAAAACCTAGAGAGAGAGAGAGAAAGAAAACGTGGAGGGATGGTTGCCCTAGCGGAGAAAAGTTGAGTTTTGTACACTTCGGTCTATAACGAGCAGAAGAAGTTGTTCCAGATCAGAAAACTCCAAGAGTTGTTTGATTAACAAATTGGTGAAAGTGGATCGATACATTTAGACGCGGAATAATTGTGGAAATTTAGTTGCGTGTCACGTTTTTTTACAATACAAGTCTTATTTTCGTCAAGTGTTATTTATCGATGTGATGAAAACCAATATGTTATCTGTATATTTTGTATGTCAGAGTATCAAACAAATAATAACGTTTCTAAAAACAATTGTATTCTAATTCCACCACGTGTGTTTTATTTTGCATTATCTGCTTATTATTATCTGTTTGTGTGGAGAAAATATTCTAAAAAACGATTTCGCATATATTCACGTAATACATGTATGTATTTTTTGACACACATGAGAGTTCTTCATTTCGCCACATCCCGGCCATATTTTTTCCTGCCCTTGAATTCTACATACGTGAGCACAGACAACTTGGTTCAATCGGAGATAAAATAAATGTATGAAAAGAGAGAGAGAGAGAGATAAAACATAAAAGAAGAAAAGAGTAAAAAGAAAAATTGTAATCGGCAAGGGAACTCGATAAGCTTTTCTTTGGGGGAAGAAGTGAATAGGTCATCGGTTACGCGAACGTATGAGTTTGGAATTCTCTTGCAGAAAGAGAAGATTTTCTCAATATATATATAAATATTTTACGCGTATCTTCCACACGCATTAGATTTATGTTTACTGTGTACGCACACTTCGCATACAAAATTTTATCTTTTTCGCGCGGGGACAATGTTACGTGTATGTATAAGTAATATTTCTTGCTTCCATTTTCGTATTACCTTTCCCGGATAATCCAACCAAAGGATTTCGGAAAGATATGCTCTATTTATCTTCATATTTTATCGAGTTACACGTAGAACTATTCTCCGTAATGCGGCAAGGATATAAAGAGAAGACAACAAAGAAAACAAAAAAAAAAAGACGTCCCAGACAAGGTCGTACAAAACTCAGAGAGATATAAACATCAATCCTGGGTGGTTTTCTTATATATGCAAAGATACACACACACACACAAATCCATTTCCGCTTTTAAGAAGCTATCACGCGATGAATAATACTTTTAGGGTAAGAAGCGCGCACAGACTTTGTGGAAACATTTCTCCGTCTTTCGGACTTCTTCTACGAAGATTTCCGAACTCGCGAAAACCGAAACTCAATCCTGTGAGCAACGAAGAAGCTTATTTCTCTCTCTCTCATTTTGCATTTCTTTTTTTTTCTCTCTCTCTCTCTCTCTCATTCGCGATATCGCGAAGAGTTATGGCGATGTCGGTTGCCCCGACCGTCTACTTGGTAATAACGCGAAATTGATCACGGTTTTATCAACTTCGAGCCGATCGCGCCATCGACAAGTTTTATTAACGACGTTACAGATGCGCGGCGAACGTTTTTTCGCGTTTGTTAAACAAATATAATGTTTTGCAAAATACGCACAGACCCGATTGCGTGGGTAATTATTTCAAATAATCCTATATTAAAAAAGGCATTTGGACCGAGACGTGCGCGTTTGGAGTCGAATATATCGCACCTATTGTTGCCTCTTTTCCGCGTTGCTGATTGGTTGGTTGGTTGATCGAGTCGAATCGAATCGGTAAGATCGAGAGAGTAAATAATAAAAGCGATTTTGAGACAATCTTTTCGTCGTATATGTAGAGAAAATTAAAAACGTAACTAAAGTCACGTGACAGGAAAGAATAGAAAAACAACACGTAAAAATAACGTGACTGTAATTTATATTATATATAACATTAAATAATACATATTATACATATAATTTATTATATATTTATAATATTATACTTTATATTGTATTATATGTATTATATACATACTACAGAGTAATGTCACTGACCTCGGCCGCGCGGCCTTGGCGGGGTCACTGACCTCGGCCGCGCGGCCTTGGCGGGGTCACTGACCCGGCCGCGCGGCCTTGGCGGGGCACTGACCTCGGTCGCGCGACCGCGGCGGTATACTGACTTCGGTCACGTGATTACGGTATATATATATATATGCGTATGTGTGTGTATTATATATAGATATAGAATATTACAGATAATATATATAATATAAGACGTATATACTATCTGTCATCGCGGTGACAGGTTGTGTTCACTGACAACACGTTAAATAAAAATAACAATAGCGTGCGCGTAGCGCGCGCCTGTGTTGTGCTAGTTGTCACAAAAAGAGTCAATTCTCGATGGAAAAATAAGACTCTTCGTGTTATTGGCTTGGTAGCCAGTCGAGTGAAACGGCGTTGATGTCATTTTCTTTTTTTATTTACTTTTCGCTTTTCTATCGCGGAAACGAGAGATCCGGATTTTCCCCGGGAGTTTTTCGTCTCAGCAAATTTCTCAGAAAATTATTATACGATATTCACCGACCCTCGCGTCTTTATACATCCTCGCAAATCCTCGATCATCGTTTTCTTGCAGTCGAGCGGAACTCGCATGTGCATACGAAGCACATGGCGCTTCAAAGTTCCACGCTTCAAGGGATTTTCGAAGAGAGAGAAAGAGAGAGATCTTTGCTCAAGCGGGACAAGTAACTTTACGAGCGATCTGGTAGCCATTTTATCACCCGACCACCCTTAACATCGGTCGGGTGTGTTTGCGCACTTGCTCGTGAGGGCTGTAAAGCGCACAATGCACCCCGACGTAAATTTCCGCAATTGGCGGCCTCGTTAATTGTCGGCGTGCCGCAATCAGTTCTCAGAATCCTACTTAAGACAAAGATCAAGGCAATTGCGGCCTCGAGAAGATCGCGTTTACATCGAAAATTCCCTATATGCTACTAATCTCGCCTGAACGTGATCAGCCGGCCACGTCGGATTTATAGGCGGTCATTACGCGGTAGTCCGCGTTAAATCCAGAAAAATGAACTCATTAACTCTTGATTCCACGATTCGATCCGATCTCAAACGAACGAGAGGCCGTACGCAATTGATTTGACGCTGTTAGTTAGAAAACTAGTTACACAGTTGCGATTATCCTGCTGAAAGCTTGCGAAAGAAGATGGGAAACAAAAATTATCGCCATTTACATTCGCTGGAAAAAAACGTATAAATATATATCTCGCGCCCCAAAAAATTGCATTTTCCGCTGGTTCTTTCTCATCCCCCGCGTCCTTTCTTATATACGCAATACGTTCCGTGTGCACGCCACTCGGAACTTCCGCAATTTCGCGCATGAAACTAACGCATGTGTCTCTTCTTTGCCTGTTTCAGATACTAACACAACCGCGACTCACAGCACACTAACCAACTACGACTACTTTTGCGAGAGACCAGGGCGTTATGATCTCGTCCGGGATCTCGCGCGTCAACGCTCTAAGCATTGAATGAGAAAAGATTTTATTGTGTGTGCCTTGCGCAATAAAGATCCAGTTTTTGTGGGAATGAATAAGCCGCATGTATGATTTAATGTACATATTGCCGAGCTACTAAATAAATCGTGGGTCACCATACTACGGTCCACGGATATCGTGGGTATTGTTCTGAATCTTTTACTTCTGAAGAGAATAGGCGACGTGTTCACACGCGTGTCAGGGTGAGCATTCAAGTACATAATTCTCGCACGAAATCTTTCTCTGTGTTTTTTATATTTATTTTCAAACCTTTTCTCTCATAGAAAAGACATATGTGTGTATGTAGAAAAAATACGACAAAATAAAACAACTGTCCCAATAATCGGACGTGTCTCAACGTCTAGACACATTGATTAGAAAAATAATTATTAGATGTGTAAATTATAAACATAACTCAATGGTTTAAGTATTATTTAAGATATGTTTTTTAAATATTAGTTCTTAACTTTACACAAAATGTAAAATAGCAGATTATTTATTTAACAAATATTTGATCGATATGTGTCCGATCATTGGAACAGTTGCCTTAAATATCCGAAAAAATATCAAATAGGGAAGGATGCTTTGTCCATGAGAATTGTGTAAGAATATTGTGTATATCGAAGTATAAAATTCTCACGGGCGAAAAGATGTTTCCGCTCGAGATCGCGGCTCTTGCAAATTGTCGGCCATTTGGCGTGACTTCGAGGGGTGCAGGTGTATCCGGTCGGAAAGTCCGCTTTTAGCGGCAACGGACGGGAAAGCGCGGGAAAGGCGCAAGAAAATTCGCCGACAACGCGCGTTTGTATGCGGGACGCAAGAGAAATCGATGCGGTGGCAGAGGTGCCGCGGCAAAACATACAAAAACATCTCATCTGTATACACCATTCAATTCTTTTGTAAAGATCGCCGGTGCAGTATAGCTCGCGATGTTTGTATCCGCCTTTATGGGGGCGGATATAAACTCTCTCGACGCAGTTGTACTTCAACGATAAGTACGTAATGCATTTACGTACTTAGCTGATGCGGTTGCGCGCGTAATATCGAAATAAACTTTCGACGAATTGTAACAAAGTTCGTGTGCAAAATTACAACTTGCGTGGTTAGAACGAAGTAAATCGTGACAACAACAAGCGGGACGCAAAAGAGAATAACGATAATTGAAGACGCGAGGGAGAGTTGGAAGTTACGTATGTAAAGCGACGGGATATAGAGTATGAGAAAAGTCTCCCAGGATGACAATCCCCGCGAAATGGCTTTGCAGAGTACTCCGAGAAAGCCTGTGGCGACTCCGAAGGCGCACACGAGCGGGGCCCTCGTCGAAAAGAAGGGGCTCCGCGGAGGAAAGGCCGCGCAAACGTATCTCTGGGTTCGTCGTGGTGTTGTCCGCCGGGAGTGGCGGTGGCAGTGGTGACGGGGGAGGTTGCAGACGCCGTGATTTGGAACGTCGAACTGGTGGCGGTCAGGGTGCTCCCTGCCTTGCCACCATCAGTTCTTCTGTCGCAGGAAGCGCAGGGGGTTATGGCCCCGTGGTGGGGCTCCCCTCCTATAAGAAGAGACAAGGTATTTTTTTCCGTCGCGATTGAAAAGATACGAGAATATGAATGAAAGAATTTTGCAATAAAGTGTTTTTTGAACTCCGTAAATAAGTGATTTTTGTTAATTTATTTATAAAGTAGTTTAAATTTTAATAGCGAGATTTAACGATTTGAAAAATTTAACATCTTGTGAAACAAGTGAAAGAATATAGTAGAGTAATAATTTACAATAATGTTATCGCAAACAACAAGCAATTTTGGTATACATCAAGTTGTATTAAACTCATTTTAATTTATTACGTAAGAATTCTCTCTCCAATTTCCCAATTAATTATCCACGCGCAGAATGTGACGTCCACTCGCGTTATACATTATTTATGGCAAACGGTTCTCTTGCGGACATCTATATTTCATGTCGCAACCACTTCCCTTCGTTATATTACGTAGGTTATTATAAAGTTTTCAAGAGTGCAATGTAGTCGTAAATGCAATTAAAAATTGAGAGGGACAATTAAGTTTGTGGATTTTTCTTTTTTCGAACTGAAAGTTATCGTATTTTTGTGTTGCACAGTAGAACGCGTGTTTCGAGCAAACGAACACTCGAACGTGTCCAAAAAAATCACTGTTTATTCGACCAAGTGAGAATTCGGTTGCGATAACATTGTTTGTAACATTAAAATTGAGTTTGCTCGCGTCCTACTGTTTCGCGAAAACTCGCTGAGATTTTGTTTATAAAAAATAAAAAAAGAAAAAGAAAAAAAAAGAAAAACTATCCACGGCTCGCTAAATCGAATCATCGAAACCTGATTACGTGCTTACGTCTTCGAAGGCAGCGGTACTGTTTGGAGCCGCGGAAGTCGCGGACGCGGCAGAGGTCGCGGGGGCGGCGCGAGCCCCTTCGGTTCCGGCGTCGCCCCCGCGAATTGCACACCGCAAGGCGTTGCACCTGAGGTCGTGAACATACTCGCCGAGAGGAATCAGGCTGGCGCCCTGACGGGTGTGGGACGACCGCCGCCGGCGACGCTGGATATCGATGGCACGAGCGATGAGGAACAGGCAACCTCCAGCAGGAGACCGCCGAGGCCTCTCTACAAGAGATTTATCAGCTACATGAGGGAAGCTTGGACCGGCGTCAAATTTGCCTTAGGTATATTTATTGTCAGATTTATCAGTGTGAAGCCATTAAGTTATCGTCGCACGGATGTGTGTAGATACGTATCTAGGATTCTAAGTCCTGGTACGTTACTTTCGCGGAGAGAAAGGGTTACGAAATAATTAAACTTGTTCCAAGAAAAATACGTGAAGTTAGAACTGACTTTTTCAGTTCAGATTAATCTATCTTTACACTTTGGCTTTGTGAAAAAGTTTCAGACATCCTGTACGTGTGTGCGAAAATGCAAGCGTGGAAAGCAATCTCTCTAGTTTTTTGTTACTCGAGAATCAAGGATCCGTACGGGAATCGCACACAATTTAGAATTTTGTACCGTACGGGAATAACATTTCATATTTTACCAGACCGTTGTATCGGAAGACGAACGAACTGGTATATCGACTAGAATACCAGCGTCACTGTAGCTTGCGCATAGGATACGTTTTCTATCGGAAGGACAAAATGACTGGCTTCTTCGGGAAAACGCGAAAGCCTTCGGGAGTTTTCCCTGACGTTTTAACCAACGCTCCGCACGCTACTCACATGTCTTGCTCGGGCCTCATCTATGTTGCATGATATTTCTTGGTTCTTTCGTACCGAGAAACACGCGCTCGCTTTCTACGTGCAAAGTTCATCGTCGCATTGCTTTTTCCCACGGACCTTTTTCACACAAACTCGTCAATAAATCGGTGCGAAATTAGGAGCCTGCCGGTGACCCGTTCATTCAACTTTTATCGATACAAGTTGTAACATATATGTTTTCGCGTTATCGACACAGGCGTAACTCTCAGTGATTTTATCGTTAAATATTGCTTGGATACGTTTAAGAGAATTTTGTATGCGAACTCTTCGAATCCGATGAATAGCCTCACCCTTCCGACACAACAACAAGTTGCAATTTATTTGCAACGCATGCATAATGCAAATATAAAAAGCTCCGGAAACAAATATAAAAAAACAACTTGCGATGCATAATGCATCGGAAAATTTTCGCAATCCCTACGGAATAATGTTGCGTATAATCGCTTGATGTGCGCATAAAATAACAAATTGATTATGTAGATAATTACCCGCATTACGCTGAGAGATTTCGACATGTGTGTGAGAGAAAACAACAACTTTTTTATAGATAGATAAATTTCGGTTACGATGTTACCAGATGTTGGGGTATATAAAAATATTGACTTGTTAAACTTGTCAACTTTACTCTTCTTAACTTTTGAATAATAGTGAGCTCAAATGACAAACGCTTTAATCTTTCACTTACCAACCTCATCTAGAACTATATTTGACAAATATACAAAATTAAAACTTTTGAGAGTATAAAAATTTCACAAAGTTAAATTTCCTAAGAAATAAATTATTAAAACAACTAATATTTGATGAGAATTAATTTTAGAAAGTATATTATTAAAAAAAACAAACAAAGTTATCATAGCGTAAAGATAGAACGTGACAGAAACTTTCTCTTTCACGTTCTTTATAATTGTGATTAAAGAAAGAAAACATTTGAAAAGCGATGAATATTTATTTTTAGAAATGCGAAACAAAAAAGGATTAGACCGGGAACGTGAGAAATTTCACTTCAATCTCGTTAAATATTTACACTTATTGCCCGGCACAGTCAATGCTGTTATTTGTATACCTCATAGTCGCTGAAGTCGTCCTTTTATCACGCAACACTCCGGAGACGCGATACCCACGCAAAATCCCGAGAGGCGGAATGAGGGGTCGCCCGACTTCATGAAAATTCATACAGGTACAGGTGCGGTTTCATCCGCAAATTACATTTTCGCTGACAAATTTATGGGGGAAATATCTGGAACCGACATCGCGTCATCCGTCTAACGATATCAGCGTGCGAAGGTCGGGCATAACACCGTAAACGCCCCTGTGAACATTTGTATTCGCTGACTGTTTCTCGGTCGCGCGCGATACTCGTAACTTTATTCACTGATAAATTAGTCCGCAAGCTATGTACACGCACGGTATCGATTGTATGTTTGTAAATTATCGCGGTTAATTGAGCTTTCGCGTTTACGAATTCCAATAACTCAAGTTTAAAACAAACGGCAACATAATAAACAATATAAAATCAAATTTTGCTTGTCATTTGTTACGAGCGCGCCTGGATTGTAAAAACGCGCATATAAAATTCGAGAATGGAGAAGTTCTGCTCGGAACGTAATTACATTTTCTTCTCCGACGCGGTCGGCCTTTTAAAAAAAAAAGACGGAGATTTTTACACGAGACACCGCATAAATTAATCTGATTATGCAAAATCCTATCTCGCTTGTTCTTAAAGACACGAATATCGTAAAGCGGATTTTTTTGTTTTTGTTTTCAACTTCAACGTGTAAAAATACGAAGCGAACCGGCTGGGAATTGCCTCTCTCTAAATCCATTTATAATCGAAGTGCAAGGCGAACATAATATTCTCGCTAGTTAATCCACATTTTATTTACAGGATAAATAAAAGATAGATTTAAAAAACAAAACCGGCGTATTTACACGGAATAATAACGCAAAAAATTCAGGAACGCTCGTATAGAAAAAGCGTTTCTGCGGAATTACTCATAAACAGTCAAATATCCGCGTTCAATTTGCGAGTGCAATAGATTCCTGCGGGATCACCGTCTATGAACGTTCATCGACGAGAAACTTCAGCAACCCTGGGAGCTTTTAACGGGTATCAGAGACCGAAAACGTGCGCGGCCGCTTGTTCGACGGCAACGGGAGCATTCCGCGAGGAATGCCTTTCATCTCTTGCACAGATCCAATATCTCGAGAGAGAGAGGGGAGACGACACCGACCGTCCATGATTCGGGTCTTCATTTCACTCCCGGACCATCATCCGGAATGAGACGTAGAATGGAAACGGATGTTCGCCTCGCCGTTGACCCTATTTACGCTCGGTCAAACCGACCTTTTGCTTGGAAAGTATACGACACAAAAGAAAGAAAGAGAAAAAAAAGAGAGAAAAAGAAAGAAATGACACAAGGAAACAAGTGCGGAAAGCATCATTGAGATTAAATTTGAAGTTTCTTTTGTTCCAGCGTCCGTCATCTCATTGCGGGGATAATAGCGCGCAGAATTCGGGAACATTTCAGGAAATTCCGCGCAATAATATCGTTAATTGCGATGGGAAAGGGACGAGAGTTGGTCCCACGGTTCCTTAATATTGCTGAACTAAAAGCCGCTGTTCTAATTTTCTATGCTGTGTGTACAGTCTTTATCGCGATTAATAATTACGTAACCGAGATAAGTTGCGCCAGTGGAACTATTACGTTATTAACGAGAACAACATTTCATTATACAATTTTTATATTTTCTAAACTATGCTCCAAAAATGCGTCATTAACGATTTCATAAGAGACACTTGTAGTGTTATTTTATTTTTATTTAGACGCATTATTATTTTCAATTTTCTTATGTAATTTCTTTTTTAATTTAGTCGCTATAAATTCTCAGTAAAGAATTATCGTAGTTTTAGATACGCACCAGATGTTCTCCTTCCGAGCATCTGTTGTTCGAAAGATCGTTTGGCTCCACTTCTTGTCCTTTTTTTTTCTTTTGTCTCTTGCTTCTCGTGTCACATCTGAAGATTGAATCTGAGAAATTCAGTACTGTCGAATCGAACGAGACCATTCGATTTAAATTCCAACACCATATTTGCTCTTTCTCTCTCTTTTCTCTCTCTCTCTCTCTCTCTCTCTCTCTCTCTCTCTCTCTCTCTCAGCTTACGCACGGTTTCCGGTGAAAAACATAACGTAAGCTTCACGTGGTGGCGGCGTGGTATAAAAGTATTTCGAATTTCCGCTCTGAATCCAAATCTTCCGTATGCACGATGCAAACGCACCGATTTCCATCGCGCGCATGCCGCCGGTGTTACGCGATGCGAAAAGAATTTATTGCGAAATCACTTTTGGAACTTGTGTTGCCTGAAGTCGCCGAGAATTCGTTTTCGGTTCTAAAAACACATCGCGAAAACATTGTTGTCATGTGAACTCGATGTTTTTTCAGCAATATTGCAAAAACCACATTTTTATTCTTTCGAATTGATCTTAGGTTGTTTTTAGAGTACACAAAAATAACAAAAGGAAACATACAAAAACGCGCACTCGAGCGTCGACGTTTTAAGAAATTGTAGCGACGCTAGTTTGCAGCGCGAAATATGATATATACGTTTCGCGAGCTCGTCGTCGGTAGAGCATCCTCGATCGCACGCGGTTCGTCTCATCTTTGATCTCGCGACGTTTTCGCCGTTTCGAATGAAATCCTATAAATATTGCATGAGCCTCGCGCGATATAGAACTGATCGCTCTCGTGAGTTACAAAGGGTGATTTTCGGAATCTCGTCGCAAATACTGTCGCAGCTGTTCGCACCTCTCTCATAAAAACGTCTCGCGCTTTCCGAAAATACGTTCGGGGTCTTTGGAAAGATCGACGGATTTCTTTCCGTCGTGATAAAGAGAATCGTCTCATGGGAAATAAGACGCAGTAATGCGGCTGCTCACGTACCTCTCACGAGCAAGCGAAACTTCATGAACTTCATTCCGGATTTCCGACAGTGCATTCCGGATTTCCATCTGGCGCGTGTTCCATGGTAGACGCCAATTATGTGCCGTGCGACGGAGATCGTCGTACATTACAACTGACTTATGTAATCCCATGGTATAAGACAGTCGTTGCGCGATCTATTATTTTCATGTTTGAAATTTCGTGTCGGTTGTATATTTGTTAACAACATATTGTTTGGATTTTCTTTCGCGAACCGGAGAACAATCTCTCCGCGTTTTCCGCGTTATTTTTACAACGAACAGACTCCGCGATCAATGTGCGTTAATGCGCTAGAGAGCGCGCTGGAAACTGGAATTATTGCACCCGAGCGGGTGTACAACCGCGAAGGAAAATGTGCGAAATCATATAAACAACGGAAAATAATTATCCATCTGGCACTGCTTTGTTCTCCAGATGCCTCATTCTCAAATGCGTCTCTCGCGCGAAGAGATAAAGTAAATATTGTTAACTCCCAATAGACACTGAAGTCTAATGGACTCCGCCAACTCGTACGTACATATATGTGTGTGTGTGTGTGTGTATATATATATATGTATGTGTATTCGAACGTATAACAAACTTGTGCGAATTTCTGAAATTATGCTCCCGGAACATTCCGATTACAACTTCGAGATGTATTGTGCTTTATGTGAATATTTTCTTAAACGTAAACTAACAAAACCAAAACGTACAGACAGAACGCAACTCCAACTCTGAAACAAATCGTTGTTTCGGAACTTTCACGATGATGCGACGAATTGCAAACGATTGCAATATCGGGATACACGGGAGTTTTGAACATTGCGATTCAATCTCAGATTTTTACCCGCGATTGCAAACGCGTCATCGGATACGGACTTATATATACTCGTGTGTGTCGAGTGATGTATCGCACACTGAAAAAAAAAAAAAAAAAAAAAAATTAGAACTGCGAGATACAGTATCAGGAAAACGATGAACGAGTTATTGAGCGCGGCAATAACGTCTGAGAAAGATAGTTGCGTCGATTCGGGATTTTAGATATGAGTTTTATGTGTTCGGTTTTTCCACTTGATAGCAATAAATTATTAGCTGCGCGAAGTTTTTTTTAGTTTTCGAATTATAAAAAAACTCGTAAAAAGTACTCGAGTAAAATTTATAAGTTCTTTTCAATTTTTCTGATGCTTCTTGATTAATGTGTTAGAAAAAAAAAAAAAACAAAGTTTGTATAAATACACGTTTTGCGAAGTAAACCCGAATTCGTTGGTGGCGGACATTTTGTCCATTTTACAGACTTTACGTTGATAAATGTGTCGCTCGTAAATTTGCCCGGAATAGAAATCTTCGTGAAACGTGTAGCATTTCGTCTTGAGCTAAGCTTTCAGCGAAGTTCTTTAATCTTGTTAAGAAATCCGTCGGTCAGACGGATCCGCGATATACGCGAAAAGGAATTTGTGCCGATTTCTTTTCCCCCCGTGATTAACACGAACATCGTTCCGTCTTTTGTACCTTCGCAGACTCGGAATACGAGGAGGAGCAAACACCGAGATACAGGCCGGACTCTTTGGCAAGCCTTTGTCGAGCGACCAAATTCACGGAGGACGAGCTGAAGAGGATATATCGCGGCTTCAAGGCCGAATGTCCGTCGGGAGTCGTCAAGGAGGAAACTTTCAAGTGCATCTACTCGCAATTCTTCCCCCAAGGAGGTGAGTTTCAGATTTTGAGCGTACACGAGTGATATTTTTTCCGCGAGTTGCTGTGGTGTGACGCAAAAAAAAACGCAATATATTTAATTAACAATTTTAAGTCGTTGAAGTATCTTTTTATCTCGCTCAAATTGATAAAAGAAAAACTCAAAGGTAGCTGTCACGTATTTCTATCGTAATGCAACCTGTACAACTTGTGAGAAACACGCAATATTCTTAATAACAATTTAAAACATTTTTTATCCTTCCATCGCTTTAATTGACGAGAAAAAGAACTCAAAAAAAGAGCTGTCACATATTTCTTGCCGCTTAAGACCGCGTGACGGGAAAAAGAAAATGTTTTACTGTTTTATATCGTTTTATATATGTGTGGCTCGGGTTAACCGAGCAAGAATTTCTTTTCCCGGTGAGAAAAAGTGAAAAGCGTGACACTCGCGCGCGCTTATATCTTCAAAGATGTGTTATTACACTTTCGCCGCGCGGTTGACGTTTTAAACGCGCGATATCTGACGCAGATGGTTTTAATAAATCTTCCGGTAGAATTTGTAATTAACAACAATAGCCGACACGTTTTCCCAGTATTGTTTTTTCTCTTGTTTTTTTCCATATCGACACGATTTTTTAATAAACAACACAGAATCGCGTTTTTTTTTTTTTTTAATTCACGATGCGGAAGAATTCGGTAAAAGCCAGAACACGCAACGTTTATTTTTTGGGGAAAAAAAATCGGGGTGATGGTGCATACATACACGTTCAGAGTTTATTTATTTGCCGCGCGAATTTATGCGGATTTAAATTTCTTCACTGCAACGAGAGAGAGAGAGAGAGAGAGAGAGAGAGAGAGAGAGAGAGAGCAGCGGCGAGGATCGAAGAACATCGACATGAAGAGGAAAAGAGAACGATCCAACAACAACTACAGAGATAACTACCTAGAGGGGACCTTGGTTGAACGCGGTTGCATGTAGCCATGGTAACGAATTCCCGAATCAAAATGACACTGGTGTGTTTCAAACGTTACCTTTTATTCCACGTTCGCATGAGAGATATGGTTATCCACGAGCAACGCGTGTTCCGCGCATTAAACTTGATAAAATTCGCGCGTTTCCGTAAATTACGTCCGTCGCGCCGCGCGTTTTAATTAAAATCAATGAACTCCCCCGTACGTGCGACGTGCACGCGCGTATATAGGAACGTCAAGTGCACTTTGCAATTTAACATTTACTCCAGATTCTTCAATCGGACTTGCAATTGTTTCATATTATTTCTTCAACTCGAAATCCCCTCGCTCTGTCGCGTGAGAATTTCATTAAGATTCGTGTTTCCTCGAAAAAGAAATTTGATTTGTATTAAAAAAAAAAAAGAGAAATATTATTTAATTATTTTATAATCCGCTCTTCCACCTGAGTCGTTTGTATTTTGTTTATTTTTATTCTATTTTATCTTTGAATTTTAGTCACAACAGATCCAAAGTTCTTTTTGATTTTTTGAGGAAAAAAAATAAACTGAAATTGCTCTCAAAAATAAAACAATCTGAAATAAAAAAGATTCACGAGTAAAAAACCTTCATTGTTTTTTACGTACGTCGCATGTCGTATAAAATTCTCATGACACAAACAGGCATTCGCGTTAACAAGAGCGTTATGATGTAAAAAAAAAACAAAAAACGCGACAGATTTTTTGGTTGTGTATATATTCACATAAATAAACGTCTGTAGTGTAACAACGTGAAGCGTTTAAAGCTTCCTGTCGTCTGCAACACTTCTCGTGCTGGAAGATTTTTATATCTGCGGATATTTTATTAACGTACAGCTTTGTGGATATCATGATTTGTTTGTCGCCTTGATGTATAAGCAGAATCAAACGCGAATTTACGGGCGGATCTAGAAAATCCTTGAGAAAAAAAAAACATTCTCACGGAATAGACGACTCTAGGCATTCGTCCGTCTTTAGTGCTTACTATATTTCACAATTTACAGCAATTTATGTTCGCCGTTCCGCGAGAACCGTATATACTGTTCGAAGATGGTATTATCGAGCTGAAAATTCTTCCGGAAAATACACGAAGTATTGAAAAATGTGTTGAGCACGAGAATCTAAGGCCGCTATTGAAGAGCGGTTCTTTTGAAAACGCGAAGCGTGTGCAAATAGATTGCGCGACAAGAAAAATTTTAAATATCTTTGTGAAGAAAAATGGGATAGAGATTATCGAGTTGTTTTTTTTTTTACTCAAAACACAATCGAAAAAAAACTTGAAAGCTTTTTTAACAAAGAAAATTTTAATTTTTTTTGTCTCTCTTTGCGTCGCTAAAACAAAACAAAAGGTCCAACCGGCTTCTCTTTAATTGCAAGAGAAATATCGTGCGAACTGATTTATCACGCTTTGTTAATTAAGAATAAATCGAACGGTTGGACAAGCACGAGAATGCGGAATAGCACTGTAATCATTAAATTCAAGGTTTTAATTAAAGCCCGCAGGGTTCGTCCCGAACGGTTTTTACAAACCTTGCGTTCTCACTCTCTTTCTCTCTCTCTCTCTTGTTCCGAAGAAAGAAAAATCGAACAATTTATAGGTGCGCGCGCACTTGTGGCACTGCAAATCAAAAAAAAAATATTCTTCAAGAAATTACGAAAATTGCTACAATACGCGACGGGGAAGAGATCTCTCTCTCCTCGGGAGCAAGTGTACATTTTATCAGAAACGGACATGTTTATACTTATCTAAAAGCCCTCCGGCAAGACCTAAGGGTACGGTTGAAATCCGCACGTGTAGCTCAGCACGTGAAATTTATACCTCTGATATCGAATACCGAGGTCGCTACAATAAAGGAACGTTACAGAGAGATCTGGCTCGACGGTCAAAAGTCGAATCGGTTGAATTACGACACCGCGATAAATCCCGAGATAAAGGTTTACAATTTGTATTCATTAGTTCTTTTTTTTTTTTCTTTTCAAATGCAATCTGTTTACTTTTATCTTTAAAGCGGAACTTCTTTTAGTTCGGATTTGCATAACTGTGGGTTACACATTAAAGTGCAATGGTTTCCGATAGAACAGTCGCAAAACGCGCACACATCAGTTACGCGTTTCATTAATGACATTTGACTCTAATTCTGAATCTTTGAGTCTTTTTTTGTTCAGCACTTTTCGAGACTTTAAAAAAAAAAAATAATTATTTGTTTTTTTCTTTGCAGCCAATATAAGCCAGTATGCGCATTACGTTTTTAATACTCTGGACCAGGACCACAGCGGACTTCTCAACTTCGAGGTAAAGTATTCATAGGATCTCACGTCCCACACGCTGTTGCAATGCAAAGTGATATTTTGTTTCTGCGTAGTTTATTTTCTTTGTTCGTTTCTGATTAGCGTGTTAGCGTATTTGAGAATTGTTGTTTGCATGCATGTAAAATCATTCTTTACGTTCGACTCTTTCTCTCTCTCTCTCTCTTTCTTTCTCTCTGTACTCCGACGCAAATTAATACGAAGCGTACGAAGCGATATACGTACGTAAAATTCACGCTTGCAAAAATTCGTATAAATAGTCGCGCGGTGATATTTTGCAGTTGGAAACTGTAACATATCACCGACTTCGTGAAAAGCGACTAAATTGCACACTGCGTAATCGCGTTTCCCGTGCCGACAGTAATTAGTGCATTAAATATTTAATTAAATAAAACAAGAACGGAATCCAGCAATGCGAAATTAATGTCTAATTTGTCACTATAAAGACACTACGAAGAGCACGAAGTATTAAAGTAGAAAGTTACACACCACGTCCCAGCTCGAAAAGTGTTCCCAAGTTTACGTATAATGTTTAAAATATACTAAGTACACATATGTGGCGTGTGTACATCGATCTTCTCACTCGCCCACGCGTTATATAGAACTTATCGCATCGCGAACAATTTCCTTGTTCGATATAATTGCATTAATTACTGTTATTAGTACTATTACATGATATCGTTGTGTCGATGAACACGCGATTAAAAGTTTAACGCACGTCATCACGTCGAAATAGATGTGTACATATTTATGTGTACGTACATCAGCAGAAGAGCTAAATTAATTACATGAACACTCGGCGCGTAATCGAGTTTATCGAATGACAGTTCAATTTATTTGCCGTTGCTCGATTTCGAGTGCCAAAGTCAATTTGCAGACGAACTCGATGACGACCCGATGTCGACGGAGAATATCGCGGTGGGTTCTCTGAAGAATACGAAGTGAGGGGTATAAAAGAAGAGATAGGAAAAACGGCAGGGAATAATTACCGGATAATGCAATTATCTTCTGGACAACTGGAACGGAATTGCGCTTTGCAGTAATTGGCATCTTCGCGCTTTTTTACCGCGCCCAATCCTTCAATTCCCTTCTCCTCTCCGTCTTGGTTTGTGCCGTCTCTTCTTCTTTTTACACGTGATAAGGCTGTCGCCGTCGCCGCCGCTGGCTTTTGATATTCAGCCACGCTTAATTGAGTTATCCCACCGGAATCTCTGTTTAACGGAGACACGCGTGTCCCCTATTGAACCGGCGCGCGACAAACTTCCAGTTTAGTTTTCATCAGTGTCGGGAGACTCCTAACGATGAAAAGTTAGCGCAAATATATTTAATGATGGCATACGCGAGTTGTTATCGCATGCGCTTTGATCTCGGGTTAATTTTCACGTCACGACGGGGAATTATGATGGAACGAAACGGCTATTTACTCGGAGCGTATACACTTTGTGCGACATTTTGCACGTGCTCTGTTCTGCTAGATATTTTAGTCGAGAGTTAGACAAACAGCTCTCCTTTGTACGAAATTTGCATATTGTTTTGTTTTTTTTTTTTTTTTTGTTTTTTTTTAAGACAAGGGAACAATATATACGTAAACTTTTTGTTTCGCGCATCAACGTACATCTGTAGAATGTAAAATCCAAGGTAAAAGTTCTCTTAAGGAGTCTTTTCATTGAGCGTACAAATAGAACTAAAGGCAAAAGGCATTTGAGCCGATAACAATAGCGATTTTATTAAAGAAGACCATTCGTATCGTTAAATTCACAAATTTCCAAGTTAATTTGTAACAATTCTCCATGTTCTTTCTCTCTCTTTTTCTCCGCTATGCTAACATCTTTCTTCGTTTCTCTATTTGCGATATCGTTGACATATGCGAGAGCTTCTATCACAACCCCAATCGCATTACATAGCGTTTCTAAAATGGGAGCGTGCGAGAAAAGGATTACCATTCCTACTCCTTTTTGAGATAATACTTTGCTCGAGTGCGCTCGCTCTCGACGCGCGGGCAACAGGACTCCTCCATCTTCTTCTGCTTCTCAGACTCTCCTCATTCTTTTCCTTCCACTTAACTCTACCCGAACGACGACGAGAAGACGCGGTGACCGTAAGATTTGTAATCGCGTTACTTCCCCTGTCGGAAACTGCATGTACGGAGCGCATTTTCGTCGGTAAGTCATTCAATTTAAAACGTGAAAATCTACGTTATATATACTACAAAGTCCCATTGGTTTTTTTGCGCCGTGGTTGTCGTCCCGAAACGACGTCTTCTTCTCCGACGACGTTACGCGGCAAAAGTTGCTCGATTATAGATCGTTACTTTAGGATCGTTTTTTTTTTTTTTTTTTTGGTTTTACATATTTACGATGTGTTTTGCATTTTCCAGGTCTATGCTGTCGATTGAATACGCAATTGAATACGTTAATCGTCACCAACAATTCGTCGTGCGAAATATTTCTACAGGAACTAACGAGCTTATAAAATGAAATTTATATGAAGCGTGGCGCGCGATAATAATATTAAAGCAACGGCAACTGTTGCGAAAGCTAAAACGCGGAAAAAAAAGAATGTCCATTTCCCACGCGCTTGGATATTTCACATCAAGGGAGCAGTTGTTCTCTCCGCAAAACTTCTTGCTTCCGTGACGTGTTCCAAATCGTATACACACAAGCAACGGAGAGGAAGTCTCCGGCTTTTTGCCGAGGAATACGTGTTTCAATCGCGTTTGCTTGGCGCGAGTTGAAGTCGTAAAAACTGCAGCCACGACAAAAATTATTTGGTAGCGATGCTGCATGCAACACAAAAAAAAAAAACAACGCCGCGTCAGCTTCTGTGTTTTTATGGAGAAAAAAAGTGCGCAGGCTAAATCTGCTTCAAGCGTGGCGGAGAATAAGCGTCACCGGAACTTTTAATTAACTGTGATATTCCTCACAAAGCTTCCTCTTCTTCCTTCTCTTCTTTCTTCCTCCTCTCCCGTCCCCTTCTGTCTTTCTCTCATGATTTTTAATATGACTTATTCCGCGACTCAGATTTTCTCTATTCTTCTTACTTTTTGACGTTGCAACATTTCCCGCGGGTATAGCTTTAATCAGATAGTTCTCGTGGATTTTTAAACTAATTCAGTTCTAGAGAAACTCTAGGTATTTACATAATTTGCGGGAAAAAAAACAAAAAAGCATTGTTAGCACGATCAATCACGGTGGCGGATGATGCTTGATCCATCATAATGCACTTTGTGTGCTAATGACGTTGCGCATTTGAGTAATATTAAATATTTGAGCAAATATTAATAAACAACGGAATTGTGTAATTTAAAGCAGAAATACCGGACAACAGCTTCTCTTTATATTGAAAATATTTACTCGAAGGACACTACAGTGATTAAAGTAATTTTTATTTGCTTTCTTTGTCGTTTACATTTAATTACGTAAACCAAATAATAAAAATAAATAATAAAAACAAATAATAAATTAAATTGAAAGATAAATTACGTCAGAACGTCTCTTCTTTTTTTCTATCTCTCTTTCCTCAACTTTCTCTAAGTAAATAGGTTTGTGATTATTTCCAAATTTTTGCAAGTATTTCTCTGGGAAATGTGTTTTTATCAAATAAAAACTGACTGACTGATCGAGTTAAAGTTTAATTAAACAGCCGTTAACCGATAATAGTCAAAACACAGTTGTGACAATTTTAGTTGAAACCATTTGCATGCTTCTCCGCTTACCGTATGTGTGTGTGTGGATATGTTTCTAATTGAAGAGCATTTTCGTGTAAAATGTTTGGGTTTTGTTTGCCAAACGCCATTAAATTCATTAAATTGAGAATCAAAGCGTGAAAACACATAGGTTGTTTGAAATAGTGCAATTTGTTTCTATTTTTTTCTATACTTGGTTTGTATATTTGAAATGTACAAACATTGTAATGATAAAAACTGCGACAATACAAATTCTATTACACTGAGAAAAAATATTGCAATGTCAACAAAATATTTAGTTCACGGTCAATTGTTACTTGAAGTACTTGTTTTTTTTTTTTTTAATGCAAGTCAAGTTAAAATAACAGAATGTTTCTTTAGAGTATTTGGTTGATAAACTCCGTGACTGTCGCATACGTGACTCTCAAACAAGATTTTCTCGATTCGCCATTATTTTCTTCGGTGTAGATGCAACGTGATAAATGGAATTATGAGCTTTAAGACTCGAGCGGACATATACGTGTTTTCGTATAACGATAGCATGATCGTTGAATACATTGAGCTCGCGCAATTGTTCGTAAATCCCCGAATAATTGAACAGAGTTCTACTTCATCGCGTTTCTCCTGACTCTCGACATAATCACGATGACCTGAATCAACAATCGATATTTATTCGGACGTTTCACTTTGTTTGCCATTAGGACTTGTGCGGGTCAACCAAATATAAACGCGTATATATTTGCACATTTTGATTTTCTATGTCGATATTGTAACGCTTGCTCGCCGACATGCCAAGTGCAACTCCATGTATATTCTCTCGCATCAATTGTGCGCGCGCCGTTCGTGCGACGGACGTGAAAAACATAAAAGAGAAATACGAATGTTATAAATTTCATTAATTTCAATTAATCGTATTATAATTAATTCCATTAATTTCACTATACACATACTAATAAATAATAATTAATTATATTATTAGTACTTGTGCAAAATGATAAAAATTAAATCCGACTTTACTTTAGTCACGTGTCTTTAAAAACGTGACTCTTTGATTAATTTTCTTTTAATTTGTTTCATCGAGTCGTTATTGTAATACTATTTATCCGAATATTATTTAATCCGATTTGTCGAAACAATGTTAAAAAAAAAACGTGCAAAAACTGTATACACTAGATTAAATATTTTCTTAATTATAATATAAACGTTATCCTTTTACACAGAGGATTTGCGTAATTTCCAACGACATATTTTTTGTTTGCAATTATAATGCAGCTCGCGCATCCTCTTTTGTAATATTAATTAACGTGTACATACTTAGTAGTTTCGCTTGATTTTACGTGCAAAAGTCTCTCGCACTATCTTCTTTCACTTAGCTCGACGCGAACTATATATTCTCAGTATTTTGAAACTTTTCAAACTAAAAAGTCAACGGTAGTTACAAGTTTTACTCTTCAGAACAATTTGACGATATCAAAAATAAAACACATCATAAATTTCATGAAAGAGATCAAGAGATTGGGGAGAGACATGAGAATTTTTTCGAAGGAGGGTGAACGTGCAAAACACGTAAGACGATACGAAGCGTGTAGATTTCGTGGATGAGTGCGAGATTAAGCGACACGTCAGGTATGACGTACACACCGGGGAAGTTTAGATCTTTCGAAGAAACAACATCTCGCGATTTCCTCCCGCTCATCTTAAACTACGTCATCTTTTTGCTTCGTCCGAGAATGATATCTCATATTTCTCAGCTCACTAACTCTCGAGTTGTTGTGTGTATCAGTAAAGATAAACCGTGTTTATTATTTTACCCTTTTTATATTCTCTTCTTGTGTTTTACTTCCGAGCTCCATTAACTTGAGCAGCGTCCACCGCAGGGGTTTGTTGCCTCATCTCGCTGAATTTATTTTATTTTTTCGTGGTCGTCTAATACAATTTAGCCCGAATAGAGCGGTCGTAGAGAGATGCGCTTTTTAATCTCGCGAAGACACCGAGTTAAGCAATCGAGTTAAGCAATCGAGTTAAGCAATCGAGTTTAAGGATAATACGAGTCATTCACGAGCTTGTCGAAATCTCAAAAAGCAACATCGCGTTGTTTGTTTTTAGCGATCGACGAGGGAAAAAATAAACGTCCTAATTTTATGGAAGATATAAATAAAATTCGGTTTCCCGGCAACATCCTCCCACCTCGTCGAAATGTACCTCGAGTGCACATCGCGCTGCTTTTTTTTTTTCAAGTAAACTCTACCGAATGTAATTAACGCAAAGTGGCTTCCTCTCGTAAAGCGGTTCCTTTGAGATGCTCTGAAGCGATTATCATGACGAGTAATAGAATTCGCAATTTCGTGTTTTATGCATGATACGACGAAAATCTTATCGCGAAACTAATTAAAATTGCACATTTAAACAGAAAGTACATATAAACTTTGATGTGGTGCGAGGCAGAAGGATGCGAGCATTTTACTCGACGCGTCTCTCCTTCTCTCCCTTTCCGCTGTTATAACCCGCTATCGTTTCAAGACAAGAGAGGATGATTAAAATTCGGCGCGCGAATTAATCGTCGAGAGCACGGCATCGCGAGCAAAAGCGTTACAAGCCTGCAATTATCATTGTCTTATTTTATAACAACAAATATCGCTCTTAAAAACGTACAACGCAGAGTGCATTAATGATTTTCTTCGCGTTCGCGTTCACAGATGTATGTATTTTACACTCGAAGAAAAGGGGATTAAACAATTTAACAATCACATTTTTCAAAATGACGGATTTCTCACTTTAAAAAAATGTACCGAGCAGTTTTATTCTCGAGAAAAAGATAAGTGTAGAAAAATCTTTGTAGCTGAAAACTTGTTTTAATTACTTTAAATATTAGAGAAATAAAATAGCAACGAATAAATTTCTTCAAATTGATAATATTAGACATACGCATTCAACTCTGGTTGTTCTGGTGTTAATCGTAAATAATCAGACGCAGAATTTGTCCGTGTACAAAGGACTTTTTTCCCGGGTGGAAATCAGCGATGCACTGTAGTATGCGAACGTGACAATGCGCGCGAAACATTCCCATTTAGTGGCGCACAATGGAACCAGGTTGCGAAACTTCGTTTTATATCTTATAATCCCACATTCCAAATTCTCGACGAATTTCCATGATAATTGTTACGCGCCAGAAACGGACGGAACGTCGCAGGTATTGCGTCCCGCAGGTATTGCTTGCAAATTTACTTCTGCGTCTGAAGTATATACAATATGTGTGTGTGTGTGTATAATTCGAACATGTATTAATTTACACGTTTGAAACAATATATTTCGCACATATCCAGCGTTCGCCTTTTAATGGCCTTAATTCTCTATTAGTTTTGTATGTGCATTATATGTGTCGACGTATCTCCTCCGCCCCTCCCCCGCGAAATTCTCGCGGTTTCATGCGCGTGCATATATTAATATGCGGCGGGACTTTCGCATCGTAACTCAACTGACTGATAGCGCGTAGTTTATCTCCTCCGAGGGCGACACACAGGCCGCGTCGTCGTTATTTGCTCAATTACCGCGCGATTAAATTTAACGCCTCTTCGCGTTTAAATTGCTTTTGTGTGGGGGCGACCTATTTCTCTGAAACGGTCTTTTTTTCTCACGACCCTTTTTATACGAGCGAAATTTTCACGAATGCGTCGCGACGTTAATGCAAGAATCTGTTCAGCGGCAAAACTTGTGCGCGCCTTTCCTCGTTACGAACGATTTGAAAAACCAAAGATGTTTTTTTTTTTTTTTTATTATTATTTTAAAATATAGTGTGGCTACCAAGAGATCGATTTACTTTGTTTTTACTTCAGAACTGTGATTCTTCGAAAAATAATTTTTTCTTTTTCTGTGAATTTAGTTCAAATCTAATTTTAGATCGAGAATCACAAAGGTAAGGCTCGGTTTGCGATGTGGAACAATCGCACCTTCCGAACTTCACGGCAAGTTGGCCGCAAGTTGCAAATGCATGATTCACACAGTCGTAGATCTCGTTCATTCTACATGTGCTCTCACATCTGTACTTTTCATCCCAAGTTTCGGCACCGCTGCGTCGCAATTCAGCCAACGCGCGCACTAAAGTTTACCGCTCAAATCTACTATATCCGCCAGCAGCGTTGTTCGCTCAATTATCACGCGATAGAAGCTGTTCCAACTCCGTTTGCAAAGAAAAATTGTAATTGTTGAGAGAATCTAACAAGAGAAAGAGAGAGAGAGAAAGAGAGAGAGAGAGAAAGAAAATATGCGAATTTTTGCTGTTTTTCAAGAAGTTGAAAAACTTGAAGCAAATTGAGCAATAAAACGCGATTTCTGTGTATGATATCGCGTATATAATCCGTATAATACGTACGCACATATGCACGTTCTATGCAAAACATAATCTCGCATTTCCACATTTGCGGAAAATGTTCGCGTGACAACGTTGACGTTGACGTTACGTTACCAATGTCGGTTTTTATGGTTTCAGGACTTTGTTATGGGTCTGAGTAAATTGTCCCGCGGCTCGATAGACGAAAAACTTCATTGGACGTTTTCTCTTTACGACATCAACGGGGACGGCTGCATCACGAGAGAAGAGATGACGGACATTGTGACCGCCGTGTACGAGCTGATGGGAAAATTCGCTGATAACTTGGATCACGAGGGAGTTCGGCAAAAAGTGGATCGTATGTTTCAGGTAAGAGACAACGAAGTAGATCTTCTCGAGTTATACTCGTGTATGAGAAAAATTGAGGATTCTCGGGATTGAGAGAAAAAAATTGTAAAAAATTTATCGTGACTATAAATAAAAATTCACTATTTCTTGAAGATCAACTTCGAGACAAATTCTACTAACTTTCTTCCGCGATACACATAACTTTTTAGTAAAACTGACGATTGAAGTGAACACAAAAACGAATATGTATAGACATCCGATATCAATTTAGGACTTTGCAAACAGCGTTTAAAATTAACGATTATATTATACAGCACTTCCGAAAACGCGCGACAGTTGTCGATAAATATGTTCATTTGAACGAGAGAAAACAAGCGTCGCGATGAGCGTATCTTCGCGAGACGGGAACGAGCCTTTCTTTTTAGCGGCTGTCACATTGTTAGCTGCGGATGACAATGCCTGCAGTGCACTCGTTTTCCTCACCTATCCTATCCTCCACCGCCGTTGCCGCGAAAAAGAGAACAACCCCATTTTACAGAGACAATTTGCGCAGATGACGTATCTTCTGTCTGTCCGATACAAGCGCGCGCGCGCTTCGTCAATTCCTGACAAATAGAGTTCAAAGAGTTTTAACCGGGTTCAAAGAGTTTTTCGGGTTCGCGCTGACAACCGGACGGGACAAACCACATCCGCAACAGTTTTTATTGTGACGAATAAAACGTATTAGCACATAACTATATAAACTGTTCTAAATACCGTTAAATTATCGCAAAATGTCTCTTCTTCTGTTTCTCGAAAAATGTGAAAAATTAAAAATCAAAACATTTTTAATTTTGAAGAAACATCTTACAATAATTTATTAAAACGAAGGATTATATTTTCTACAACAATTTATACTTGTGTGTACGTCAACATATTATATTTCTTATTAGATTTCAAAAATTATACAATCAAATTCAGAAATTTAATAAAATAAACAAAACGTGTACCTTTCAAAACTTTTCGATTCAAAAGTAAAAATCAACAAAGCAAACAATAGCCGTTGGAAAACAAACGCTATCAGAAATCATGTGTTACATGTAGAACATCAATCAATTATTCGATTCTGTTGTCGAAAATGCGATCACAGAAGCTTCGCAATCTATTTACCGGCGGGCATGTTAAGCTGCCGCACGATCTTGAGATTCTCATCTTCGATGCTGTGTAATATATCGAAGATCCATTGACGTAGCTCTCGCTCTTTCTCTCTATACGCTCTCGTTGACGTTGAAAGGAAACGCAAATTTGACGGTAGAGGCAACGCGACCAGAAAGGGTAAACGCCTTGTTTAGGGTTGCTGCTTTTGAAGCATGCACACGCTTGTGCATACTCGGCGTGTTCAACGGCCACGAGAGTGTAAGGAAGATAGGATTAGTATGGCATGAAGTCCTAACTCGAAACTGCAGAGAGTATATGCGCGCCCCGTCTTATGTTTACACACACTCGCACACACACATACCCGGTACAGATAGTTCAAATTCTAATTGGCCGTGGTTTCAGTTTCTCAAAGACCTCAAGGGCTTTTCTCAAGGACCACGCTACCTTGTATAAGACCAATCTAACTTGCATAGCTCTTGGAGACAGACGTACGTTGTATAAACAAACATAGCGCTTTAACGCGATTTTAATTAACGTTCGTTTTGAAAAGGATCGAGCGTTTTCTCGAAGATAATGGAAAAATTAGCCAATGACAATAAGAAAGCGCGGATGTATAAAAAGTATTTTACATTTGGATTTCCGAGAGCGCAAACATTGAAATGGAAAAACACCAATTTTTTATTCAAAAGATTTAGTTCGAGGCAAGTATAAAAAAAATCAAATGGCAAATATTTTTGTTACGTAAACTTTTTTTGAAGTAAAAACGAAATAATACTCGTATGAAAAGTTACGGGGAAAAACTATCACGTTGTGTTGTTCCGATTGAAACTCGATTGAACTCGACTGAGTATCAATTTCGACTAATTGTAAGACGAACAAATTTGATATGACTGAGAAACCGTATCGGTCTTGTCGCTCGTTGATCCAATTATAAATGTTGTAAACTGAGAACCTCGTCGATATATATATATATATATATATATATACGTATATATTCCGAGGATCTCTGATTCTCGTTTAATATAATTCATTAGACAGTTAGCGACCGACTCCGCAATTTGTCGTGGAAACGTTCGCGCGCAATCTGGCTACCGCCTCGATTTCTATATGTCGCAGATGTTACTTGCGGTGTTGAACTTTACCGTCGTATAATATCGATCACTAACTGTGGCGCGAAAGATCCTCAGCAAATATATAAATATATATATATATATATCTGGAGTCGCGGAGCACGTGCGTGTACCATCGATAATATCGTTACGTCGCACTCGATAATCGTTTATAAATGTGCGAGCGTTAAATGGCGAGCTTCATTAATGACGGCCGAGTGAAACCGAATTCCGTTGTTGATAATACACCGAAATATGCATCGCGCGTAGTACACCAGTAGTTAATGCGTTTTATTTCAGCGCGAGCTTGCATCATCAACCAATTGTTTGTCTTTGAAAATATATAATTAACGTAGATTTGTTAACAATTGTTTTCGTAAACATTATCGAGCCGAGTCTCACATGCGCGATCCTGTTTGCACGTTCAGTGAATAGACTCCCGGAATTGGACTGACTTACGTTTTGGCAAGTGAAGAATAAAAATGATCGGTTAAACAGTAAATGCTATTTAATTGCGAAATACATCGGAAACCATTAATGTCTTTTTGGATGGGTGTATGTGCACGTGCGCAATTCTCGCTGGTTGTAGCAAGCTTGTAGTTTCGTAGACAAAGAAACGAGATATCGCGCAACTCGGAAGTACGTTCTAGATTTTCTTTTGCAAGCATTAGCGAAGGATACGTAGACAGATCGATCTGGGACGTTTGAGGAAAAACTAGAGAAAGAATGCGGAAAGGCAAAATGGTTCCTTCCAGCGGTTGGGGGTGATCTTTCAGCGCGTCTTGTGTTTCACGATGGCAATACGGAATACTTTGAAGTTTGCACATATTTCGCCGAGAAAGAAAAAAAAGTCTATTTTAAAAGTCTATTCTACGTAACAAAGAAGTAAAATACAAAAATAAAATCGAGGCGCAAAAGTAAGTCGAGTTAAATAAGAAGAGATTGCGTCACGTCGTAAAATATATATATATATATACATATATATATAAACAAGAAAATGGACGTAAATAAACAAGAAAATGGATGCATGAAATGGGAAAAGTTTTGCTCTGTCAACCAAACGTGATGTTTACGAAAAGCACTCTCAACTTATAGCAAAAGTAAATAATGCAAGACTTGTAAACAAAATCTCGAGCGATATTCGCAAATATTTTCAAAAAAAAAACCAAAGAAAAATGTTAATAGAGCTTTGTAGATTGTTCGCAAAGTCAATTCATTAAATGTCGTTTTTATCGTCTAGCTATTCTTTGTGTGTGATAAAATAATGAAGCCTCTTTTTATTCCCCGTGTACATCTATCAGTACTTCTTTATCTTATCTTAACGCGCTCGGTTTTTATTTGCTTTAAATTTCCGTCCCTTTTTTATATTTGCTTGCTCTGTTTGCCGTACTTATCTATCACTCTGACGAAGGACGGTTTCAATGAGGCCGTTAACGCAGAAGAACGCGAGTGGGGGCAAGTGCATTTAATCGAATAGCATCTCGCAATTACTTTTAATGACGCAACGACTTTTTTTAATTATGTCGGAAATACGATCGTGTGAGCTACTCTCGTCGATAATGACATAAAAGTGCTGAAATTAATATCGCTGTCTCGTGTAATTTAGTATTAGATACGCGTCATTGCTATAATTAATTTACTCTTTATTAGTAATTAATTGAATCTCCATAGAGTATTTCCCAATTTTTTATACAATTTTTTTTTGCTCACGACACTTAATTACGAAAATTCTGTCGTAATGAGCGAAACATGTGTCTGTGATATGTTTTCGTTCTACGAACTTTTCGTGATCTTTTAGCTTAACGAGAGTGCATTATATTGAAGCCAATCCCAAGCCATGAATATAAATCGTGAAAAATGGACTGGTGACACTTTATAAACTCCTAACCGCGGCACAATGTGCCGCTATGAACGCTTACCAAGATTCTCAATGCGCTCGTGAAAAAGCGATGAAAGAATAACGCCTCGCCGGCCGAGGTGTTTTCTACGGAATTCCATCAGTATTCTTTTTAGATAACTTTTTCGAATCTAGTAAGCATAATTATATGGCTCTTTGAAAGGTCTGGATTAACCGCTTCTTTTTCTGCTCGTTTATAACATTTTATATACGCTCACTCGCGGCTTTAAAACTGTAAAAATTATATAATTTTGCTCTCGTAAAACAGAAGCCGCCTTTTGATTGATATATTTCAAATATCGTAGATGATTTCACTGTTAAGATCTGTCTCCTTCTCTTTAAATTTTACTAACTTAATTGTTTAATTATTTTTTATTATTTCCAAACGCGCATCTTACGAAGAACATCTCTTCGTATAACAGCGTAAAGCAATTGCGTTCTCAGAATTTTAGAACACTCGCTTCTTTACCGTTTGAACATTATTGTTTCGATTAAATTGGCGCTAATTAATCACGAGAAAAGCCAGAAAGGTAACAAATACCCTGCCGCGGCGTATCTGCGTTATTCGTATAGCACTAATTAAAACGAGCTTCATTCGAGCTCCGTTCGCTCCAGATCACGATTAAATCCGTCCCATTGTTCCTGGGAAACTGTGCACCCAGCTGGGGTGCCAGCACACTTTTCATCCCAGGAAAAATGGGCTGCCTTGCCAATTTTTGGTGATAGGATCGATTTGTTATATCACGTGCTACCGAGACGAGAAGATGTAGAAAAAATTATTGGCAAAAGATATAAAATACGCGATTAAACTACATTAATCAGTAGAAATTAATATTGCAAAGAATTGACAAAGATTTGATATTAAATTTTACAAACGCTTAATAGATGTCAATTTGTAAATTAATTTATAAAGTTTTTTTTATCAATTTTTACAAAGATTTTTAATATGTTCACATTTCAACACATTTATTTTTATTATATTTATTTTTACTATATTTTTGAATATTTGTAATACTTTTAAAAAATCTCGAATTCTGTGTGCTCTTGTAGTTTAAAATATTGTAACGCGAGAGTATTTTTCTTTAAAGGTATATGTATGTAATTTTGATACTGATCGCCGCTATAATTACAGTGTGATTACTAATACCAGGATGCTGATAATGCACCGTGGTAAGCCGCGATAGCAATTAATCCTATTCAACGCGACAACGAATCTCCTCTCCCCGCTGTACATCGACAAGTTCGTGTATTCTCACGGTGCAAAAACAAAAATAATTTTGCAATTTGCACCTGCCAATTGTACGCTGAATACTCTCGCACGCTGCAAAACGCCCACGACTTTCGATCGTGCAAGTCTCGTAAAATATTAATAACTCGATGCGACAGATCGCCATAAGTAGTTAATGAGACAAAAAAAAAGACACGTTCTCAGTCGAGTCTACTGCAGCGCAGTAGAAACAGACTGCTACTAGTCAGCCCGTCCGCGAAACTCTGATCAGTTCTACTTTAAGTGACGCACACGTATATATGTATCGACACACCATCGTAGAACGCGGAAGTATGAGAGAGAGGGAGAGAGGTCTGCGTGGTTTTTTCTTGCTGTATACCATCTCAGGACGTCAGAGGTGGTCTTCTAATCTAGGTCAATGTGGCACTTTTTTCTGGGTTTAAGCGCTTCATAGTAATTCCATTCATTTATAGTTCATTCAATTATGTTAGACGCGGCGCGAGATATGGGGTGTTTTGTACGCCCATCCATACGCCAACCGTGACGCAAAACAAAATGAGATTTACGAAGCGAATTTAAGCGCACACTTACTTGCACAAAGTTTATATGTATATGTATTATAGATATTATATAACGTTCTACATAATCTCAATCTCTGTCAGAAATAACGCTTCACTTTGTTGCACGATGTTCAATAAATAATTAAGGGAGCTTACATTGTTTACCTAAATACAGCACAACTTGTAAAGTCAAAAATACAAGACGTAATGCTGGTTCATGTGAACCAACTTTTTTTTTATCTCTCATTATTGGACATCAAAAGAACCTTTGTACTTCTCTGTGTGTTTATTTTATAAATTCTTATTGATGATCAACAAAGATCCATTATCAACGTTTGAATTTCTCTGATAGAAAAGAGATGCGGTGAGTATAAGCTTTTAAATAAATGGACTTTACTTGTTCTAGAAAATGGATGGCAATAAAGACGGCGTGGTGACGCTGTCCGAGTTCTTGGAAGCTTGTCGGGCAGACCCGGACATTTCGACCAGTATGGCAGCTCTGGACACTGCCTTCTGACACTCAGCACGTCTGCGATACACACCGTGGACCTGAAGGGATCACTCGATTAGGAAATAATTCGCTCAATGTTGTACCTTAACTCCCTGGACCAGAGGCAAAGAAATTCCTCAAGGTGTGTCCCGTCGGCGCGCAAGTCCTGGAGCGATTGATACGCGAATTTTTCAGAGAATCGATTGCTTTGAGAGACGACACTGCGTCACTTTTTGCGCGTGCTAGCTCAACAAACTGTTCTCAGCGGAATTTCTAGATTTGTGAGAAGAGAAAGAAAGAGAGAGAGAGAGAGGGAGAGAGAGGCTTGCTGTTAAGGATGACACGAGAAAACAAAAGTATAAATAAAATATTAGAATATTTCAACTTGAAATTTGCGATTTAACAAAGGGGCAAGAAAAGTATGTTTTGTGATAGGAATAAAAAAATAAGGAAATAGTCGAATTGAAGAGAGCGTGAACTATCTGATAGACAAACGCAGATGGGAAACGAAATAAAAGAAATAAAGAAATTTTTGGTATTTTGCATGACACTTGCTTAGAACAAAAACGATGAGATCACATATGCAAATAAGCGTATACAATATCTTTTACAAAGAGAATGTATATAGGACTCCCTTCCCCTCAAATAATAGAGCGTGTATTGGTAAAGTGGTAACGTGATTTCGTGAGAGACTTTTAGTATTATAGTCGATACGCGTGAAGTGGTTAAACGAAAAGTAGAGAAACGGACCTTTATATTTATTACAAATGGGGGATATATTTCGTAAACGAGATGTTTTTCAAGAATGTATTTTCAGAATTATGCACACACAACGTTACTCGATATAATTTTATTTACTTCAATTTCATCGGGATATTTATGTGTAATTATAATAAAATCTCCGAGAGAAGCTGCAACAAATAATGTAGATATATATATATAAATATTTATATAAAGAGATATTAAGCATGTGTGATATTTTACGTTTAAATGTTCACATTATATATTCGAGTTATATTGAATTTAACGCGGACGTGTGAGTTTTGCATAAATTTAACTACGTAAAGAGAAAGAAAATAGCAAGATTAAAATACATTCGAGAGAATGAGCGCGGCTCACAAATATGAGGAATATACAAAGTTTTATCGTGAATCCCGTCGTACAGCTGGACATGTTGAGCGGGATTTGTTGTTTCTAGTGCGTAAGCGTGTACAAGAGAAGTGGTGTAAGCGATATCAAAATATTTATTTTTGTGACAGGTAAAAAGCGTATATATTATCGTTGTATAAGATTCTAGATCGTAAAGACTGCGTGCTGCTAAAGAGAGAGAGAGAACCGGAATTTTGGGAGTTTAACTGAGGACAAAAAGGAGAGAGAAAGAGAGCGAAGGTAGAAAGACGATAAGAAGAAGAACTTAGAAGGGAGCTTCTCTCTGTATCGGTCTGACATTTGAGATTGATCTGTTACCGAATGTATACATTATATATTATATATACGCGAAGAGAGAAGAGTTGTACGTTTTATTATGATATATTCCAACGAGTCGCGTGGAGACTGGACCAAAGCTTTCCGCGATGGGCGAAGATTTACTTGAGCGAAATATATATTTAATCATTTTCTCAATCACTGCCTATACTTCTGGTTACCTATAATTAAGGAGGAATAGACGAACGGATGAAAAAAAAAAACGATACAGTATCTCCGATATGTCGAGATCGGGCAAGTCGAGATGGAAATTGTCGAACTTCCAGTCTAATAATAATTAAATAATTATTATTATTTGATTAAATAATTAAGTAATTGTTATTAGATCGGGAGAAGCACGTGTTGCTTGATTCAGTTCAGATACGGATTTCAAATACTCTTCCGTTTTACGAGCGTTTCTTGTAAAAGCACTCGAGACGAGTCGCGATCTACGTGTAATAGCGGAGTAAGGGGCGACTGACACGCGTGTTGACACACATAGAGAGAAAAAGAGAGAGTAGTAAACAGAAGCGAAAAAAGGCGGATACAATGATGAAGTCTCGGTAATGAGGGAAGCGAGCGAGGAGGTAGATCGCGCGAGAATGAAGAGCCGCGAGGATTTCTTCGATTTTTAGCAGCGCCTATTTAATCATAAGACTTGTAAATTTGAGATAAACATCGAATGTTGTCTCATATCAATACGATCACTACCGCATGTCTTTGAAGTTAAGTAAGTGTATAAAAGACAAAAAAAAATGAACACGGAGTAACTGTGACGTCTAGATACTTTTAAAAATTCGACCGAACGTTAGTTTTAGATTTGATAAGGGAATGGAGAAAAACAAAAAAAGAGGTACTCTTACTTCCCTCCCTCTTCTTCCCACGATGGTTAGTCGAAAATAAGCTAGGTCTGATAAGTTGTGAGCTTTTTTATGCGCAGAATTAGTTCGTAGAAATTAACATATTACTTTACGTAACACACACACGAAAACACGACTGAACGTTTACCCGGAATGTTATTAAGTTGGCGGGTATAAAAAAAGAGAGAGCATACAGGATAAGTATTTAATTAACGAGAAGACAGAATGATAATGTTTTTGTTTTTTTTTCAATAAATTCTTTTTACGCCTTAACGTGTGCCACCCTCCCTCTATGCTTAAGAACCATATTATCTCGCATATGTCCACGCTACTTACTCTCGAAAATTCAGCATTTACCTCTCCGCAGTCTCTTGCTATTCTTCTTACTGTCTCTCACTAAATCGTATGTGATCTAATGTCTTTTCCCCTAATGTCTCTCTCTGTATGTCGGACTGATTTTTCTTTCGCAAACATCGAGTGATAGCTAAGGGAGAAATTTCGTGAAAACTTCAGTAACGTAAAAGAAAAATCTATAGCAGTTTTTCCAGGCGGATTGTACGAAAATCTATTTGAAATTCTGTCAAAAGTCACTTTATGTCGACGTATATCAATATGACAGTAACTAATAGTATATATAAATAATTTTAAAGCTACTTCTCACAATTTCGAAATTGTACCGAAATATATGGAACCGCTTCATTTAATAGAACATTGGATGATTTTACATTATTGGACAATAAAACATTGCACTATAACGCAATTCCGAGTATTGGACGAAAAATACATCCATGGCAGTGTGTCGTTTGCATCGCAAACAGAACATTAGAGTAACGTTTCCTCGATTTCAGGACGTAAAACATGTTTACTTGTGAAAATATGGCTGCCCGAAAGTAATTATCATATCTCTAAAAACTTATGTACGTAATGAGGCAATTGCTCAAAATTGAGGAAGGGTTTCTATATATGATTTAATAGTCTACAACATCTGCATCTTTTTATATAATATAGAAGATGTGTTTTTTTTTTATTATATTATTTTACGCATTATGAGAAATTAGAGATGTTACATCCACGCTAACATAACGTCCATTAGACGTCCACTGGACGTTCATAACTCCATGTGACGTCCGATGAATATCTAATGGCAACTTGTATAGAATGTTATTTGTGCGTCAGCATATGTAAATTCCCTCCGTTATCTGTATATAATTTTTTGACGTAAATTTATGTCTATTAAAATCAAGTATATACGTCGAATACTTGCCGACATCAATATCTCACATAATGGTCGAATAAAGTTTCATAAATCGCGATGAATTTGCAAGTTGCGCGTCCAACAAACTCGAGGAAAATCTCAGCATATTTTTTTTTTATCGTTGTTCGTGTGTTGCAAATCTCACACTTGTTATCTAATACAAAAGATATAAAATAAAAATGCATAAGCAATATTTGCGCATAAACTTAAATTACGTATTCGTTACTGCGTGTAATAATTGGTAGATTTTTCGATTGCGTCGCTCTTATAAATTTACGTCATGCGATTTACAACGAGCAAAGAATTGACAAAAAAAAAAAAAAAAAAAAGAAACTGATATAGAATAAAATGTCTTTTCAATCGACTCCGTCACGTATTGTTCATACGTAGCTAGTTCGTGTACAAAGCTACAAAAAAAGTCACGAGTACTACTATCTTGACTCTTTAAAAAAAAAAGTAGAGACACTATACTCGAATAGAATTCAAAAATCTATCTATCAAAAACTCTGTCTCTTTTCTGTAGATAGTTGTGTCTTTGCCGAGGGTACACTTTCGGTGATATGTATTATAAAACGATATAGAGAGAATATACTGCTGGGCAGAGAGAAAATATATAAACGTTACTATTCATCTGCGTAAAATGACGCTACGACACCCGAGAAGAAAAGTCCTTCATATGCATGGACAAGTTCCACATCTGGTTATAAATTATATGCAATCATAAATAAGATCGTCTCTAATATATAATTTATATAATTAAATTATCTAACTAGATATGAAATTTACGTGTCCATATGTGCAGGATTTTTTTTCCAAGGAGGCGAATGGTAGAAGCACCAAGATGAGGAGATATAATGTTCGTCGTTCACGAGAGAGATCGGTTATATATTTAAAAAGAATTATATTATATAGATAAAGACAAAAAAAAATTGTGTGTAAAAGATTATGGTCGAGGCGTACTAGCTGACAGATGGTCCAATCATAGACTATATATTCATATAAGGAAAGAAATTAAACGAGAATTTAAACAATTAGCCTAAATGTGCGTCACACGAGGCGTGAGAAACAATGTTTGAAAAATTATAATGATTATTGATATTAAGAGAAATAGCTCCCTCTTGAAAACAAAAATTTACATCAAGATAAATCAGAATAAATAATTATAGAAAAATACATGGAATTTAAAAAATATATAAAACAACGCAGAGGCAGCTGTATCTATTAATGTAAATAATTTTATCGTTAAAATAATAAAAATAAATTATTGTTACAAATAAAGCGTAAGACACATTTGCGTAGTAGCATAAAATTCGGAAAACAAATTTGTAATCATTTTTGAAATGGAAATTTGCATATATTTGCGTTAACGCGTTTGTGAAATTTATATCTCGATTTATTTGCAGTTTTAAACGGATTTTCAATGAAGAGGCTCTTATGTTACTCGACTAAGTTACGAAATCACGTCAGTTTATTATTTGACATGTTTCTCCGTTTACTCGAAATCGTGCGAAATAACAAGAATTACACAACAAAATATACGATGCGCTATAAAAATGTGTCACACGCGGTTTCTCAAGCAACGTGTGTTGAACCACAAAAACAAAGTTGGACAGAAATATTATTATTATTATATGATGTTGAAATATGAAGGATTTTAAAAAAACACAGATTAACAAAAGAGAAAACAACAAGTAAATAAAATATTCATATATATTTTCAGTGTAAATCAAGTATGTGTATATATATTATACATATATATATATATTTGTGGTAAGACTACGTATCTCATAGCTTTAACGCGACTCACCGAGACGATGGGAAGCAATCATTATCAAGGATAGTGTGCGCTGTTCCACTCTCGCGGAAGAGAGCGCATAAAAAAAAAAAAAAAAAACGTAATCGTTTGGATGTTGATTGTTAAATGTTTAGGATAGTTGGATACACGCGATGTTATATATATCCTTTTGACCCGAACTACATGTGTTAAGTGTCCTCATCTCTGATTCGTCGATTTTACATTCGGGGTCAATTCCTATATCGTTTTTGGCTAGAATTTGATATCGCGTCGTTACTTCACTGAATTTCTCATCTTCTCGCGTTGCACGTTACTATTTTTTTTTTTTTTTTTTTTTTTTACATATAACATTACGATCCTTCTTCGTATACACACGCAGAAAAATAAAGAAACGCGAAATATCTTTGATTTTGCATCAACGCAGTCACTGCCGTCGCTTTTTTCGCAACGAAAATCAATTCTCGCTTTAACCAAACGTAATTACGTAGTTACATATATACCTCGAAGAGAGAATATGGTCATGCACATCTACGGCACACGTGAGTTCTTCGAAGTATCGAAGAGGGTTCATTTGAAAATATCCACGACGAAATGTCAAAAATCGTTAAAATTCGAAGCAGCGTGGCATGTTTGCTCACGAGCGTATTGCCGTTTCGAAATCTTGAATTTCCGCACATCTCATCTTTCGTTACGCGTCAGAGAAAAAAACCTTGTTATTATTACTAATTATTTATTGTACTATACCTGAAATATGTAACACTATATTTTATAAATAAATAGAGGAAGAGAAAAATAATGTGTACATAAATTGTTTTATTGTGAACATTATCACACCTCAATATCACTTAAGTATAACGTGGATTTCTAAGTGTCAAGTTAGACCTCAAACAATATTTTGTCAATAAAAAGATACGTTTGACTGCAAAGTATTTTGAATATATTATGGAACAAAACCGAAACGAAACGTTCAACTTTCAAATATAAAATATTAGATTAAATAAAAATAAAGTGTAACAATATTTGCTAATTGAATATGAAACTTCAAATAATTATATAAATATTCAGTGTACACACCAAAATTAATAAATGAGCAAAAATGTCATCATCAAAAAACAAGTACAAAAATTTATATATACATACTACCACCACCAAATTAATACAAAGCGAATAAAGAAAATCATTTTGTATGATCGTCTTTATTTACGCCATTGGAAATCAGTGCGATAAATATAAGCGAATTCTACGCATGCAATAAAGTCTAGTCTTTATATAGATTTAACATTAAAAAAAACTTTTAACTGAAAAAAAACAAGCAACGAAAGTTGATTTTGTAACTCATGTTTGATGCGGTCCCTTCGTCGTCCATCGATGTATCTTCCTCTCCAACCCTCGGTCCCTCACGGAAGTGGTCCAACAAACTTTGCGTCGTCCCACGTTATCGTAGCACGTTTTATCACTCGCGACGCGGAACACGCGAAATATACCCGATATACACACACGCGAAAATTTTACTACAATTCAAAGTCCACACTTTATCAAAGTTCACATTTTAATCACTATCGAATTTTTTATGACTTGGCGAAACTCGAACAACACTTTAACAAACTTTGAATAAAAGATATTTTTATATCGGAACGAGTGTTTCGGTTTATTTCGATGTGTGATTCTATTATTTGCGTAGCACTGTTAGTGCTGGCAAGTCTCGTGGCTGGCTCCGCATTGTATCACTGCGAAGACTTTCCCGCAGTTTTGCGATAATTATTTTGCCTTTTCAAGCAAAGTATGATACTAACTTTTGCGAATCGTGACTCTATATTGTAAATATAAAACATTCGTGACTCTATATTGTAAATATATGAAAGAAATCGAACTCGAATAGTCAAAAAATCTATCTCGTACAGATACTAATTAGATTTCAATAAAAACAAAAGTAAACGGTAGTAAAGTAAATCTAATATTTTACGCGGAATAATCGCGATTTTTTATTTGAAGATATTTGTGACGCAATTCAAGCGTCGACGCAGACAGAGCTTCCGCTTTGATGAAGATTGAAACATTGAGAACAATTTACAAAAATAATATATATTTTATTATTTTTAAAATCATATTATGGTGATATATATGTCTAAACATTTTTATTTTTAAAATAACGGCATCTGAATTTTTTCGCATGTTTCTCTGTTTTTACTTTTTGTACAAATTCCAACATAATTGTTATATCTTATACTGATTCATGATCATATTTTAAAGTAAATGTACAATGTAACATAATTGCATATATATCAATACAGACTATATTCAAATTATGTGCTCAATGTTTCCTCGTAAAAATAAAAATCTACCTACACGCGCTTCGCACTGATTTTAAAACCATCACCACAACCCTGAAGTGTACTTACCGAGCGCTGGCCACCTTGATTGCCCAAATCGGCTCCTCCGGATTTGCCGCAACTTCCTTTCCGGTGAACGAAACCTCTCCGATGAACGAAATCTCTCCGGTGAACGAAACCTCTCCAGTGAACAAACTCTCCGATGAGCGGTCCTTCAATCCATTTTAGAACAGGTAGAAATCCGTACAGCAGTTTAAACAAGAGGATAAAACAGGAAATCTCTTTTTGCACCATCTTGAAACAGAAAATAATGCAAACGAAAACTTATTATTTTGCCATAAATATCCATAAAAATATAGAAAACTATTTAAAGATGTGATACAATTTTATCTGAGAGAATAGTATATCTTTCAATATGTAAAATATTCGTCGTGCGGAAATTATTGTATAGGTTATAAAGAAAACAAACCTCTGCGTTATCATGACCTTGAGGTGCCAAGCGAACAGTCAAAAGAGAATGACGATGTACGCTGCACACCGCGTCCCGCCAGTTCTCGTTTTCCCCGCTTTGTCACTCCCTGTTTACTTCTTCTCCCTTGCTCACTACCTAGAAAAGACAAAAAAAAGAAGGTAAATATATTCAAAATCATACCGTGTACCGAAAATTTAACTGTATTAATTATTTATTCTTGAATTCATACTTCGTCATTTTATATTCTCTCATTCGCGATACAAATTATATATCAACGCGTATATTCGTCACTTTGCGACACACACGAACTACTAATATTCGCGCGCGCGATAATAATAAACGCGAGAAATGACTAAACAATTCGAACGCACTTCTCCGTGTTGCGCGTCGGCCATTTGTGTCTCGCGGAAACGCCGCGAAACAATTTCACCGATAAACTCGTTTTATTTCGGTGCGATTACTAATTACGTCTTATTTCGAACGCCCGAACCACTTCGCGGTAATAATAATACACACATATTACCAATATTTACAAGCGAGATGAGAAACAATTGCGAGAAATACCTGATTTGAACGAGAAGTTCCGCTTCGTGTCGCGCGTCCGCTACGTGTGTCGGGACGAATGTATCGAAGCGCGCGATATTGCGATTCTCGAAATATCGAATCGATGCTCGATGTGTTCACACGCCTGCAAAAACACAAAACTATTATATGTCTATGAAAACAAATAGTAGATTTGTAATATTTAATAGTAAAATAGTAGAAAATGTGATCTGACAATCTGAGGAGATGTACTTACTCGAACATATTTTATTCGTAATATTGCTCCGGGAAGCGCAAATCGGCTGCGATGTAACTATATCGTAAAGCTCGCCAATTATCGTTACAAGCGAGTGCGCGACGCTAATTACGCATTAACAAAAACATCCGATACCTTACAATGTGCATGTGCGACCGATATTCGCGCGCGAAACGACGATGATCGGTGAAAAATACGGGAACAAGTCGAACGTAGTTATGCCGCCCGCGTCGCGCGTCCGCCATGATTGCCCGCCAATTTGTGAGTCAACGCGCACGCGCGCACGTAGTACGGAACTGAACCGAATCAATCGGTAAGATAACATTTTTATTCACTAGGTTCGCGTACTGATATGCGCAAACTGTGGACATTGCGGCGCTCGAGAAAACATATAAATATTTATCTACGTAAGACGACAGACACCATGGTGTAAGATGGTAGACGCGAGAGCGCGCCAGCTACCGAGTATACCGGTCGTTCATGCACTCTGGCGGACGCTTTTCGAACTGAAAGCGGAAACACGTGGACGACGGTGTTATGATGTTATTTGAAAAACAAGAATCTGAAAAAAAAGTGGTGTTGCATCAGCCGTACCGGTTAGATGTGCGTAGTTACGCTTAGATATTTTTGGACAATCTTCGGTGTTTTTACACCGATTTCTTCAGTTTATCAGTATTTTTAACGAACGTACAACTCCGTGGCTTGTACCCAAACCACGGTTTAGGACCTGTGTCACGATTCCTAAAGACTTAGAATGGCGTATGGACTAGCTTGAAACGGTCCTTTGAGCCATATATGCACCAAACCAAACCATGATGTTATTTGAGAACATCCTAACTTCGTATCCTAAACGTGTTGACGTGTGGTATGGTCGTGTTACGTCGATAGTTTGATAAAATCCGAAAACATTGATATGGCAAGGTATAGATTGTACAATTCGCATACAAATCAAGTTAATCAATACATTCCGTGTGGCAAATGTGTGTTGTTCATGTTTACAGGAAAGTGTTGGAACGAGCGTGTGCTCTGACACTTCCAGCCAGAAAGATGAAAACTCTACTCAAGAAATATATCAATTTTGAAGAGAAGTACGGGGTTCACCCGAGGCTGTAAACCGTATCACTCAACTGGCTGCTGATTACGTTGAGAAGCAGTGTAACAAGGAATGATGTATATATGTAATATATACATGTGATATGTGATATGTATATATGTAATATATGTGATATGTGATATGTGTGATATGTATATATATATGTATAACGAGAAACAAATGTTTTTGATAGTTATATAGCAAATATTGTTTTACGCTCGCAATTGTTGCAATCAACCCAATACTTAAACCTCTCCCAAGAACCATTTTTATTTCCGATTAATGTAATCAGCAGATTAACTTAATCAAAAATATATTGGCTCTAAAGTTCCCGTATCAGACTTTGAATTGAAGTTTGAAATTAAATTGCAATTTGACCAATCAGAACAAAATTCACTAAACTTAAGACTGTCTTGTAATTGGCTGAATTCTAATTCACTTAAAATTTTATTGCGTTTTTTATGTTTGCGACAAAAAGACTCGGCTAGCAAAAATAAAATTCTCCAGAGAATAGCCAATCAACATAAGTTTTTGCGTAAATTTGCAGCCATGTAGATTGCGCTACTGTTCTTATGACTTATGACGAACGTCTTGCGTACGTCGGCGTGCGAGTGGTCGTGTCAAAATTTTTTGTTGCGCTAGTTGCGCAGTTCGGGAATAAACGGTGCGAAGGTTCGGTAGGTCTTTCGCGTTTGCTTCGTCATCAGCTGTAAGGGCGTATCTGAATTAAGAACATTAGCCCGCTGGGCTGTCTCAGCCCAGAAGAGCGAAGAAATGTCAATACGGACGGTGGTCTATCGTCTTGTGCAAAATGGTCGTGGTATATTGCGCACATTACGAAACAACGAGCACTTCTATTCAAAGGGATACGCGGATAAACAGCTCGACAAGATACACGTTTCCCAGAGAGGTAAACAACACTGCTTTTGCGTTTCTCTAATATCGAAACAAAGACTATATTTGTATCAAACAAAAAAAATGTTAATGACTCAAATTAACAAGTATGATAAAGCTTATCTTCAGATATGGTGATAATAAGAACAAAATTGTGTTACTAAAATACTGCATAAAGGTATTTCAATAGTTGTTACAAATAGAGTATTTATAACTGATGATTTTAAAAACAATGTGGGACGATAAGTTTGACCTTGTATTGTTGATGTGTTATACATTAAGTATTTCAAACATATTTTGTTGATTGAATGTTGATTATTTGATTTGATAAAGAGATTACTTGACAGCACTTAGTATACTAATGGCTGTGTTTATAATAGGCCAATCCCAGAGCAGTAACCTTCCTTGCCCGAATAGCGGCAATGTATGGAGTACTGGAAGGCATCTTGGCTACTTAGGAGCGCACGCTCGACGCATCTTTGTTGAGAACATCTTGAAAAGAGTGACCAACAGTCTCGCGGCAGATTTGAGAAGACGAGCGGCAACCAGACTTGTTTTTGGTGATTCTGCGCCATTCTTTGCTCTTGTCGGTGTGTCGTTAGCATCAGGTACTGGGATATTGACTAAAGATGATGAGCTGGAAGGTGTCTGTTGGGAAATACGGGTGAGTTTTGGTTTTGATATTTAATATTTTGACAAGATAAAATTACTATGAACTATACATATGTATATATATTTATTTATTTTCTACAGGAATCAGCTTCAAAGTTGCAGTGGAACATGCCGCAAAATGACAAGAATTACGAAACTATTGCGCTCGACGAGAATACTATGACTCTACGAAATTTTGTAATCGGACCTATTATTGCTAAAGGTTGTTCGGCTGTTGTTTACGCGGCACGACTTGCCGATGTGAATACCGATCGGGACGAAAGCGACGATTCTCAGAACGAAAATAACGATTCGATAAACATCGATTTCAAAACAAAGGATATGAGTGCGTTTCCGTTAGCCCTAAAAATGATGTTTAATTACGATGCCGAGTCTAACGCTGCTGCTATTCTGAGAGCCATGTACAAGGAAACAGTGCCCGCCAGAAAACACGGAAGCAACGAGTTCGCTTCCTGGGATCGTAAGCTGGCGGAAATGAAAATGACGCTGCCACCGCATCCGAATGTTGTAGCGATGTATTACGTCTTCGCCGATCGAATACCAGCGCTGCCTGATTCGTTGGGAATATATCCTGACGCTTTACCAGTCAGAATCAATCCCGAGGGATCAGGCAGGAATATGAGCCTGTTTCTAGTGATGAAAAGGTTTTTGAGAGACATAATTTTACTTTATCGTTCACGCAATATAATTTACAAAAATCCCACACTCATACGTCACGTTGTCTTAGGTATGACGTCACGTTGAAACACTATTTGGCGAGTCAAAACATCAATACCCGAGTATCGATATTGCTGCTCGCCCAGCTTCTCGAAGCTGTAGTTCACATGAACGCAAACGGCATAGCGCATCGGTAAACGATCGTACATTTTTGTAAAATGCAACGTCGCGTATCCCGTGATATTCAACTTTGCATTCTCTGTTTTTATGATTTAGAGATCTGAAGAGCGATAACATCCTGCTTGACTTATCGGAAGAGACTGACAACTGTCCGTCCTTGGTTGTGACGGACTTCGGTTGTTGTCTGGCTGATAAAAGATACGGACTTTATCTACCTTACAACACTCACGACGTCGATAAAGGTGGGAATGTCGCACTGATGGCGCCGGAAGTGATCACGGCGGAACCCGGACCGTTTACCAACATCAACTATACCAAAGCCGATCTCTGGACTGTGGGCACTATAGCGTACGAGATATTCGGAATGCAAAATCCGTTTCAAGGAAAAATGGGTGAAAAAGCTGCTCTAAGCAGTCGTGATTATACCGAAGACGCGCTTCCCGCGCTACCAAGCGACGTGCCGCCGATCATTAACGCTGTTATTAAGAACACATTGGCCAGAAGTTTGTACAAGGTTTGTACAATAAGATGTTAACAGTCTGCCGTATTGAAAGTGAGAAATTTATATCAAACTAACAAGAGCTTGGTTTTTAACACACAGCGGCTCGACAGTGAACTAGCGGCGACTATAGTTCAACTATATTTGTGGGCGCCTAGTTTTTGGCTTAAAAGCGAGGGGCAGTTACCATCGAGCAACGAGGTAAAATAGAACGCACGTTGCGGAGTATTGTTTTTTTCCGACGCGTGAGTAATTTCAGTAAAATTTCTTTTTAACTAAAAACTCTTATGTGCACGCAATATAGATCATGCAATGGCTCTTATGCCTGACCACGAAAGTTCTTTGCGAGGGACGAAGTGCGAATTTGGTCCTGTTGCAAGAACCGGTCGTCAGTACGGACCGTGATATCGAGGAGAGACGTAACGAGTACAAGAGAACGCTTTCAACGCGTTCTTGCGGAAGACGCACAATGCCGGAGTATCAGTTAATTGCGAGTTTTCTGAGCAGAGTAACGCTGGCAAGTATTAGGACCGCCCTAAAGTGGATACATCGAAACGTGTAATCGAAGAAGAGAAGGGTAGTATAAACAATAATCGTTATACTTACACAAAAAAAGACGCAGCCAAAATGCTTTGCAGAAAGTTTACGGAAAAATTCAATCATCCCCACGGTATATTGCGTATCAATTTTCGAAATTGCTTTTTTTCTTTAGCATTTCGATTACTTTGGATATATATTTCCCCATGGTTACTTTTTCTATAATTGTTCCTCTTGAGACGACTTTCATTGTTATTTTCATATACAATTTCCAGTATTTGATTTTGATACTTGAAGAAGCACAAAAGGGCAATTTTTTGAAAAGCGGGTAATATTCGCTACAAATGTCGCACGATTTGAGACGATCGATTTTCGAAGTGTCGTCGTGCGAGCTCTTTTGTGATTCTAGTGCCTTGCAATAATGAGGAATACAGAAAGTAATTGTAAATTGTTTTATTTGTACGAATATTTACTCCCTTTTTGTGTACTGTTTTATTTGTTCGGCGCATGTTCGTTGGTATACATATTTAACAATAAAAATATACGAAGAAAACTTGTGCAAAAATATTGCAACTCACTGAACACTGAGAACACTGAAAACTGAGATGTGTATGTTGAATATAAAAAATTATAAATTTTAATCGTTAAATTTAGGCTGTGTTACAAATAGGGCCAAACTTCAATAAGTTAAAATACGTTATTACATGATGTTAGCTAAAAATTAAGAAAAAGTGTACGAAAAAAAATATATTTTAAATTTATCTCCCTTAGTGAGATTTATTTTTGTAATTCACATCAGTGTTCTATGTACTGGAATGTTCGTAACGTTGGTTTTTTGCACCACGGCTGCGCTCACTTTCGTGCTAAAAGTATCATCTTCATTGCTCGTTAAAAATGTAGAACGTAGACATAGATTAACGCTTTCTTAGCACGAAAGCAATCCATGCATGCCTTACTTGCTACATTGTTTGCGCTCAATGCTTCAAGTTTCTAAAGTCTAAATTAGTGTAAAAAAACTCATATCGCTTTGTTGTATCAGAGTCTTTTATTTTTCCACCAAACTTTTCCTTGGTGGAAAATATAAACTATGTACTCTTACGCCTGGTGGAGTTTTTAAAAAATCTTGCAAAAGAGAAAGTCAACAAATGAAATAAACAAATTGATTGATGAGCATTTATTGTTTTGCTTTCATTTATCTTTTATCACATCTATGTCATTCTTGTCTACGACAACAAAAGTAACGTATATACAATGTCATTCACTAAGCGCAAATATGTAAAACATTTTACAAAATTTTTATTAACTTTTATAATTTAATGTTTTTAACACACACAATTCTTGTTTTATCCCGATTATTATAAATACTCGATATCGGTCGAAGTATTCACAAAGTCGAATGCACTGTTATACTGCAAAATCGTGTCTTTGAATGCTTTCAATTTAGCGATAGCATTTTTGTGTATTTTCACATTCTTTTTTTTATATCTCACTGCCGTAATCATTTTGTCCAAAGTATAATGTAACCATAAAATGTTCGTATATGGTTCGTATTTTCGCCACGTATTCCTGCTCACGTTCAAATCAACGATGTCAAAAAGTCTATCTTAGTATGCAGTTAAAAAAAAAAAAAAAATTAGCTTTTTTAAACGAAAATGAAAACTTACCCAAGTTTATCGCGCATAAGACGATAAATCTCAAACTGATAATCGCCATACGCAGTGAACAAAGCCGGATCTACCGCGAGGTCATTATACATGCAGCATCCTGCATATGATACTCTTGACAGAGTGAAATCTATTATAGACGCCTTGGAAAAAAATTTGCTAAGATTATTAGATATTTAGATATTAAAAAAGTAACGACACTGAGTACATTTTTTTTTTTTTTTTAAATAAACATACCTTCATTCCTTTGCTAGGAACTTTGATTTCTTTCTCACTAAGATTGTAATATACGTACGGCTCTTTCGTTCTCGATATCAGTACATTGCCCCAATGCAAGTCTCTGTGCTCAAATTCAAGCGCCTTTTCTCCAACCGCCAGTGCAAATGCGATCTATAAAGCAGAAATTAGTGTATAGCAGATTACGCGCGACAGCCGACAGGGTAACAAAGCATCAACCTGTAAAAATACAGCACAAGCTTCTTCAGCAGTCTGAAAGACAAAAGCTTCGAGATCCTGTCCACCGTGACTGAGTTCGAGTGTGATGTACAACTGATTTTCGTCGAACATGGACGGACAATCGTTGTCGGATTTTTTGTTGTCGTCGTAAATGTTCCAAAGCTCCACGAGCTTTTTTGGATATTTTCCTACAACACAGTTGACACTTTTGACATCCACAAATCCGTCCGTCCTGTACGTAGTATTCGATTTCAAATTAGCCAATTCTCTGCAATACACATTTTTTTAGTCTTCCTTGACAAGAAAAACATTTGTTGTTTTTTCTTTTTTCTTACTCGGACTCACTTCGCTATTACAATTTCGGACAAAATCTCGTTGAATTTCTTTTGCGGCTCACCGTTGACCATTTCTTTACCTTCTATGGGAATAATCTTTAGAACGGACTTGGTGCCATTGTGTTCGTACAGAAAAACCTCTCCGTAAACGCCTTCACCGATTTTATGGCAGTGCTCCAAGTATCTGTCAATAAAAACAACACGGTTGAACGATAAAATTAACACAAAGAAAAAATTGTAATTTTAATACAGCTTATCTACGTACGAATCTGGAAAACATTCTGAGAAGGGTAGATAACAGTTCTGTGAACATCGTTGCAGGACAACGTTCCTCGCGGTCACGGACTTTCTGTCGATAATCGGGCTGTGTACGGACAATTTTTCTCGATCTGCAAATATCCGACAGTAAATCAACGAACACAAACTTTGCATGTGACACGTATACAGTAAATACACGTCACGGAACAAGAGGCGCACGTGTAAATGCTTACGTGATATTCCAAATGCTTCCAGAAATGAAGCGTCTTTTGTGTCGCACTTGGCGTTTGTATTGTTGAGTACAATTCGCACCGAGATTCTCTTGGAAAGTCTGGCATGGTTCGTCGGATTGATCGCGATACACTTATTCGCGTCGAGCGACGGCACATCAGACACGTCAATGCAGGACAAATTCACAACATCCTTGTCTGCTTTCAAGCAACTCTGAAGAAGCCCTGCGCGCAACAATCGTTGGTATTAGCTACACTTAATAGCTATTTGTCACAAGAGTACCGCCTACTTCATATACATGTACTTGCGCGAAGTATCCCACCCATTTACTGACGCGAGAAAACTTAAAAAGTCGAAAATATAAGAGCCACCCTACACTTTGTCAAAATTACCTTGTTTCTGCATATCTAGCACGTCTCTGACGCTGGACCTCCACTTTTTTCCTTTCCCTACGCTCATTTTATCCAAGTTTTCTTCATTGTTTATATTGGTTAGTATGGACAAAGATCTGGCCCAGTGTTTGCCGGATTTTAGAAAAATTTTTTCCATTCCCATTTTATCCTCGTTATCGCACAAATTATTTACCGCTTCGAGACAATTCATCTCGGAACTTATTGCACTTGTTTCGACAGCAAGAATTTTATTCGACTGCGCGGAATTGTTAATTAAACTTTCGAAGATATCCGACATACTCATTTGCCACCTGCCGTATTGAGTTCTCTTCGCCGTGACTCTGATCGGATCTTCCAATTCCGCGAGCATTGCGCGCGTCCCATCCGTTTCGTCGAGAATCTGCTCACCAACGTTTGCTCCGTTGGTGATTTGGTCTTTAAAGTTCTCGGAAATGTTTGTATTCGCATCTGTTACGGATTGCGACATCGATTCATTTTCTTGAGTTTTGTTTTTGCACTTCACTCTCGTACGGGTTATATCTGAATTTCCAAATGTCGCATGTTCGTTCAATAAATATTCGTTTATTTGATTATCTTCACTCGCAGACTCTGTCAAATATTTACAATTGGTCATTGTCTCGCTAAACAACGATCGCGAGCAATCGGACAACGCGCTCAGAGAACACATGGATGCCTTATCGCTTTGTGCGTCAAGTTTCTGTGTGAGTGCTACGTAAATTTGGTTGTCCTCAAGATGCATTTTCTCGAGTTTGACGGAGGAATTTCTGGTTACTCGCGCCTGCTGAGATAACAGCAAGATCTGCGTCTGTTCCTCGTGCACGGCTGTGTCCGGTTCTTTCGAAAGTTTACTCGACGGACAAACATCGTTTTCATCGGATTCATTGGAAGATACGATATTTGAAATATCTCGCTCCGAACGTTCATCGAAACTTCCGTCAAATGAATTTCCAATTAATTGTGTCCGAGTTGCGTCTAACAGTGAGATTTGCGTCTGTTTCTTTTCTCGCACGTCTGTTTCCGATTCTTCCCAAAGTTTATTCGGCGAACGAAAATCTTTTTTATCGAATTTAACAGAAGATACAATATTCGAGATATCTTGCTCGGGAAATTCGTCTGTTTGCACAAGTGAATGCGGCATATTGAAAACAGTATTATTAATTGGAGACAATAATACCGAACAGATGGGAAGCCTGTCGAGTCTTACGCGCTTGTTAATGGGAGTGCTAGAAATAATAAATTGTCTTTTCTTCGTAGACGCCGCATCAACTTTTTTTACAGTCTCTCTTGCTTGCTTTGCACTTACAGGACTAGTTTTTACTGAATTGTTTCTACTTCTCGTAACATATGAATAAAACGTGCTATTATTACAAGCGGCGGTTTCTGATAAATTAAGCGAATTTCTCTCGTCTTCTGCTGCAATCACAGAATTTACCCTCCTCTTATTCTTTAATATCCAGGATTTAACAACATTATCGTCTAACACTACGAAACATGATTCGAACAAGTTATGTTTATAGTTTCTAACGGGATTGTCGTCTTTAACTGAGATCAAGTTTGCGTCAGTCTTTTTTATCGTGGAACTATTTTTGTCAGTCTCTGAAGTATTCGCACATGAACTTGTTGTGTCACAGTACGAATCTCGCTTGTCTTTTGAAGATTTCTTTTTATGCAACGTGTGCTGAACAGCATTCAACTTAACAAAACACGGTCTGATATCTTTAGCACAATTTGACGTGTATTTTGAATCAGCATCAGACCAGGCGTCATGTGAAGAAATTCCATCATCAGTCGTTGAAGTATTCTGGCCTGAATACTTCTTTCCACTGTTACACGAAATATCTGTTTTCTTTGTAGCATTTTCTTGAATACTTACATAAGAATAAACATCTAATCTTTCTTTATTGCGCAAGTTTCTAGACTGTTTAAGTTGTCTCTGTTTGTTTCTTCGCGTGCGATTTGATTGGTTCCTTCGTCCCTTTTTATTATAGTGCAATATTAATAAACAGTTAAGGAATGCGAACCATGTTCATTCTTATGTAGACTTTACATACCTGTGCTTTTTGTGGTTGTTCAGTTTTTTCTTGAATGTTACTCCCTGGACTTATTCTTGTTCTTTTAGACACTGTTTTCTTTGAAGCCACAACTTTTCTCTTATGTTTTGCTGGACTTCTGTGTTTCCTAGTCTTAATATTTGAGTGTGTTTTAGATGTATTATTGCACACAGGAGAAATAGGCAAAATAGGTTCACAAAACTTCTTGCTTTTATTGTTAATATTAGTATCACTGTCACTGCTGCTGTGCCATGAGGAATCTTGATATTCATCTGGTGGGCGAGGAGGTACACTGAAATATATAACACGCAAATTATAAAATGAGAATGTTGTTACTGAGTAACAATATTAGTGCATTTGCTAAAACTATGTATATTTAATTTTAACATTTTATATACAGTCAAACTTCCTTATTTTTGTCTTTTGCACTCTTCACAAAATTTTGTCTCTAATCTTCTGTATAATTACTTATTGAAAGAAGGAAAAAGAGAGAGAGAGAATCTAGTTCCAACTTGTCAAACTAGAAAGAAAATTTAGAGAACTTTGACTGTACATATGTTTAAACTTGCTTACACTGCTCCTTTAGCAATTCTGTCAAACGTCGTTTCAAACGGATCATTCAGAGAATCGTTAAATGAAGTTTTCACATGGTCAGTTTCTACGTTATGTTTATCAATCAGTAAAATAGGCACTTCTAAACCTATAACAGTACTTTTCGCATTTTTTCTCTGATAAGTTCGAAGTGGTTTTTTGAACATTTTTTCTAGTTACAGTGTACACATCATGAATTATTGAAGTTACTTGTTTAAAACAACGAGAAATCTTGTGTTGGAGAGCAAAAAAATTTATTTTGCAAAAATCGCGCAATATCACACTCAAAATGAGTCTCCTATCACCATTTACATTACAAAACGTTTGTAAACGTCCCAGTTGCCGACATGTAGGTCAGCGTAGGTCTCCCCGAACTCATTTTCTTTCCAAAGCTAACTACTGCAGACGCGCGGTTTTTTCGCGCATGTGCAGTTTAGACTTTTGCAATGACGTTTTCATGAAACTTCGGGTCGTTACACACGAAATGACACAGCCGTGTGTGTATAGCATAAGACAGTGTCGACCAATGAGCATCTCGCACAAAGTCGCCATATTCATATTTTGCGGAACGTAGCATACTGCTATGCTAGACGCTGATTGGTCGAGACAATGGGTGCGTTCAGACAACTCAACAGTTGCACAACGGTTGAGAGATAATCACTTCTGATTGGATCATACTTTTGGAACCAAAGCAGATTTTAAAGAATAATCCTATCATAAGTGATGATCTCTCAACCGTTGAGTTGTCTGAACGCACTCAATGTTAAGCTACTCACATGACAGCTGTCATTTTGGTTGTACGCCGCTGCCCCAAGAGTTGATGATGATTGGTCGGTTTATCAAATTGACGTCATTAATAGGGAGCGACTCACTTCGTACCGGTTGAAAACGCTAAATCGGCGAATTCAAATTTTAACACAAGAACTGTATTATACGTAACGATTTCATTATTTATTAAACATTGGGATTTTGGAAACATAAATTAAAAAAATCAACACGAAATACTAGGTATGTAAAACAATTTGTAGCTCTCTCACGGTTCACTTCTATATAAATTTATTTCATATAAAATCTGTCGCGTTGCTAACACTTTTTATTAATATTAAATATATTTATTACAACTCATAAAAAAAAAACAAAAGTGTAAAAAGTACACGCATCACAAAGATATATTCTTCAACATATATTTATTTTTGTAACACATCGTGTCTTTGTTTCGCATTTTTTGTTTTGAAATCGTCGCTTTATTCGCTCTTCTTCCAAAGTTTTCAGATTTTTTTCATCTTCTTTGAACGAGTCACATCGTTCCCGTTGGACAGTTTCTTTCTCTTCGACGATTTGCTGTTTGGGCCGCAACTTGACTTCGATACTGTTTCGCTCGTAGCTCTCAAATTTTCATATTCCGACTCCAACATGCAAACTGGCATAGAGAAATCGTTTTTGTTTGATACACAATACACGCGAATTTTAGCATGCACCTTGTAACATGGCAAATCGGGAGAGAAGTGATTTAAATTTCGCCGGACAGGTAGACACGCCAGATATCCCGAATTGTTGCGTTTTACTAGCACGAGTACGAACCACTCGGTTATCATTAGAATTTCGGCTATCAACGTAATCCTGAGGGGAAGTGCGGGCAGCGTATCTTGTTTCGAGCTGATGCTGTTCATTACTTCCGGTAACAGAGACACGTAAAGACAGTCGTCTTTCCAAAGGACTACGCTGTTTACCAACTTACCGTTTCTATTGTTACCGTAACTGTGTTCTTTCTTTGCGATAGCCTTGACTCCGTCAGACAAGCGTATCTCAACACCGTCGCTATCGCAACTCACAATGACGCCAAAAACTGTCTGACCTAAAGTTATCCTCGCAAGCGGGTGGCCCAGTTGTTCAAATCTCATGTTTAATTCTTTCGTTGCGTAGAGATACGCTATTAACGGGGTCGTCAATAAATCTTTTTTCCTATCTTCGTCAAGCGTTCCCCAAATTTCGGTCAAATTCTGCGTCAGATATACTCGCTTCTCTTGATTGTCACTAGTTTTAATTCTGGCATATAGTAACTGATGTTTATGCAACAATTTGAAGTTGCTGGTGTCTCGTTTTGACAATTTTGCATATTTGCAATATATTTGCTTAACGGGTAAAACAACTCTCACGGTGCTTTCTAATATATCGTCGACTGAACATAGAATAAAACTGTTCTCTTTCAACCAACTGAATCTATTTGCATCGAATTTGAACTTGTAAGCACGTGACAACAGTAACGTTGGTACTGTATTAAAAACATAGGCTGTAATTATATCTCCAAGTTTATACTCCCGCATTATTTTATAACCGAGTTTAATACAAGGAGCCATATGACCTGCCGGTAAGAAACCGGTTATGTATATTTCGTTAGAAATGTATACTTGTACGGTAAGCATCCCGTCCATGTCTCCGAATTCCTGTTTTCTAATAATTATCCCACGAACTTCTTGTCCGAGATCTATGGAGACACTATTATTCTGCGGTCCTGTAGAAACAAACTCTAATTTCATTTTCTTCTTTTTCTCATCTATCGATTTGACGCGTACTTTTACAATTTTGCCAATTTTTTGGGAGCGATTATCAAAACACCTTGGACATATGGAGTGCGGCACATATCCTTTGACATCTTCGTAAAACCTTATAATCGAGCAATTTTTTCGAACTTTCACCACTGTACCGTGATATATCGATCCGCATTTCGCCTGCGAAATGTCGCATAGAATCGGCAGGTCGCTGTACAATCTCATGGTAAACTTTACCCAAGACGTCCATGGATCTATACTCAAAACTCCCACCCGAATAGATTCTCCACCGATAAATTGACGCGCACCGTTGTTGTGTTCCGGTGGTACAAACCCACGACTAAATTTTGTTTTCACAAATACGTGATTCTTCTTAACATCTGTGACTTGTACCTCAACAACATCGCCAATTTTAAAATCTCTAAATGAATAGGCTTTTGCCTCCGACTGTAGGCAAAAGGTATAGTATTCCATTGAACACAAGTGAAGCTGTTCTATCCACCAGTATCCACGTATTCTGCATTTATGTGTAGTACCCGGTGCGTAGATAGTCGGTATCTTGTCAAACGGAAAAACACTTTTGAATAGAGGTATTAATCCAAAAGCATGGTTTACTGACGGTTTGTCAGAGGAGAAAGGCAATCTGACCAATATCTCTTCCTTTTCTCTTATTTGTAAAACTACAGCCTTATTTATGAAATCGCCGTAATTGAATTTCTTTTTACAATCGGTGATCAATAAAGAAAAATACGCCTGTTTCACAATGGGTAGCACGTACAATAACATGCCGGTAACTTCCATATCGTTTTTGTATTTACTTATATCTTTGTCCAAGTGCAAGTCGTGTACGTATCCGATGATGTTTTCTCCGAATGCAACTTGGAAGCCATTCTTGATGCGCTTCACAATGCGAAGGGACAATTGCGTTCCAGGTGTTATACTGTCTAAGAACATCGTGTCGTACGTGCTGACTTTATCAATTGTCTTCTTCTTGGCTGTCAGGTGAACGATAGAAACGTGATCTGCCGTTTGTATCTCTTTAACGACGCAAAACAATTGATTACCTGGCACTGAACACATTATGACGCTAATTAGTTGTCTTGTACTCAGATTAATATTTAATTTAATAGAATATATACGCGCTAATTGCATTTACTTACAGTAAGACTTCCCGTCGTCAATATTCTCGCTAGCTAAAAATGCTTTGACATTAACTATACCCGTGTCAATCACATATCCATTCTCTTGCACGCTCATAATGGTGCAAACAATTTTTACACCTTCTGCGAGAAAACTACTAGGAACTTTTTGATTTATCAACTGCGGATCCAGAGATACAGAAATCTTTAAAATGTTATCTTTACAATATTTCCTCTTGATATAACATACTACGTAATCACCAGGATTATACAAGTTTGATATAGGTTGAACTTGAAGTAAATGAGTCGAATTCAAACTAGTGTCAAATAAAAGTTTGTGTGTGATTCCGTCTGAATACAATCGGCTGAGATCGAAAGGCGTTACACTTCCATAATTACCACCAGGTAGAGACACAAATATTTCATCTTTAATTACAGTATCAACTCGACCAAGAATCGTCATTTTTTCCTGTATATCTTGTTTACGTAAACAGTGTACTACATTGAGAAGACTTGTGTCCTTTGTACTTTTATTGTTCCCTTTTTTTGTCTGAGTTTTATGTTTTTTCTTCTGCTCACGCTTTTTATCCAATAGCTGAAGCAAATAAAAAATATATGAGTTACTTATATTTGATCATAAAACTTAAGTTGATTTATTGTAATGTGTGTTAAACAACACAGAGTAAATGTATATATACATCTAAAGAATTGTTTACATTGAGTTTTTTCTCTCCTCGCGGGAAACGTTCCAATGCCATCTGAAAGAAGATTTGATATTATAGCAAGTAGAAGATAACAAATATCTAAAACTAATTGTTTCGTTTTTAATGCAATATTCACAATATGAGCAAATGCAGATTTGCTCTGTAAAAACTGAATTTGCATAGTGTGTTAAATCAAATTATCAAGTAAAAAATTTGTTTTATGTTTACCGTGTCTTATGCTCTTATGCTCTTCAGCCAGCCTACTTGAATTTAAAACACTACTATCATACACTTGTTATTGAGAAAACCTTGAACCTAAATTAAAATTTGATAATAGTTATATTATTGTAGAACATGTTGTAGGAATGTTTACTAATATAATTAAATAATCATTACACTAAAAAAAAAAAAAAAAAAAAATGGTCTCTTACTTTTTAATCTATATAAATCAGGATCTTATCCAACCACACCCAATTCAGCTCACATAAACATATCAGAAATAAACTGCGCATTCTCTATCTTGTCTGGAAAGGGAATGGTCAAAAAACGAAGGGTGCTTTCCAGCCACGTATACAGACGACATTGTGTAACACAGTGTCCATTAGTGTGAGAAAGAGCGTATCAGTGTGTCTCACTCACACTAGTAAGTGGAAAGCACCCCTTGTTTAGTGATGCGATGATTGGACAAGAAAAGTAGTAGGAATGAGAAATAGCATAGTGGGGTGATATAAGAACACCAAGAGATCTAGAGTAAGTTCCACTTGTCGTTTGCAAGGTTTATAGAATCATTTGTTTTTCATTGAAAGGTAAACAAAGATAGGGTAACGCTCACGAACGGCAAGTGGAACTTACCTATAAGAGCAAAAATGACGCAATTCGATTGACGAATTTGTGAAGTTTTCTTTCAGTTCATTTCTATATAATTTATTTTATATGAAGTCTGTCGCGTTACTTATACTTTATATTATTATTATTATGTATTATTTATTACAATTCATACATTGATCATAAAAAAGAAAAATATAAAATTGGAAAAAGTACACGCGAAAAAGTACACGCGAAAAAATATTCTTCAACATGTATTTATTTTTCTAACACATCGTGTCTTTGTTTCTCATTTCTTGTTTTGAAATTGTCGCTTTCTTCGCTCTTCTTCCAAAGTTTTCAGATTTTTTTCATCTTCTTTGAACGAGTCACATCGTTTTCTTCGGGTAGTTTCTTTCTCTTCGACAGTTTGCTTTTTAGGTCGCAACTTGACTTCGACACTGTTTTGCTCATAGATCTCAAATTTTCAAATTCCGACTTCAGCATGCAGATTGGCACGAGAGAGGACTCGTCTCTGTCTGCTACACAATACACGCGAACTTTTGCATAAACTTTGTAACATTTCAAATCGGGAAACATGTGATTTAAATGTCGTCGGACAGGTAGACACGCCAGATATCTCAAATTTTCGCGTTTCACGAGCACAAGTACGAACCACTCGGTTATCATTAGAATGTTGGCTCTCAACGTAATCCCGAGGGGAAGTGCGGGCAGCTTATCTTGTTTCGGGCTGATGCTGTTTATTACTCCCGGTACCAGTGACACGTAAAGACAGTCGTCTTTCCAAAGGACTACACCGTTCACTAATTGTCCCATTTCATAGTTACCGTAACTGTGTTCCTTCTTTGCGATAGCCTTGACTCCGTCACACACGTGTATCTCAACACCATCGCTATTGCAACTCACAACTGCGCCAGAAACTTTCTGACCTAAAGTTATCTTTGCAAGCGGATGGTCTCCGATCAGTTGGTCTAATTCTCTCATTTTGTTGAGATACATCGCTAACACGTCCACTGACGCATGTATTTTCATGTCATTGTTAAGCGTACTTTCCCAAATGTCGGTCAAATTCAGCGTCAGATGTAATCGCTTCTCTCGTTTGTTAATAGCTTTAATTCCGGCATATAGTAACTGATGTTTCTGCAACAGTTTGAAGTTGCTGGTGTCCCGTTTTGACACACTTCCATATTTATCGTAATCCTGAACGGGCAAAACAACTCTCACGATGTTTTGCAATGAATCGTAGACTGAACATAGAATTGAAGAGCCTACTTTCAACAAATTGAAACTACTTTCTTCAGGTATAGGTATGAAAGTACGTGACAACAGTAACTCTGGCTTTGTAGCGAAAACAATAGCTTTAATTGTATCTCCGAGTTTGTACCCCCGCATCAATTTACAACCGAGCTTAATACACGGGGCCATATGACCAGCCGGTAAGAAACCGTTTTCGTGTGATCCGTCTTTATTGCATAATTGTACGGTAAGCATTCCGTTCATGTCTTCGAATTCCCGTTGTCCAATAATTATCCCTTCAACTGGTTGTCCGACAGAAAAACAGCTCTCAACATCCTCCGGTTCTTCAGGAACAAACTCCAATTTCATTTTCTTTTTTTTCTCATCTATTGATTTAACGCGCACTGCAACAGTTTCGCCAATGATGCGATTATACATATTGCCTGAACCCGCGATGTGCGGCACAATTCCTTTAACATCTCCATAAAATCTGATGATCGAGCAATTTTCTTCAACTTTCACCACTGTACCGTGATATATCGATCCGCATTTTGCCTGCGAAATGTCGCATAGAATTGGAAAATCGCTGTGTATTAGTGAGTTTTTTAAGGTAAACTTTACCCAAGACGTCCAAGTATCTATACTCAAAACTTTCGCATGAACAGATTTACCGATAAGCTTGCGCACTGCGTTGGTGAGACCAATATAGTTATCAGACACATGTTCCGGTGGTACAAAACCTCGAATAAATTCTGTTTTCACGAATACGTGATTTTTGTCGTTAACATCCGTGATTTGTACCTTGACAACGTCGCCAATTTTAAGATCGGAAATGAGTTTTGCCTTCAAGAGTAGGTATTCCATCGAACACAAGTGAAGCTGTTCCATCCACCTGTATCCAATTATTCTGCATTTATGTGTGGTACCCGGTGCGAAGGTGGTCGGTATCTTCTCAAACGGAACGCCAATTTTGTATCGAGGTACTAATCCAAAAGCACGGTTTACGGACGGTTTGTCAGAGGATGAAGGCAATCCGACCAATATCCCTTCCTTTTCTCTTATTTGCAAAACTTCGGCCTTATTTACGATATCGCCGTAATTGAATTTCTGTTTACGATCGTTGATCAATAAAGAAAAATACGCCAGTTTCACAATGGGTAGCACGTACAATAACATGCCGGTAACTTCCATATCGTTTTCGTATTTACTTATGTCTTTGTCCAAGTACAGGTCGTGTACGTAACCGATGTTATTTTCTCCGAATGCAACTTGGAAGCCATTCTTGATACGCTTCACAATGCGAAGGGACAATTGCGTTCCAGGTGTTACACTGTCTAAGAACATCGTGTCGTACGTGCTGACTTTATCAATTGTCTTCTTCTTGGCTGTCAGTTGAACGATAGAAACATGATCTGCCGTTTTTATCTTCTTAACGACGCAAAACAGTTGATTACCTGGTACTGAACACATTATGACGCCAATTAGTTGTCTTGTACACAGATTAATATTTAATTTAATAGAATATATACGCTAATTGCATTTACTTACAGTAAGACTTCCCGTCGTCAATATTCTCGCTAGCTAAAAATGCTTTGACATTAATCATACCCGTGTCAATCACATATCCATTCTCTTGCACGCTCATAATGGTGCAAACAATTTTTGCACCTTTTGCGAGAAAACTACTAGAAACTTTTTGATTTATTAACTGTGGATCCAGAGATACAGAAATCTTGTTATTTTCACTATGTTTTCTCTTGATATAACATACTACGTAATCACCAAGATTATACAGGTTTGATATAGGTTGAAATTCAAGTAAATGAGTCGGATCCGTACTGGTGTCAGATATAAGTTTGATCCCGTTTGAATACGATCGGCTGAGATCGAAAGGCGTTACAATTCCTAAATTACCACCAGGTAGAGACACAACTATGTCATCTCTTTTTACATTATCAACTCGACCAAGAATCGTCATTTCTTCCTGTATATCCTGTTTACGTAAACAGTGTACTACATTGAGAAGAAATGTGTCCTCTGTACTTTTATTGTTCCCTTTTATTGTTTGGGTTTTATGTTTTTTCTTCTGCTGACGCTTTTTATCCAATAGCTGAAGCAGATAAAAAAAATATATTTCACTTATATTTGATCATGTAACTTAAATTGATTTATTTTGATGTGTTTATTAAACAACACAGAGTAAATGTATACATACATCTAAAGATTTTTTTACATTAAGTTTTTTTCCTCCTCGTGGGAAACTTTCCATTGTCATCTGAAAAAAGTTTTGATATTATAGCAAGTAGAAAATACCAGATGTCTAAAAAAAATAATTTTGTTTTTAATGCAATATTTACAATATGAGCAAATGCAGTTTTGCTTTGTAAAAACTTCATTTGCATATTGCGTTAAATCAAGCTATGAATTAAAAAATTGGCTTTATGTTTACCGTGTTTTAATTCAGCCGGCTTACTTGAATTTAAAAAACTACTAGTACGCGCTTTGTAGGTTATTGAGAAAATACTGAACCTATCAAATTAAAATTTGATATTAGTTATATTATTGCAGAACATGTTGTAGGAATATTTACTAATATAAGTAATCAGTCATAATAATTAAATAATCATTACACTAATGTTCTCTCACTTTTTAATCTGTACAAATCACGATTTTTCACCTAACCGCATCCAACGCATTTAGGAGCACGATGCACATGGCACGTGGGTAGCTGACCATTGCGCAGAAGAACCGTAACCTAACTTAGTCTGACAAAGGCGGGTCAAATACGAATCTCGTCGAGGAGATTAGCGGAGAAATTGAAGGATAAAAATAACAGTTTCCGAACACTTAAGTTGCGAGGAATAAAGAAAGTTGCTATAGTGGATACAAGAAGTTAACGGAAAAAAATACAGCATCCATCACACAGATTTGAAAATATTTAACAATCTTTTTATTTTTACTTACATAATTTCCGAGATACAGTAGATGTGTGTCTCTTTAGGAGATCTGTGTCACTACAGGTAACTTTTCTTTATCTTTTATATCTTTTAAAAATGCTGTTAAAACAAATCCTTGATATGAACATCAATCGATATAATTATAACACATTGGATTTACATCGGGTTTAGACGGCACTTTGCGCTCTGTCACATAGACCTTGATGATATTATGTTTCTTGCGTGTCGCTTCCACTATAGCGGAGCAGTACACTTTTAGAGAGAAATAATAAATAAGTTCAATGCTGGTGATTATCGAATACCCAAGAAACAAGCCTGCGATACCACCGAGGGAGACCACCAGGTCCAAGTAACTGAATCGCATTTTTTTTCTGAAAAACATGATGGGCCACTTGCTCAAATCAATTTTGCATAACTCGCTTTCCTTGCTTGTATCGAGATTGTTGTAGACCGCTATTTGGTGACAATTATACGTGATATGATCGCAGGACAGCAGACAATCGCAGTCTGTCGTCTCGGTGCGATTTGTATTCGCGCACGAATACTCGGAGAGAGAACACTCTCGATGATCTCCGAACTCGGCCAGAAACCACGGCACACAGCCGCATTTCGCGAACACGCGGTTAGACAGACATCGCAGTTCGCAATTGTTCACGGTCAGAGCCTCGTTGTCGTAATGACACTGCCGTTGGGACCGTCGTAACATTCGAAGATCCGACGTGGTGTAGGTGATGTAAGCTTCAATCTTGATCGTCACCGGTTCGTGAATCACATCCACCGGTTTCTGATCGCGCTGCGGTCCTTTGTCCATTTTATTCATCAGATACAATCTGTTGGAAAAAGATGAAAAACATTGAATAGAGCTCGCGAAAAATATTCGTGACACAAAGCATATGAAATTTTCAATAATTACACATCGAGACTACATAAACAATCGTGTATGTAGTTACTTAAATGGATAAATCGCCGGCACGAAGGAGAACGCCCAGGAAGAATTTGTTATTGTAAGAATCCTCGAAGCGTTGAACTTGCAACATGCACCAACGGAAGTGATCACTTTTGCGAGACTTTTGGAACATGCTTCCTCCTTTTTGCTAAAATATTACAAGGCGCAACAATGTACATATGTATATATATATATATTTGGTAAGAAAACAATATAAAAAATTATTTTTACAAGAAAAACATTTTATTTGTTGCAGTTTACCTGAACGTGCAATTACCGTAGAACGCATCGCAGTCGGGCGTTAGTGAATAAAAAATGTTGCGAAAATTCTTTTCGTCTTGCAACTCATCTGGCAGCGGTTCAATAGCTTCGCCCCATCGCCAGTTGTATACTTTTTCGTATAAAGTTCTTTCATTCTATATTTGCCACACGAACAATAATTAAAATTAATATTTAAAAAATATCAAAAATTACGCAAGCGTTTTGCGTCAAGCGGAGTGGAAAAATACATGCCTCCCTTAAATTAGAATGATTCAGTTGTGACCAATCGAGGCAAAGGAATATCTGCGGAAAATCGAGTTTAATGTTTTCGGTGGATGTATCGACTTCGCTCATAGTCGGTTCTCTTTGAAATCTGTCCCAGATTATCAACATGACCCAGATTGTCGCAATCAGTGAGGACACGGTTAATATTAACCATAATATTCTACGCAAAATAAGTATATTCTGCATTTTATTATATTTTTATTGATAATATTTTGTGACAATTGTATTATTATTAATTTTTACATTGTCGCATTGTGTTACAGTGTTAAATAAAATTGTGATGTGCATAAATACCTCTCCCATTTCCGCAGCGATGAATCCACGATGTACGATATGCCGTGCAACGAGTTTTCCAGAAAATACTCCTTGCTCCTGTATTTCAGACTCGTACGTAATTGTGACAACGAGATTCCGTATTCGTATTTCATATCATATGTGTATAATCTCACGGCAACACAATTGCGAAGAAACAAAATAAGAAACACCGGAAGTAACTCTTGCGAATTAATGCTTTATCGTTACGGCCATTAGAATGACGTAAAGTCGTCGTTTTGATTTAGCTCCGACGTATCTCACCGTAGAAATCTATCGCGTGACTTGTCAATTATTCAATGAGCGTGCAAAGTTTCATGCAAAAATTTATAATACAGCGAAAAAAATTTCATTTGTCCCGGCGACAATTATTTATCGGTCTTTTGTTTCTTCTCAGTTTTCTCCGGAAACTACGGTAAAGACGTGTATGATCGCGTATGATCGGACGTGTCCTTCAAAAAATTTACGTCTTTACTTTTTCATCGTTAAACGACGATTACTAGCAAGAAACGCTTTTCCCTCCGCGAGTATTGTTCCGAGATGTAAGTTATTATTCCAGTTGTTTCTTGTCATTTCAAGAATCACCCATCTCGCGTAGAAACACAAACAGCTCCGGTCCTCTTCGTGTGCTCTCGCCGCTTTATTTTTTTTGGTCCATTCTCTTTACCGTCGCCATCTGCGCGCATGCTGACTTTGACGTTCGCTCGCGCGAATGACATTCGGTAACGCATTGGGGCGGGTGTAACCAACTCCCGCTTGCATCCCTCCCTTACCTTGGATTTGATTTCTATAATAGCGTTTTCTCGCAATGATTCATTTAAACCGATTTTACGTTTATTGAAGCTCGAAATTGTCACGGATTTGGCTCGTTAAGTATTTCGTTAAGCAAAAAAATTATCTAAATTCGAAGATTATCTTCTTAACAAACGATATTCACATTTTAGATCCGGCGGGAACTCGGATCTCCACCCCCATCCGAAAAAAACAATAACCGAGCAAAGATATGACGAGTCGATTGCTTTCGTCTGATGTATATGAATCGAAGAAATATCTCTTGGAAGACGATGAAAGAAAAAGAATGAGGATCGCGGCGCTATTCTTGCGTCCAGGTGTGAGTTTGTAACGCCAGTATAAATATACAACACTTACGCCATTCCGAAGAGGCACTTCGTGAACTATTAACGTATCTCCCCTGCCCCGCGTTTACGTTGCCACTTTTGTGTCTGGACTCGCGCGTATATTTTGGATCTTTACAAGCCGATCTTTAAACCACGCTCGCTCTCATTATTAACGAATCTTCAATCGATTATAGCGTCAATCTCGCGCCATTCCTGCACATCAGTCGTGCGCTGCTAACGTCGAAAAGCACAGTCCTTGAAAATTATTTCGAATCTCGCAGAAAAAAAAAACGGTCTTCCGTCAGCCGTCAGTCGTCTGAGGTTGCGGGAAAGAAGCGGCAGACTCTCTCATGTGTCTTGTAAAAAAAATTTGACAGAAACCACCAAAGCAATTTTTCTCTTATGAAGATATTTAAAACGGAGAATCGATGAATTTTTAAATCACCCACACAAAACTTGTAAAAAAAAAAAGTGAAGATAAACGAGTCGAGAACGCGCGTATAAGTTGATTTTCGATTTCGAAGCTTTTGTGTAAAAAAATCTCAAGTGATTTCTGGCGAGTTTTGGCGCGAGAGCATATACATTCGCGCGCTACACAGATACGCATTCATCGGGACACAAACACACATTCAGCAACACACACACACACGAGTTCTGTACGACACTCATATTCTCGTAAGTCGAGTCGACTTCTTTATCATGATTGAAAGCTGAAAAGTCGAGTTGTTTGCGAGTAACGTATAAAAGAGAATGAGGGTGAGGGAATGATATATCAAGCTGAACGGGATCATGATATGGCGTAGTGTCTTTTTATATTTTTTACTCGCTCTCCTGAAAATTACGCCACATAAAGATCACGTGCACTTTGTCAAAAAAACAAAATGCATTAATTTAATATATTGCGCAAGTGACCGACAACAAAAATATGAAAAACAAATAACTTAAAATTTTATAATTTTGATTATTTGTATTTATTTTGATTTTTTGTCCTCTATCCAAAAAAGAAAAAGTTTAAGAAGTTCTACGATGATTTCTTGAGAATATGTAAAACGATAAGCAGCTGCGATAGTCGCAGCATCCCTCGTACTGATACCGCATGCGTCAACGTATTTATCTGTCCAAATGATTTGGGATTATTTCACGTCTAGATAAAAGTAACTTTCTAGATAAATATTCATTTCGAAAAAATTATTAATGTGCATACAGTAAAATTCAGTGCGTGTAGTGACAAGTTCTACAATTTTACTTTTTTCTACTAAACGTATTTTGATTACATTTTTTAATTCATATTTTTCTTTCCTTGCGATCAAGATCAACGTTCCCGTTTCTTAGACAACGAGCTTTGGGCGTCTTCGCGGCCCAGACTTTTGACGCCATTAGATGTGCATGTAAGAATATTCGTGCAAAACAGCGTAGGTGGACGGTACAGCGGTAAAAAGACACACCTTCTTGCTTAAGAAATTCGGAAGCTTAACGAGGGCTTAACCGAGGAATCAGCGTTGTCTTCCGACGATAGTGTAGGTCGAGCCGACGGACGAACGATGATGAATCGAGTTTAAAATCTCGCGTAAATCCTCGTCGCGCGCGCGTGTGTGTTCGTATACGCGTATGTGCTTACACACGCGAGACCTCGCTGATGTTGCTTCAGCGCGCGTTATAGAAGAGAGCGAGAGAATCTCAAAGGCGGTCTTCAGTTTCGGTGAAACATTCATCGAAGACGGAATACATCTCGCGTCTCCGCTTGTCGCCTCCTCCACCTACTACTACGTCGCTCCCTCGTCGAATCACCCTCCCGAGTGTGTGAAGTGTGTGCGTGCGAGCCTTCGGCTTCCAGCATAGAGTTTTTAGCTGCCGTGTGTCCGCGTCGACCCCCTCGAGGGGACTCTCGAAGGACTTCCGTTCTCCGACAATATGACACTTCGTCATTCCGGCGCAGCCCTCGGTCAGGATTACCCGGTGAACCGGCGATGGAAATCCGAGAAACCCGGCAACGAATCTGAAACGCGAATCTAACTCAATAATACAAAGAAACGAAAATGTGGAGTTGGGTCGGTGTCCTGTTTTGCGTCATGTAACTAGCACGTACATATGATGTGAGCAACGCGCGGTGATTTATCACCGTTCGCGACCAGTCGTCAATTTCATAAATTTTCGATAAGATCTTTAATCTACCAAGGTCCGCGCGGAGCGTTCATATAAAAAGCAGCAAACGCTGAAAATACCGTTTCGTCGAAGTAATGCCGATGTAATTAGCGCGCAAACGGTAATTGCTACCTCGTAGCAAGGAGAGAGAGAGAGGAAGAGAAAAAAAGAAAGAAGAGCGTAAAGTGTAGCAAAAAACGAGAGTGCAAGGGAATCGCTTCCTTCGACCGAGGGGTGGTTTCAGTTTCGTTGTTCTCGCTCGCACGTGAGCGCAAACGGAAGGATGCCGAGTAAAAGGGGTCTCACGCTTGCCGAATCGCGAACAGGTAAGATATAATGTTTGACTTGATATATATATATAGAGATCTCTAACTGAATTTATATTTAGGCATTGATGAGTTGTCATTACATAGTTTCTGTCAGTAGTTATATAATAAAAACGTTACGATGGATCTGCTTACATTATAGAGATGTGCTCAAAGCACTTCTGTTATGAAATCTGAGCACAACTACTGAATATACAGTAGCTCGTTCTTCATCCAAATGGGTTAATAAATAATTCACGGGACAATATCAAAAGTCAAATTTTAGTTTTTAAACGCCAACAAGAGAATTTGCCGTAATTTTTAATAACAATAATAAGTTATGGATTATTACTTCACATAGCGTTACATTTTTGACATTGACTATTAGAACAATCCGTTGTGTGTCGATAAGGATTGTATAAATGTTTCACAAAATAATAATGATGTACGCGTATTTAAAATAAATTTCTTACACATACGAGCAATTTGCATAATTTTGCATGTATATCACATTTTTATTTTTATGTTACTTATGCAGAAGTTATTGGTGATTGAATATTTTTCCAAGTTTATGTTTACGATATAGATAACGCGGAGTGGGATACGACGTAGCAATATTCTAAGAATAAATGAGGTATATAGCGCAATAATGAATAATTGCTGGTCAGTCTGTGAATACTCTTCTATGTGCGCAAAATTCCACCGGAATTTATCAAGTCTCAAAGATATGAAAAATGCATAGTTGTATTATTAATGGTATAATTAATAAAATATATCCACAGAACATGAAATATCGCTGTAAAACGGTGAAGTAGACACAAGATAGAAAAAAAATAAAATTATATGAAATAAATTCTTAGAACGCAAAAACCTACTTTATATCTCACGAAGCACATGTCAGATATTATCTGACTGAACAGAAATTAGAAACGAACCTTTGTTTTTTTGGGGGATCCTTCCGTTATCGTTCAAAGTATCTCTCCACCAGTTTGCTGATAAATCTAGTCCAAGACATGATTACCGCGCGCGTGCATTGTGTCTACAAAATTAAAACAAAATATCGAGCTAATTTCAATGTCTTTTTTTTTTTAATATACTTACATTTAAATTATATACAATATATGTGTGTGTAAAAATGGTAAAATATTTGTTGAACATTCCCCGATTTTCTCGCGGAACAACCAACATATTTTGTGCAATAATCAAACAAACTAGATTGTATATATTTATTTGTACCATTATTGTCTTGCGCGATTCGCCGATCTCCTTCATGAATCGGACGTTTGGGCAGGATGAGGCGTTCGTGCATATAATGCCTCTTTGTAGTCCGGCAGATCTAAAGTTCGGATTTGCAAAAATAAACGCGTCTCAAGCACACGTGGTAGCATTGAAGTCTCCAAATTTACCATTAACCAACCATAACAGTCGAAAGACAATACGTCTGATTCAATTAGAATCAAATGTCACTCTCGCGTTTGCGGTTTCACTAAATCACCCGCCAGCTTGACAGATAACTGTTTTCAATTAAAACAAAAACTACAAATATTCTACCCGAGCTGAGCATTTTTGTTAAAAAAGAGTCTTTTGGCAACATATTTTACTATTTTATTCTATTATCTGTAAAAATTATTTCGACACAAAAAGAAGGTTTAATACCTTTTGTTTAATGTCGACCTCATGACTCAATACGATATTGAGAAGAGCTCAAAAGTTTTTGTACAAAAATTACACGCATAAATTACGAAATATACGACCGCTTTGCTATGAAGCGCGCGTACAACGAACTAAAACAATTCTTCGTCGATTTTACTACGACTTACGTGCTATCGAGGGTCAGTCGGCAGAGGCAGTAGTTTTATGCCGCGTAGCGGCAAAGAGCAGAGGTCGGTAATAACATAACGTAAATGCGAACATCCCCGCGTAATTGATTATTATAATCCTGATGACGCGTTGCGTCGGAATAAATAAATTAATCTCTCAGATAAATCGCGAAATCGATCGTCATCGACCCCGGGACGACGGTTTTGCAATTTCGCTCTCAATTTCCGTTGATATCGAAACGCGATATGTATCCGTCGCGAAATAAAGTTTGCAAATCCGTAACAAGCCCGAGCGACGCGTGATCGCGTTGAAATGCGTTCGCGCAAAAAATACGCGCGGATCTCGTAAGTACGGGAAAATTTTATAACGAAGATACTCAGGCACGGAATATATACGGAACGATAATAGGTACGTACACATAGCGATGCTCGTTGTCGGAGAGCGCTGACCGCAGAGATAACGCTTTGACCCGTTACAAGATCCAACAGTACCAAATGAATGTCTTCACTGTGTCTCTCCGCTCTCCTGTGCCCAATCTGCGTATTACGCCGGCCCTTTTTCTCTTCCCTGGCTGCCCTTTCCGCGTGACGGTCCGTTTACAACAATCCTGCGAATCCGACCGCAATTTTTGCCGCTCATCACACAGCGGCGCCCAAAGTTCTCTTCGCTGGCTCTCATTCAACACAAACGCAGTTCCGATGAAAAACATCTCGTGTTACCTAATTTATTTCAACGCCACAGAGTTATCGGTGAGCGCGTCCAATCAGCAACAATCAGACGTGTTCGTGGAACCGCTGTCGGACGGCAAGATCACCGAGATAAAAAACTGCAAAGATCGGCCGCACATTTGCGGAAAGGAGGCGGCGTGCCGCAGCTTTGAGGACAACTCGTCCAAGTGCGTCTGTCCGCACGATTTGTCATCACCCACACGGGACTTACGATGTCCGAATCGTCTAACCGGTAAATTGAGAGATCGCAACTGTAATAGCTGAAAAGAATTTAAAAATCAAAAGCCAAATTGTAAACTTAATTATTATATTATTACATTTATTTGTGACAAAGAGACACTTACTCTTATAAATTGTAATAAATTGTTTTCTTTTAGTTCCCCTGACACCTCGACCAATACACAACATTATACCCCCATCTTCGAGCGCCAGCAACAGTACAAACAGTACGAGCGGGTTTCCGAATGCTGAGCAGGTATCTTTGCTGGCAAATATAAAAGAATGTTGCGCGCAAGTTTTACTGCGTTATAATAACATATCTAAAAATAATAAATTATTTATATAAAATTGACACATGGCAGGTAGAAGAGCAGATCTATAGAGTACCTGAAATAATAGGAGTATCTATCGCATTCTTCGTCGTAGTAGTATGTTTATTGGGGATTCTGTATGGCGTGAGAAGACGGAGTTACAGCATCAAGTCGCAAAGAAGCTCGCTCTATGTGAGTCATCGTACCTTTCATTTTTAAGCTTAAAAAATTCACATAAGTGATATATTAGAGTCACAGTAAATAATTAAACAATTAAACATCTAATAACTCGTAATAATGAAATAATTATACTATTTCGTTCACAATTTTGTATCAAGGCGACTCCAATAAATCTAAAGAAAGGATTGTTGTTGGCGCACAAATACACGCCCAATCCTCAATACTTCACCTGCGCCTCTCCGGAAGTTCCGATCATAGAACGCGAGAGCCTTGTATTTCTTCACGACATCGGCGAGGGATGTTTCGGAAAGGTTTACAAAGGTGCGAAATCGCTCAATCTGATTAGACCTCAAAGTGTTTGAATGTAACTTGAAATATCGAATCACATCCCAGGTGAGTTGCACAACGGCGACACGAAGGAAATCGTCGCTATCAAAGTTCTAAAGGACAGCGCTACGCGCGAGACCGAGGAGGACTTCATGCGAGAGGTCGATATAATGTCCACGTTCGGTCACACGAACATTCTGTCTCTGAGGGGGATGGTGCTGCGGGACGCGACGAACAATCCGTGGATGGTGTTCGAGTACATGCCGTACGGCGATCTCGCCGAGGTGCTCCGAGCAAACTATCCGCAGTTCAGACCGTCCAAACCCGGATTACAGCCATTAACAAAGGTGTATAATCGCGTGTATTTCTGTATTTGCACTTTCTTTCCATTATTATATTACACGCGCACCATAGATGTGCAAATTTATTAACAGAAGCGTTGTGTGTCTAGGAATCGCTGCATTCGATCTCGATTCAAATTGCGGCCGGTATGACTTATCTTTCGGCGCAACGTTTTGTGCATCGCGATTTGGCGTGTCGGAACTGCTTGGTCGGCACGGGCCTGGTGGTGAAAATCGCAGACTTCGGGATGTCACGCGACGTCTACACCTGCGATTACTATAAGATTGGAGGTTCGAGACTGCTTCCGCTCCGCTGGATGTCGCCGGAAAGCATAATGTACGGTCGATTCACGTTGGAGACGGACGTCTGGAGCTACGGCATCGTTCTGTACGAGGTGTTCTCTTACGGAAAGCAGCCTTATTACGGACACAGCAACGAGGAGGTTCTTGTCTTCAAATTTAATTTTTGTTGTTGTGCACGCAAAAGAAAAAAAAACATTTCAATTTTATCAACTCAATTTTCCCCCCGATGTCGCGCGCGGTTTCAGGTGGTGAAACTCATCCTCGAAGGCATCATGCTCACGCCACCGGACGAGTGTCCGGATGTTGTTTGCGAGATAATGCGGGAATGCTGGAAGATCGAGCCGCGGGAGCGAATCAAATTTCCCGACATTCTCGACAGACTGAAGCGGACGCAGAGTAAACTGTTCCAGCAAGGAACGTTACCCAGACCGCCGCAGGGCCCGGTGACAGTGCGCACCCCGGATAACGTGGACCCTGACGGTTATCTGCTCCCGGCGCCCGTACCACCTCGCGAGTATTTGCAAGCCCTTCCGAATCTGCCCGTCTGATATTATCTATATTTGTGAGAGACTATCGTGTACACGTGATGTATCATTGTAAAGACTTTTCTATTATATTTCCTCGTCGCAGCCATATTGGACCGTCACTTCGGTCAAACAAGAGATCACGTTGAGTTTTTTTTATTAACGTCTTCAACGTCATTGCTTGTCTTTTTTATATATATACATAATTAAATTATTTTGTGTTCACACGTCCCAACACTTGACATATTTAGCTCCGCAAAATCGGTGTGAAGTATAAACAAATTGCACTTCAGAGAAGTGAATAAAAAGTATTCTCGATATAGTTTATATACATATAGAAAGATATATATATATATGTAGTTTACTATTAAGTTACTGTTGAAACTTACTGTTTTTATAATACAACATAATTGTAGTGTAATATATTATAATTAATTTTTATTAAAAATTTCAGAAACATCTCAATGATGAATATTTTCTCTTTTTTTCTTTTTCTCATTTGTTAATTGTTTAACAATTCGCGGGAAGAAAGTTTGTAACACACAAAATGTTCGAATGTGAGACACTTACCGAGAGAACTCTTGAGAGTGAAAAGTTTTTGCGTGCGCATGAATTCCGCAGCCCGCTTCGACTATTGTTTGCCGTTGATACGATCGTCTTATGTTTCGAACGCGGTGTGGTTGTTTCCAAGAAGGACAATTAGACCACGGGAAACATTGACAAAATCACTCGACGTTCGAAACATCGCGTTCGCCGTTCGATTTCGTTTGATTCTCTTTACTGTCGCTTCTCTCCAAGAAGGATCGGAGAACGGAGACAATGTTTGATGACTGCGTGCTGCAGTCGATGCGGTTTCCGCAGAAACTCTGGCGTATCGTGAACGAGTGCAAGACCGGAGCAATTCGATGGGGCGTCAACGGCGACACTATCCTGCTGAACTACAAGAAGTTCCAGACTGAGTACTTGGACGCGCATCGACCGATCTTCAAGACCAACAACATCACAAGCTTCATCAGGCAGCTTAATCTCTACGGGTTCCGCAAGGTGACGTCTCACAACCGCGACCCCATGTGTAACTTCTGCAATCCGCACGTGCACGAATTCACGCACGACAGCTTCCGCGCGGATCGGATAGATCTGTTGCCCAAAGTGTGCCGAAAGACCGGTGTCAAGGGAAAATGCACGCAGCACGACGCGAACGTGACGAAATCTCCCGTGGGGGACAATTCGCGCACGGAGACAAATCCCGTGTCCCGTTTGAAACTGTGTCAGGTACACAATTCGATTGAACGCATTTTGCGACGTTAGAAAATTTAGATCTAAAACACACGAGCGTTTTTTTTCCGCAGAATTTTAAAAACACTACAGCGAGATAATTCGCTCGTGTGTGCATAATTTATAAATAAATGTATTTTATCGCTCCGACAGTTTTTTCATCGCGCGCGAAAAACGAATCAATCGAATGCTGAAAAATTCGTGTTTTCTTACAGTTTGTTTTGGTTTGAGTTCATAAGCAGAAAATGTTTCACAATTATTTAAATTCTTCAATATATATTGCAAATATAATATAAATTTGTATAAAATATTATTTTTATGCCGATTATAGATGTGTGATGTTAAATTGTCTATATCTGTGTAATTAATTTTCAATAGTTAGCTTTGACTAGAACTCTGAAAGAGATTGTTCAAGAATATCAACAAAACTATAAGAAACCATCAGTTGTATTACCAAAGGACAATTCAAGAGAAATAAACTCTCAAGATACAGGTAATTGCTGAAGTTAAACTAACTGTTCATAACTCAATAAAAACAGTCTTTTTTTTATTAATAAAGCTATGTATCAAATTTTAAGCTAATATTGATAACATTTAATCACTGAATTGCTTTTGATCAATGTTTATCTTATTTCTGTGTTATATACAATTATACATGAATGTTTTAGATCCTGTCCTGTATAAAGCGCACGTAGATGATGTTCATAATAAAAAATCTGCTGTAGAACAGAACACAAAATATTCAGCTTTTCTTTCTCCAAAGAATGTATCCAAACAGGAAGAAGCATTTTTCTTACCTTTGTGTGTTACCACAGTGAATAAATATGGCATGCATCTCAAGATTCCAAATATAAAATCAGCTTAAAAACCATTAATTTTGATATTTTCTTCCAAGCAGTGATATTTATCATACATAGTGAATTTTCGTGAGATTTTTGTATATTCAGAGAATGAAGTTAAATAAATTTATGTTAAAAGTTAATTTAATATAATAGTCCAACAATTGTCAGTAAGAAATATAAATATCTCTGCATGTACAATATGGATACAATAAAACAGATTTGTTTATTCTTTTACTTCTTTATTTTTTCTTTTCATATGTTGTTCGGCTTTATGTCTCTCCACGAAATCTCTGAACGCTTCCTCTTCTTCTTGCTCCTTATCCTCATTTTCATTAATTTCATTTCCCTCCTCGTCATCGCTCGATTCGTTACACGAGTGTTTCAGATAAACATCCGAAGTGTCACGGCCACTGGTAACTGCTGTAATAATGGGCACAGACATTTGTACAGCTTCGCCCATTGTCTTTTTACTAGCCTTCTCCAACTGTTCTTTCTCTGCCTTCTTTCGTTGAGCTTGTCTTTCTGTTTTAACTTTTTCCCAAGTTTGTTTGTAACCTCTTAAAAAACAAAAAAAAAAACAAAAACAATTATTGCATGCATGTGCCAAAGTAAAATTAATTACGACTTATATAATTTTTAAAAGTCGCTTCTCTCCCTTACTTTTCATACTCTTCTACAGCGTTGTCAACCATCTTGAGAAATTCAGGAATCCCCTCACCCGATATCGAGGAAACACCGCAGCATTGTAGATGACTGTAAAATTCGTCCAAAGCAAGTGCCAAGCTACGTGTCAAGTTGGTGATATAACCCCTTTCCATGTCCAGTGCTTCTTGGAACGCTTCGAAATCTCGCATCCACTCGATTGCATAACTGTGTTCAACTACATCGATCTAAAATAATTTAAAGTACACGTCTTTCTCACTTCAAATACGTAATTCATCTAATTACCATCTAATTTACCTTATTCATGACTACAATAAAAGGTAATTTGGTTTTGTACAATATGGAACATGCGTACAACATGTTGGACATGAAAGTGACAGGATTGACACTTCTCACAGTGTCTAATACATAAACAATAATTGTTGGAAATTCAGACGCCAGTGCCTCAGTTATAATTGAGCCACTCGCTGACCAAGTGAATACTTCGATTTGTCCAGGCGTATCAATCACCACGTAACTGTGGTCTTTACGAGCTTTTTTGATCAATTCGATAACCTGATGGAACTTTGTGGTGAAAAGATTTAAACTCGTGACTATTCCGCCATTTGGTCCTAAACTGTATTCCTCCATCACCTTTTTGTACTTTACTGTATCTCTTACATCTAAAAAAAAAAAAAAAACATTGCAACGAATACAAAATAAGGAATTTTTTTTGTAATATTTTTCTATGTATATCTGTGACAAATTTATTACTAATTTATTTAATAAAAGTATGACAAAGAGGTTAAGTCAATGTGGAAAATGCGTATCAATAACAGTGTGTGTAAAATCACACCACCTATTACACAGTTGCAATTACCTATATTAACAGGAAATGTAACTGTTTTACAAGCAGGATCCAAATTAATAACGTACGGCTGTCCTGTTTTGCAAAGGTTCATGGTGAGTTGGTGAACAAAAGTTGATTTTCCAGCACCGGCCATTCCGAGAACTATGATAACCGGTATATTTCTTTCATTTTGTTCTTCCGCAAAAGCGTGCTGGCTCGTTCCTGCTTGTTCCTGATCGCTCACATTCATGATTTTTAATAACGTATACGAAAAATGTAAACACAACTATTGTTTACTTCAATCACGATTTACTCTTCCTCTTCTTTTCTCGTCAGTTAACTTCGTATTTTCGTAACACGTGACAAAGTGACGACAGTGGCGCCAAATTAAAGGTCATTACACATTTTCTTATGGACCGCTCTCAGTCCTCTCTCTGGTAGTAATCATAAGATCGTAAACAATTCAACCAATTACAGATCAGTATTACTTTGCAACATCTACAATGCTGGTCTGTAATTGGTTGGTCTGCTTATGACTTTACAACTAAAATTTTCTCATGTGCAATGGCCTCAAGAATCGATTCAGCTTTTATTTATACAATACTAGCACAACACAGGCGCGCGCTACGCGCACGCTATTGTTATTTTTATTTAACGTGTTGTCAGTGAACACAACCTGTCACCGCGATGACAGATAGTATACGTCTTATAAACCATATAACACACATATGAGAAATGTCAGAGAAGTGGAAAAACAACACGTGACTAAAGTCACGTGACAGGGAAAAGGGTAAAACAGAGAATATTATATGTAATATTCTATATCTACATATAATACACACACATACGCATATATGTGTATATATATACCGTAATCACGTGACCGAAGTCAGTAACACCGCCGCGGTCGCGCGGCCGAGGTCAATGACTCTACCGCAGTCGCGTGACCGAGGTCATTGACCCCGCCGCGGTCGCGCGACCGAGTTCAGTGACCTCCCCCCACCAAGGCCGCGCGGCCGAGGTCAGTGACCCCGCCAAGGCCGCGCGGCGGAGGTCAGTGACATTACTGTAGTATGTATATAATACATATAATACAATATAAAGTATAATATTATAAATATATAATAAATTATATGTATAATATGTATTATTTAATGTTATATAATATAAATTACAGTCACGGTATTTTCACGTGTTTTTGTACTCTTTCCTGTCACGTGACTTTAGTTACGCGCGCGCGTTTTTAATTTTCTCTACATATACGACGAACTGTCTCAAAATCGCTTTTCATTATTTACTCTCTCGATCTTACCGATTCGATTCGACTCGATCACTCAACCAACCAATCGGCAACGCGGAAAAGAGGCAACAACCAAGATCGATAGAATCGATTCTGATTATTTGCACACGCTTTTTCTGGTTTTCAGGATTCAGGATTCAGGATAAATTTTTTCTCAGAGACATAGTAAAATAAATTCTTTATTTCCATATATACTCTCTCTCTCTCTTATAGTACAAAGTTTCGCAAATGCACTGGTTTCCAAGGCCACTTATGAAATGACTCCAGTTTCAACTGTTTCCACTTATTGTAATAAGATATCGACCGTTTCTTCCAGTCGTAATAAGTAATCTTCTTCAAATGTCGTATTTTACTGCAGTCAATCTCATGTTTATCTAAAATTTGCAAGAACGTTCGCAAAAGCATTTGCCTGCTCACAAGCAGACAGTTACTTGTTTTCTTCTTTTTTGTTACTCCTTGTTTTCTGCCCTCAACTGCTATTTCCAATTCACTGTACACGAAAAGATCATATTTTATAATTTATATAAAAACAAATACTAAGTATTGATAAAAAAAAAAACTTGATACCTGCTCCTTACGGCGCACCATATGACACTCGACGGACATGGACGCACTCTTCCTTGCTTTCTTCTGTGTGCAAAACAAGTTCTTGCCTGGAAGATCTTTGGTCCAGACATTTTACCGAATCTTTTATACAATCCGCGCTCCATGGCTTCCAGAGAAAAGGGACATTTGTCTCCGATTGTGATTGTTTCTAGCTTTATCGACGGTATCAACAGTGACAAAAGAGATCCTTGTAAACCAAGAACGAGCCACCTTAAGTACAGACGGTATCAATTTACAGATATGACAAAAAATCCATTGGATACCCAAGTTTAAAACTTACTTTGCTATTTTGTCAGAACAAGATAAACTGCTTGTGGGATCTCCTCTACCTGGTTTGGTGCGTAAAGATCCTACGACATGATAATTTACACCCGGCAGGTGAGGATCTTGTACGCTATCTTCTTTTATACATTTTGCGCCTGTTCTGTATATATCTCCGCATTCCGAATTGATACTTTTTTTAGATTCATTAGCATCTTCGCTGATGCATCTAATTTTAGATGGAAGTTCATCGTTGTCACCCCAAGTTTCTCGTTTAGGAAAAATGGAACAATCGCCGCATGGTGTTTGGCTTGAGAAAAAGTGAAATGATACACCGCTGCGAAGTGCTATTCCGTTTCCCTCGATCCGTGAGAAAATCGCGCTCTCGTAATTGCTCAGAACCAGATCAACCTGCTCGTACAGATAGCGTAGGAACGCGCGCCGAGCCAAAACTTCGGCGTGGGAGTCGCTCAATCGTGAGCCTCTTTCCTCTCGAGTGCCGTTTATCAATTCTGACTCTCCCAGACATTTCGTTCCAGTGGCGAGCGCGACAAGGAACAACTTCCCGTCGGCAGTTCTCAGAACTATGCCGGACAACACGGTCCATTCGTGATCGTTCGGTTTACCCGTTTTCTTCAGACAATTGTACTTCTCTATGCACAGCCTGGCTACGCTATCCGCAAAGTCTCCCATCATCCAGTGTTTATTTTTCTATTTGTACATCCATTCGCATATCTCGCTGCGACACGTGACAAATGATGTAAATCGTGCATCACGCGATCACAGTTTAAACGTCGTTAGCTATTCGATGTAATTTGCCTTCAATCCCACCTAGGATTTTTTAACACATTTGTTTTTCTTGGTGTTTCACTCATTTGATATTGTTTTTATTTACATGTGTAAAAACAGCTTGATGGCGAATTAACCGCCATCTTGTAGCGGATGTCACTTGCGCATGACGGAAATGCGATGACGGCGATAATACTCCGAAATCAAAGAAGCAAAACGGAAGAAATGGGGAAACGACACTAACGGGGAGATAGTCGAGAGAGAGAGAAGAAACTGATTTATCAGTTTTATAAACATCCATACAGTCAAAAATATTACAGTAAACAAGATTCTTGACTAAAATTAAACAAAAAATTAATTACATCACTTATATCTATCTTGTATGTACAAACTGCTCTTATATATGTACAAGTTTTTTAACATCTGTAGTAACAACGAGAGCGTCATTGCAGAAAGATTGTTACAAAAATAGAGCTCATCATTAGACACAGTCGTAATTATTGTCGCGTCACTTACTGAATTAATCTCCTTTTTTTTTCGAAATACTATAATTCTTCATCATTTCTTCTTCAATATTGGCATGCTTACAGACTTCCTCGGAAGTGGCTAAAAAATAAGAGACATTAATGGTGGACGTATATTCAAATACTGTAATTTACAGTTGTGCCACCACATAATGAATCCTACCACAGGTAGCAAATCTCCACCAAGCATTTTTTCTCGCACAGCCCATCTTATTTTCGAATGCTTTGCTTCACCGGGAAAAGAGATCTGTTTCCATTCCCGTTGATACTTTTGATAAAGAGCTACGGGATCACACTTCTTGTTAATATTCCTTTGAACTTCCGGCTGCAATCTCCATGGTCGAATAACTGTGTAAATACACAAAATGATGTTTAAAATTTTTAAAAACTTTTAAATCACATGTATATATAGTGATAAATCCTTACATGATTTATGTTTAGAATTAACTGACGACGTTGCAGATAAAGCACTTTGTGTTCGTGTGTGTCCAGTTGGATCCGAGGTGGTACTTTTCAATCGTGGCCTCGATGAACTAGGTTTGTCTGTTGGATGCTCCTGTATTGGTTTTATTCCTTCTGTTTCTGTCGCGTGACTACTTTTTACTACATTTTTAGAAACAGTTTGTCTGCTTTGTAAATTATCAGATGGTCCAACATTAAGACGTTCACAATTTACTCTATCTGGTTCAGAAATGTGACTATCTTTCTTTTGGGACTGTTGTTTCCGACTTGACTTTATCGCAGTTGTTTTGAAACATTTTTGTGTTTGAGCATCCTCCTCGTGAGAATCAGACAGACATCTTATTCTAATTTTAACCAATGGCTCACTGTCGTGAGAATTTGAGGATTCAGAGGGAACAGCAGAATTGATCTTCCGATGGCCCAAAGTTTCTTTGATCAGAGCCTGTTGCGAGTTAATCACTTTTGTCTTGATCTCTTCTTTCCGTTGCTGCTTTTCTCGTTCTTTTATCTTTCTGTATATCTTCAAATCTAAATGCAACATTACAGTCATTTTTCATGTAACAAAGTACCACGTAAATACATATTTCATTATGTTTATTTTTACAACAAAAACAATCAAGCATTGTAAGTTACCTTTCATAAAAGCTTTCAGCTGAGCCGCAGTGATACCGACAAATCCTAAAGAATTAAGGAGAACGAGAACTTCTCGTGGATCATCTTTGTTCTCCGACATGTTAGTATCGCTTTCGAAAAAATTCGAAAATTCAGATACAAAGATACAGACAGTGAGAAAATAAGTTTCTGTTGGCTTTTTCAAATGAACGGAAAACGGAGCATACAAACTCAAATAAGGAACTTAACGTCACTGTTTGCATCGGGGTTTAAGGTTTCGTGCACAATGCTAGAAAGATTAGATCCGAGAGAAAGGAACTAGAATTCGAACGAATCGCATTGGTCGGTCGGATTCGAACCGACCAATGAAATTGGTAGACTTAATTCACGACGGACGAGGCTATTGCAAACGAGGTCTAAAGTTTCGCCGCTTTCGCTCGACACTGCGCGTGCGCGCGATAAATGGAAAACGTTCTCCGCAACACTTGTTTACATTTCACTTTTTGCTAGAGTTTCATTGTTGTCCAGTAAGTGACACTTTTACCGATGTGTTGTTTGTTTACGTACACTGCGTGTTTAATGCACGTGTGACACTGCATCAACATGCAGTACGACACAGAAAGTTTTAACAAAACGAAGAGGAGCGTCAACAATGGCAACATTTCGCAATCTTATACACAATGCATGGAGAGGTAAACGCGATGTTAAACATACGTCGTTTCGTAAAAAATTCATCGTTCTTTATTATACAGAATTTCAGGAATCAAAGACATCTTCGATTTCAAAGTACCGGAAGATGTGGTCAGAGTCCGTGAGACAAAATGGGACGATTTCTTTGAAAGATACTCCAAGGAGGTATTACGTGTTCATTACCACACTCTTCGTTCAATTGTTTTCGAGAACTTTGTTTATAAATTTGTGAACTTGAACGCAAGTTTTACACTGTGTATTTTCAGGCGTCCGATGAGATAGATTTGAATGTTGATATTTTGGAACCCGAAGAAGAGGAGGAGGAGGAGGAGGAGGAGGAGAGCGAAGAAGATCATAGCTTTGGACAGAGATTACCCATGCGCACACCAACAAGCTTGATACAATACTGGATAAACACCGGCAATCCACCGTGCAAAGCACTTCTAGATAAGAACGCGTTATCCGAATCTGGGTCTTCTTTAAGCGAGAAAGAACATTCTTCGCTTCCAAACGCGAAACATGAAAACAACAGACAAAAGAGCAAGACCGATTCCTCATGTAGTTCTGTCGACACGGCGGTTTACATTTTGTCGAATGCAAATGTTACGAAGAAAGCGGACACGATAGCCATTATAGCTGGCGCGGAAAATGTCAATAGCAAATTGGCAGAGACCAGTTCCGTCGAGGATGTAGATACTAATTCTAACGCTAAGACCAAGTATATAAAATCTGCGATCGGTCACGTGGCGCACGGTAATAAGAATATTGACATTTCAAGCAATGACTTGTGTTCACTGTCGACATTTATCGCATCCACAAGAATACACGATCGGTTGTGTAGCAGCAGCGTTGACATAAAGGATAGCTCTGATATACAGAGTAAAAAAACACTATCTTGCAAAATTAGTGACGAGGTAGAGGTGCCGAGTCGAAAGAGTGCGGGAACAGACGACACTGAGCGCAGCATCGCTCAATGCATTGACAAAACATCGGTATCGGTTGCGAACCGTAAAACCAGTGACGGTTCAGCTACGAACAAATTATCAGAAGATTCTCTGCGCGAGAATCAGACAAATGTCACCAACGAGGAAGAAAGTCCCTTCTCCCATCGCAAGAAATTGTATACCGGCAGAGATTCTCCAATTGACTTACTGCAAACGAAAGTTCACAGTATAAGCAGATTATCCGGCGTTTCTCATCCCGCTTTAGATCCCAACGATATCGTTAAGAAGAAAATTTCCAAGAACAAAAGCAGATCCTTTTTTAACGAACATTTTCTCAAGACCGTAGCCTCGAAAGAGTTAGCCGAACCGGGGAAAAAGAAAGTCAGAAGAAAACGTTCGCCCGTCAAAAATGTCGCGGATTCTGGTAAAAAAGTCACGAAGCCCAACAAGATTCAAAATTCTACCGACAATTCTTCCAAATATCCCGCAGAATCCGATAATTCCGATAGACATCACAGTGTCACACTGTCATCTCAAAGGCACGATACAAATGTTTCTACGAAAGAGTTAATAACGAACAAACCAGATTTAGCTTCCGTGAATCTGAACCCGGTAGTTGTTCTGACACGGTTCGGGTTCTGCAACGAATCTTCCAAGCACGTCGAAAATAACGCGGGAAAAAGCGTTAATGACAAACATTCGCGCAATAAAATAACTGAGAAGCCGTTTGCTCGCGGAATTGAAGATCTGGACGGTGAAACGATAGAAAGCGACGACAACACTATTCTCATTTGCGAATGTGAGAAAACGTCGCGAAACACTTTGTTATCAGAAAACTGTTCGAAGAAGTCGCGAGTCTCGAACGAGATTGTTACCGTGCAGAAAATGGCATCGGAGAACGTGCGTTCTTCCAATTCGCGTGACGAGAGCGAGATAGAATTTCGAGAACTCAGAGTTGTATTGGAAAGATTGTTACCGTCGGTGGTTCAAAAGTATGCAATGAAACAATCAAAAGTCTCGCGCAAGGACACAGTGCGGCCAAAAGAAGCGTTGAAGCTTCCGGAGGTTAAGGTCAGATTGGAACGATTACCAGTCAATGTGTATCGAAAGAGAGACGATAATATTGCAGAAGAGCAGAACTTGTCGGACTCGAGTAGTCCGCGTGATAGCGAGAGAAATCGAGTTCCGACTCGCGGGAATGCGCGAAAGGTTATGCGAGCTCGTGAAGTCATCACCGACGATCAGTCCGGAAAACTCGAAGAAAGTGACGAAACAATGCGAGCTACCGATGGCATTGTTGATAAACGCGTAAATCGACTGTTTGACAACGCAGAATCGGACTCTGCGCTTCGATATGACGCTAATGACACTCGAACGAGTCAAAGTAAGCGACGTAAATATTCAATATTAAGTACGTCGTCGGATGAGACCAGTCTTAACGAGTCGGTACAACCGTCTAAGAAACGTTCGAAAATATCGGGTAAAACAACCGAAAGAAGTTCGCGCGATAAGACCGCATTCGACGTATTTGAAAGCAAGAGAATCATGCGCAAAGATAAGAGAGTTCGCTTCTCAACGAGCGAAAGCAACACCAGCAGTCCTAAAGTGAACGGGAAATATAAGAAAACATCTCCCTTCTTTGGCACGGATACAACTAACAGCGTAAGTTCAGATACAACGGAGATGAACGGGATGCGTTGTAAGGATGACGTTGGTATTGTGCTCTTTCAAACCAAGACGTACGAGACTGACTCGTCGGATACTGAAATTTACAATTTGTCCGTTCGCAAGAGGTTCGCCAACAGGCGTATTTGGAAGGATTCAAGTTCGTTGAGTTCTGCCGATGAGAAACAACGCGCCGCAAATGGAACGTGCAATAGAGAAATCAGCAGCTCGAGTTCAGACGAAAAGAAGTCGCATGATGATGATTCCAATATTATTGATGCAAGGGAAGTACAAAGCGCGTCTATTCCAAAGAAAACGTCAAGTGATAAAGAAGATGATCTCGTATCGAGAAGGAAGAAACTATCTGATAAATCTGAGAATGCGAAAATCAGTCAACGGAACAACAGCGTCGAATCTACGGAAGCAAAATTGATAACTTTTCAAACCAAAACTTATTACGATTCCGATTCGAGCGAGTAATTGTTTTTATTTTTTTCTTCCACCAACTTTGTTGTGTATGTTTGTACAAGATGTTTGTAAAGATACTTAAAAGTGTGTTTTTTTTTTATACACACTCAAAGTTTTATACGTTAAATATAAAAAACTCAAGTATTATACATATATATAATATTGTATTTGTATGTAGATTAGTTATAGAACTCTTCCGTGTACATATATATATATATTTATATATTTATATATTTATATATATATATATATATATATATTTATGTTTATATATACATATATATAACGACTATTACATTACTAAATTTTATGGATAGGAATAAAAGATGTAATAAACTTGAAAACTTTCTTCTCTCCAGCTACGGTGAATTTTGAATAACAGAGCGCAAGACGGAATATATAGATGGGGAGGGAGCAAGTAGTAGTTGAACATGTCAGATTCACAAGATGGCACTGAAAACTGTAGTTAGAAAAAAAAATACACGTTGGTCTTTTACACACGGAACTTTCGCAATTTTGTTCTTACATTTGTAATATTGTCTGTAATATTATTCATTGAAAAACTCCATGCGCTGACATTAACCAGACAGTTGCATTTAACACGTTTTAGTTTGTTTCTTCGAATTGCATTTTGTTTCTTGGGTTTCTTCGATATGGCCTGGTTGTCTGGACTCGCTGACAAGGCAGAAAATTTTTTAAATAAAATCGATAAAAACACCGCAGCCGTTTTAAACAAAGATAAATACGAGATGTCACATGGTCATTTGTCGGAAGTCACCTGGCTTTCTCCGGAATTTGGGTAATTTGTGTTCATATCAATTGCAAGGTTATTATTAATAAATAATTTAGCTTGCGGTATATGTTGGGCGAATGCGATTACGAGAATTTTAATAAAATTAATTATTTTCACAATATTAGATATCTTTTTTTATCCTTATATCATAGATTTGTGTTGTACAAGTGTTATGTTCTTAACATATTGTAGCATGCATTCAGAGTATTGGGTTGTTTATAGAAAGTTCAGAGCTAGTTTTATCTTTAGAGCAATCCAATAAAAATAAGAAACTGTGGAGAAACGACACAACATCAAATTTTTTCCTCTTTTAGACAAAATGAAAACACATCCAAAACACCTTTGCTAGAATCGTCGGGAGATATGTCCTATGATGCTCCCACTTCAAATTTGACGTCAGTGAATTTGCTGAATGTAGCGCCTAAAGAAGATGCATTGTTCACATATTTGAATACTCCAGGTCCGAGTCCAAGAAAGACAGCGGATTCTTTCAAATCGCTATCAACCACTTCCTCGTTATTAGTGGAACATCCTACTGACGACACGGATTCGGAGTTGTCAATTCGTAGTGATCGGATCAGTCCAACTCCGACTCATGTTTCACTAGAGATGATTCCTAATGCATTGGATGACCAAGTGTTGGATGTAGAAAATACAAATTTACATCCACCCTCTGAAGTGCAGATTTTAGATCATGAGAATTTAAAATCAATGAATTCTACACAAAATGGTATAATTTAATTTCTACGTTAATTTGATTTGTAATTTATACTTTTTTACTCACACATGCAAATGATCTGCACTTTTACATCTCAGAACAGGATAATTCCAAAGAACATTCAAGTGCTTTATATTCTGATCTTAAATATAAAATAACGCCAAGTGATATAAAAGCTGTGGAAACAAGTGATTTGGCTGATGATCCGATGGAAAGTAAGTCGGTGCGAAAATATATTAAGGAAGTGGAACGGAATTTAGAGAAGCAAAACATGTTACTTGGAAAACAAGAGACCGATCATCAGAAAGAAATTGTTGTTCTGAACGAGAAATTAAAAGTTTTGGAAACGGAAAAGTTGGAGCAGATGAAACAAATAATGGATCTTCAATTTGTTATTGACAGAAATAGGCAAGAATTGAATTCCGTTAGATCTGAATTGGAACAGCACAAAGCCAGAGCGTTGAGAACGTTGCAGGAAAAGGAAAAACTCATAACGGAATTGAAGAGTAATGCACCAACAGCTATGGACGAAGCTACGATAATGGAATTGAACCAATTGCAGTAATATATTTCACAAATTTATTTACGTTTAACAGTATCATATTGTGTAGCGCGTAAATCTGGTATTACATTGTGTACAGGCAGGAACGCGACAGTGTTAGAGAAGAGAATCAGCAAATGTGTCAGCAATTGAGAACGCTACGGGAAGAACTGATAAATGCGGATCTGAATTTGGAAAAAATAAGACAAAAATCAGCCGAAACAAATTTGCGAAATCAAGAGATTCTTGCGAGCGAGAGACGTCGCAGATTGGAAGCCGAAGAAGATGTAAGACTTCAGTCTGAAGTACGTACAAAGCGCCAGCTACATAATTTTTATTTACACAAACATGTCCCTGAGAAATTCAGGTAATAATCTTATATTAAGACTCGATATAATTGTTGTAGGAAATAAGATCTCTCAAGGATGAATTGATCAATCAACACAATAGTCTTAGTTCGAAGTTGCAAAAACAGAATTCAGAAATTTCCAGACTTAGGTTACAATTGTCCGCATCGGCGGTACCAAGTAACGAAGTGGATTCGAGAATAGCGTCTCTCACGCAAACTCTTGTTCTGAAGCAACAAGCACTGGAGTGTTTGACGACAGAAAGAAATGCTTTGCGCCTTCAGCTTGAAAAAATCGAAGTGAGTATAATTTTATTCTACGTGTATGGCGCGTGTATTTGTGTAGCTTATGAAATAGTTGTTTTTTATAGCACGAGTATAGAAATGCCGCGAGCACTTTACGAAGAAACATGTCGTATAATAACATAAATGATACGGATGATGCGAAGGCTCAAGTTCCTACGTTTCTAATGGAAACGCCGTTCGATACCAGCGTTGCCAGAAGAGTAAAGAGAGCTTATTCTTCACTGGATGCCATAAGCATTCGAACAGGATTGTTTTTAAGAAGAAATCCATTAGTTAGAATTTTAGTTTTAATTTATATGGTGAGTATATGTGAGACAAGAAGAAATCTTCGCGTTAATTGTTATTGTTATATATGCAAGTTAATTGTTATTATTGTGCTATATCAAATACGTACATATTTTTTTTCCAGGCACTGCTTCAATTATGGATTTTAATAGTACTTTTGTATTCTCAATCACCCGAAGCGCACTAAAAAAACACACATTTTATTTTTTACATTTCGAGAAGTTTTCTTAAACGAGTAGCAACATCGAGGTATTTTTGTGGTTTACATACCCTCCTTCTGAAAAGTTGTTGTGTTTTTTTACTAGAATTTTAAATTTAGACACATGTCGCCGTAATCTCGGTGTTCATGGACCTACATGTACAATTGCATATAAACATGTCTTTTAAATTGAAAATCGCTGTCACAGTAGCTGCAATGGAGAATGCAAGAAGTGTAAAATGTAAGTTTTGTGAAAAGCAGATTATAGAGAAATATATTTACATAACATAATAACAAATTACGAAAAAGGGAAAGGTTTTGTATAGTTTTAACGTAGTGTATAAGATTTACTTCTATGTAAAAATCCACGAACAACGTAGAGCATAATAAATAAATATTTAAATATTCATATACACACGTATAACAAGGTTTAGAAACTTTTATATGATAATAAAGAGAATTTATTTATTGAAAATATATTGAAATTTTTATTATCTCTATTATTGTTTTTTATGTTGAAACACGCATGTCTTTTCTGAATTTTGATACAATAAAAAATACAGGATAATAAATTATAAAAAGAAAAAAATTAAACTTTTCAAAAAATGCATACAATTCCACAAAAGCACATATCTAAGTCTTTATTAAAAGTAATTGTACATGGATTGTTTTAACAAATACGAGGTATCTTTACGAAGATATAGATACGTTTATATGGTTACAAACAAAATTACAATTCTGGTTTTGCAAATACAATATTATATTGCTCTGATAAATGTTAATTTTTTTCTTACTGTAGTTTCAAGTTAATTCCTCTTTTTTTATTATTGATATTTAAAAAAGACTAAAAGTGATATGATAGGACATTATATATAAATTATAATATTTTTATTCACATATACACGAGCACATATACACACACGCGCACACGTTCTACAATATTATATAAGATTATAGACTTCACAAAAGCATTGACTCCGAAAGTAAAATACTTTCGCGCTTAAGTTACAGAAATTAAAAATCTATGGGTATCCCATTACACATCGAATCTAATTTGTTATTCTTATAATAACGTTACATGTTTCAAATATCCACAGTTTTATTGCTGCTGTATAATCGGAAAATAGCGCGTACATGCACCTTAGGCACAAATTTCCTCTAATCAGCGGTTACAGTTTGATTGAGTCAATGCGGAAAGGATGTTTATCACATGATTTTTTTTCTCGAGGTATGAAACTTATTTTATTAATTGTGTTGAAATATATATATATGTATATGTTAGATGTACAAACTATGATTATCACACAGGGTGTTCTAAGATACTTTGAATACGTATATACTCTAACATTGCTTTCGGTTTGTTAATAAATATTTAAAAACGATTCTACCGTCGAATACAATAAATAAAAATATGTTCTTCATGAAAATGAAGCATATGTCGCGCGATATATTTCTTTTATACAAATGTATAGATGTTAGATTTATTCTAATAAGTAAATGCGACCCACACAGAACAATTTATACAAACCTCCCTCAGATGTTCATTAGACGTCACACAAAGTTATGGTACGTCCAATAGACGTTTCTAGTAAACGGTATGTCTGTGGAGAGAATTGCGTATAAAATCGTCTTGCTGCGATTTGCAATAAATTCTTGTGATTGTACTCGACAAATTAGTTATGTTTCTTTTTATAAAGTAATATAGAGAGATATCACATAAAAAACTGTCAAGCATAAGCCTTTTATATTTTCATAGAACATACGAAAAGTGCTATTTCTCGATTGTTTTCTTTGTACAAGACTCATTATACAGTATCAACTAATAAAGTAATTAGCCATTGAAAACCAAACGCTGCCACGTATGTGCGAAATAAATTCTTATACATGTAAATTAATATACGCATGTCGCAATTCGAATTGAATTTGAAAATTCATCGGAAGTTCAATTTGCATTTCGTATACATAAACAATTTTTTTTACTTTTCTACGAAATTTGAAAAATCATTGCGAAGAAGCATGTTGACTAAAAGTCAAACCGGGATATCTTGTGTGTGTATTAATTTAGATAGTTTAAAAATAATATTCGCACATACATCACAAGAACATTTGGCTCTTTGGCTTTAATTCGGGTTTTTTTTTTTTATTTTTTATTTTAGTAATTTATGTGTAATTTATGTCTACGTACGACAACGTCTCGTCGCGTCTACGTACGACAACTATGACGTTCAGCTAAAATACACTTATTCTGTAATATTTGCTCTCTCTGTTGCTACTTTAACTCGAGTGTGTGAGTTTTCTTAATTAAATGACTTAGAAGATGCAAGTTGCATGCGTTTTTGTATAATATAACTATGTTTGTGAAACAAGTCCGCAAGTCGGACGTAACTTCGTGTGATTGCAAAAAATCAGTGCAAATACAGACTTCACAGTCACAGATAATATAGAGTGTATAAATTTGCGTTAACACACGAACATAGTGTATCCGTAAATTGGTGCATCAGACGGGTGTTCTATGAAAATTTCGCATAAGAGAGAGAGAGAGAGAGAGCTGTCTGTAAATACAAATCGACTAACACTGACTCACGCTCTAATGATTATTATTCAATTATTATTCATAAGATATTACGACTTAATTATATATATTAGAATCCCAACAAACTGAATAGCTTTTATTATGTAACTTTTTGGGATCTATTTCGAAACGTGTGTTGCGTTAACGTTACATTACAAAGCACAGAAGAGTTTACTTATTAGTTCTCGTAACACTTTTGAAGAATGCGCAAGTAAAATTTATTAACATTTGGATCACATGACATTTTTTTTTCGTACAAAGGAGAAATTTTGCAAATTTGTTTTTACCATCCACACGAGACAACATTCTATACAAATCTCCGTTAGATGTGCATTAGACGTCACGGTGGAATTACGGACGTCTAATGAACGTTATGTTTGCGTGGGTATTGTCTCGAGAGAAAATGTCTCCTTTGTAAAACCTACGATATTACGAAAGAAATTTCTTCCGACATATCCACGGGAGAGAAAAAAGTGTTACGACAAAGAATTGATCATCATTTTGTTTTACTTACGTATCGGCCGAGAGAAGTTCGACTTTTCGCGTTTGAACAAATCGACGCGATTTGTTCGCGCATGAACTCTCGCATTTATTTATTACACGAACTTGATTCGTACGCGGCATGATTGCAATTATCACAAATCGAGGTGACTCGATGGCAGACGGCTGTTTTAGCCGAAATCTGGGCCAAGTGTAGGCGACGACGATGATATCGCGACGACGTTCTCGGGTGACGAAACAATTTCGTCCTGAGAGCGCGGCGCTTCCACTTTCGCCTGTTGACTCTGTTCTTCCGGATTGTTCAATACGGAACTCAGAAATTTATGTGCTTCCGCCCGTAACGCGTTCACGCGTTTCTGAAGAATGGAATTGTGTTGCACGAGAATTATTGTGCGTATAACAATGTTCAAGAGATCTGCAAAAATAATTGAACGTGATGCATATCTTTTCTCGAAAACGCTTTAAGAGAAAGAGAAATGTAAAATAAAGCGACTCTTTGAGCGCGAAAATAACATCGTTTTTATTTTGGCGCGTGTGCGAGAAATGTTTTATCCTTCTTCGGAATCTTTTCGTAATATGAAGTTCGCAACTTCGCACGGGCAATTACACTCAAAAAATAATATTTCGCAATTTTGTCAGTGAACGTACCTTTCCTCGTCGCAATAAGTCTTCTGAAATGTTCGTCCACGCACGATGGAAGCGTCCTACTTTCATCTGGAATGGAACAATGTGGAACCGTGTCCGTGCATTCTAATCTCTGCGAGTGATTTTCGCAAGAAGAAGACGGGGAGACGGTGGTCCCGGCTCGCAACAGCATTCGGTCACGTATTAGCGTTCGACGTCTCACTCCGTTTCGAGATCTCGGCTGTCGGCAAGAATACGTGCAAAGAGTAGTTCCTGCCATCGGAACTTCCGCTACGCAAATAGTCGGCGCCATTCTTGGAAAATCTAAAATATTCAAATTTTTCCAATTGCTTTTCACGAACGATCTTTATGTTTTCTCACGCTCTATATATATTTTATATTATATAAGTAATATAAAAAATATATATACATATTTCATGTGTTGTTTATCTTTTTTTTATATATATATCTATCTTTTTCTTTATTACAATTTTAATTATTTATTAATTCGCTCTTTGTCTGAAAAAGTGCTGGGAATATTTATCGATTTGTTTAAAGCAACAAAAAAGTTCATATAAACAGAAAGAGAAAGATAAGATTACTCTGTTGTCGTTTAAAATTTATTTATTACAAAATGTTTTACGATGTCATTATTGGACTAACTGAATTTGTTTGTTAATGTCTCGCTATTGAGTCACGAATGGCACATCCGGTATTTCGACGACGACCTGTATGTGTCCTGCACGTGAATATTTCTCCGTTGCCACTCGCGCCGTTTAGCGACACGATCGATGCAGCCGATGACCTGATTACCGCTAACGTCACACCGCACGTGCCTGCACCGAAATAATGCCAAAGCTTCAACCTCCTACTAGCCGTGAGAGAGAAAAAGAGAGAGAGAGAGCGAGGCGTATATATTTCAGATTGTTTTGACCTCGTCGTCTCTTCTCTACCACGTGCGAAGCGTGATGCGCGCTACACCGTACGTAATAAATAAATACAACGAGTCCTTGACATTAGTGCGTGGAAACTCGAGTAGAGGTAAAGAGCACATGCATCGCGCGACACGTGCGCATTTTTCATTATTCACGCTGCTTTATTTTTCTGCTAATTTTTGCGACACGCGTTGCGCAACGTGTGTCGTGTTGTCATATAATATAATTTTCACACACGTACGTGTGTGCATATTTGTTTCTTGCACGTACACGCGCGTGTGAGTATGCAAGTATAATTCGCGCTATTTATTGTGTGTTTTGTCACATTCCGCATCAGAAATATATTTTCACATTCGACATGTGTAAATATTTATATTTCGTGAGTGAGCCCGTTTTTCGTCGAGACGCCATCGAGATGTTTATTACCGAAAACGTGTTTTTTTTTTTTTATGTGTGTGTGTAACACAATGTACATACTTAATTTTACAATTCATTATTGTTACCTGTGCAAAAGAACGAGTACAATGAAGACCGTTTTCGTGCGTTTTCGTAATGTGGATACGTCAATGAGATCTTATGATTCGTCTCATAAAATAGTCAAATCCTACGTTTTTTTTTTTTTTTGCGAAGGTCAAATTATACGACTTCGTCTCGTTCTTGCACAATAGACAGGCGGTCTACATAATGAAAAAAAGATAAGCCTGCGGGTTTTCGCACGTGTCGAGATGTATCACATTTCTGTGCGCGCCATTGGCGTGTGAGCGCTGTGATTAAATCTATATTTATATTTATCTTAGTTGGCAAATTTGAGCGAAAAAAACCGATTTATATTAATTGGTCTCTCGTATTTGCCTTTAAAATTTTGCTGTTAATTTTATGCAGCTAAGCTCTACGTAATTAACTTAATTTTCATTCTGAGTACTCTTTAACATCAGTCGCAATATATCTAAACATTTTAGTATAGCGAGCGGCAACAAATCAGATTCGAGAGAGGAGGAGAGGAAACTTCACGCGCTCCTTCAGCCAAAAAATCGTCGTCGCCACCGCTGACAGCTGGAGTGAAATACCGCTTGAACCGACTTATTGGCGGCGCACCTGTCTCATCCTTTATCTTCCGATTACAACTCGAGAAATGTTATTCTATCACAGCCTTTCTAACGTGTGTGTTGTTTTATAACAAAACACACAATACACTTCATCTACAGAACTGCACAAACATTTTTGCGCTCGATTTAATTGCGAATCCCGTTACAAGATAAGCGTTTCAAGTATTACTCTGGCTAAAAAAAAAAAAAAAAAAAAAAAAACAATTTCTAACTAAATATTTATATGTGTAAAATGTTAAAAACCGATATTTAAAACATATCTAAAAAGAAATAGTTGGAACATTGAGGATTGTTTGATATTTACATATCTAATAACTCACGAAGAGAACAAAAACTCCATTAGACATTCATTAATCACCAAGTCCATGCGACATCTAATAGACGTCTCATGGAATTTTTGTTCTTTGTGTGAGAAGTATTTCTTTCATAAATATTCAGTCATTGATATATAAGATCTGTCATTGAGGTCTTTCGCTTTGTAATAAAATACATGTGCTTTTACGTAATAAATAACAATAAGTCCGACTTGCGCGAAACCTCTTAAAGAGAGCGAGCGATCACACGAGTTTTATTCAACCACATGTATCATGTCATAGATTTTAATCTAAACTAAACTACGTTCAAGTAGATTGCGGGAGGATGTCGGCTTATCTTTCAGAAAGAAAACCGACGCGTCAGCGTAACGCGATTTTTCATGCTTTGCGGCACGTGTCGCTGATTAATGCACGAGTGTCAGACGTAAGGGTCAAGTCATCCGTTTTGCGTTTTTTTGCTGAAAACGGCATACGGTTAGCGTGACGATGACGAAGAGAGCGAACGCGCGATAATTCTGGCGTTCGCGAGAAAGACTCGATTAAGGCACACACCAACGTTATATAGAAGTGATACACGCGCGGATCGCACGCGGAGGGCGGCCACGTGGAAGGCCGTTTTACGTCACTCTGACCTGTATAGTCACTCCATTAGAGACGCAGGCGAGTGGCCACGCGCGCACACACGCCGACCTGTATAGTCATCAGACACGTGCAAGAAGTAACAACGTCTGTTCGGGTTTTTCCCTTTTTTTTTTTTGCATTTTTTGCATTTTTTGCACCTCATATCATTTGCTTCTGTTTTTTCTCTTTTTTTTTTTACCAAAGCATGAATATACGAATGCACATCTTATCTCGAATGCAAAAAGCGAGAGATTAAAAAAAAGCATTACGAGCAAATCTATGCTGTGATATCCTAAGCGCTTCGCGTCTAGCTTTTTGTTTCGCTGGTTTTTTCTTTTTTTTTTTTTTTTTACAAACGCGAGGAAAATGAGTTTGAACAAGATTGAGCTCTACCTCTTGCTTGTCTCCTTTTTTTCTCCGATTCCCGTCTTCCTTCTCCGCAAATCTCTCAGCTAGCGAGTCTTCGCAGCTGATAAAACACAAACGCAAATAAATCCCGAGACTATTATTTACTTAGATGTTAAATTCTGTACGTATATCTATAAGTTCAAATAAGCGCGTCAGCACAGAGCCGACAAGGAAAAAGATATATTCTATCGGACGTTTTATTGCAAACGCGTTCGCGCGTTATCGCGAAGCGATAATGATTGATACATATCTCATAACAATTTGTAAATACTTTTTCTTTTCATTAGCAACTTGTGCGAACTCGCTGCATTTTTCAGTTTGTTTTTTTTTTTTTTAACTAATCGTTAACGTTCGCGCAAACAAACTCGTTACTACAAAACAAGCGGATTCATTTCGTCGTTTTGCTAATGGTTTTTGTATTTTTTTTTTTTTCACATTCTTATGTTTCGCAAACAAACGGACGAATTCAGCGACACGTCACTTCAAAATAATTTCGTTTGAAGCACCGTTATCTGACTGCCGACACGTGAAATAATGTGAGACATAATAAAAATGTGACGACATTCGCACACAGATAAAAACTAACTTCACGATTACTATCTGGAACCGTTACACGTGCGAAATAATACGAGACACAGAGTGAAAAACTTCGATTGCGCGACGTTCATTGCGTAAGGGGAAAGATGTAGGATTCTCCCTTCCTGTTCGCCGTTTTACTCCAGATCGTTAGAAAAGGATGACAGTTATATGTTACGTAAATTGATTTTTCGAAATAAATTCCGATCCAAGTTTTTTTCCCGTCTTTTCTTTGTTGTCACGATGAGACCAACAATCGCGACGATTATCTCCTCGATCGAAATTACCGCGGAATCGATTCCGCGCAATTACACACACACACACACTAGCTATTCGGCGTGAAAGAGAACGGCGTGCGGAATGGGGACCGTTTCTTCACCTCTCACACGATGCGAAACCATTGTACGCTCTTATACATTATCGATCTATCGATGATGTCGTAAAAAATAACTCCAATTCATTTCGATGTGTATTGTATATACGCAAAAAGAATTCTCCGACGTCTCTGACGTAATTCAATATGGCTACAGTGAAAGGCAAGGCCTCATCGTTGCGAAATGTGAAACAATATCTCTGTTTCGAATAGTAAATCATTCTCAACGATGAGACTAATTAAGCAATTTCGCGTTTTCGTCATCAGTTATGTTTTATTTTCTTATCGTAAGTTGGTCAAATCGAGCGATAAAAAAAAGTTATCTCGGTATCTCGTCCAGAAAACGAGCAATCGATTTCTACAATCGTGATCAAAATTTGCAAAACTAACTCGTTAGTTAGTGTATGTTTCCGTGATCGTTAATCGTTTTTTTTTTTTTTTTTATACTTTATTGTAATTTGGTACCTAAAAATGTTTTCATCTTTTCACACTATTTAGAGTATTTTTAAAAATACGCGAGAGTTATTTCCGTATCATCGAGTTTCGCAATCCCAACAAGAAAATTTGGATTCGCACGTTTTTTCAGAACTACAGATTTGCTCAGATATTTGAATTAGAAAGAGTAAGCGCGTGTATTTTTTACCTCATAATTTCTCAAAGTCAAAAAAAAAAAAAACAGAAAAGAACGAGGCGAACTCATATCTCTTTCTTTCTCTCTCTCTCCCTTTCTCTCTTTTTCATTCATTTTGAAACTTCACGTGAACATTTTCCGGGAAGAGTATCTAATCTGTTTTTTTGCACGCAGAGTTCGCCGTACACGTGGCGACTGCAAAGTTCAACGACACGAACTTGAGTCTAGATGTGTTTTCCTCGTCAACGCGTCGGATCGGAGAAGGACAGACATTCTCTTTACACTCTCTAAGCGTAATCCGCTCTCGGAATAATTAATTTTCTTTGTTCCCTCGTAATTCAGAATTCAAATTACATTTTTACAACATGCGCAAATTTATGACATCGTATGCCAATTCGTTAAAAAAAAAGAACGTCATCACGCAAGTAACGATCGTTCGTCGTGTGCGACAACGTGTGGTGGAAAAAATGAGACTTGAACTCGATGTTAAAAATATAAAAGACAAAAATGTTTTTAAATTCACAGTTTTACCGTAAAATTTATAAGAAATATTAAATCTTCTCAAATAACATATAAACACGAACACGTTGTCTCTCTATAACAAAATACTCGTGTGCTATGCAATTGTCAAAAAACCAAAAAAACGAATGTTTTTATCAATTTTATTTTCAATCTCACACACGACCTCGAATACATCCTTTCGGATTATTACGCTTTCTCGTAAAAAATAGAAAAAAACCTCAGCTTCCTGGATGAGAAAATAAATCGCCATTTTTTCACAACTTCGTTTCACAGTCCGTCGTGTGAATTGCGAGAAACTTTGTATATTTCACACTACTAAAAAAACAAACATATGAGATATAAAACGTGCGTATGTATTTATTATTTATATTAATGCACATTTGATTTTCGCAAATTACGCCGTAGAACTGTTTCCTGTTGCGCGGTTTGATTTTACTTTATCAAGTATATTATACGCACTTATATACACTGTACATGTAATTTAACGCAGCACTCTCGATATATTATTACGAAACTCAATCTGCGCGATATATATATACCTTTGAGATATCCATTTAAATGTGATTGGCGTACAAAGAAGCGTACACTTACGTGTCTGTGTATATGTGTGTGACGTTGAAAGCGCGCGTGCACAACTCGAGAGTTATTATATTACGGGGAGAGAGACTGATTCAAAAAATACACGCAGTAATATTGCAGAATTGTTTATCGGAGATCGACGAAGAAAAAAAAATTTTGTGATAGACAGTGTGATGTTAATACCTTGAAGACCGAGCCTGTGAGATTGTCACTCAGAAAACAACGCCGTGTTCCTCCGTCATTGATCTACGCGCGCTGGTGGTCGCAAATCGACTAACCACGCCGACCGGTCGCCATGTTACTCCGTTCGTGGTGCCGAGGGTACAACGGTGGTGGTCACGCACGCGCGCTCTGTATATCATACTGTATGAACTGCACGAGCCGAGGTTCGAATTCACACTTGGATGTTATATATATATATATGTACGTACATATATATATATATGTATATATGTGTGTATATATATGTACATATATATTTCAATGACAAAAGGGTCGACACGTGCGTCCCCACCACGCGCTCCGCGTCGGTCGTTGAGACATTTCGCGGTGATGTTGCTACGGAGGACGAACGGGGGCGACTTCCAGGCCAGCGACTTAGAACACACACACATATACGGTTTGTGTTTGAAGATAACTCTCTCGTAGGTAAAACTCGTTAGCGAGATTACTTCCTGGAACTGAGAGAATGAATGAAATATAGTAGTCCGCGACGATAATAGTGATGAGGTTTAAAAGATCGCAGAGCGAATCGCAAAGAGTCGTCCAATACAATATTTTTACGCAGGTGACAGCACACGCACGCACATACATATGTAAAAGTGTATAAAATTATACTAACGTTATGATAAACAAAATGAAGGTGAGATATAAACGCGACGTGCTTATTTTATTATAATACGAGATCGCAATCGCCGGACATTTCCTGCAGTATATCATAATTACTCTAACATTGCGTAATATTGCGTAATATGTAGTAAAGGAAATTCCAAAGGCAAAGCGTGAAGTCTGTCTTGTGAAAAAAAAAAAAAACAATTTACATTCACGATATTTCTCCGGAGATAAGGCTCATTTGCGGCAACGCGATTCGAATTAAATAAAATATCTTGTTTTAGAGAAAATGGAAAAAAAACAAATATAAAAACAAGAGATATCGACATCAAGTAATTGCGAATCTCCTGGTATTTATTGCCACTTTGTTCAACGTTTACATCAGGCGCATCTTGATGCCATAATTCTCTTATTGAAATAATGAATTAATAATGAAATAATGAATTCGCTTTTTGTTCAAATTGACGTGACAAGTTTTGAATGCATTCACGGGAAAAAAAATCCTGCATAGACAAATTCGATATCTGGTTATAAGTAATTATATGTATATATATATATATATATATATATGTATATGAGATACTGAGACAATCTTTCTTACGTACGATTACATTATTATTTCTTACGTACACAATTACACAACCAAATATAAAATTTGTTCACGTATGAGAGACTTCTTTTTTCCAGAATTATTATTAGTATAATTAATGATTAACCTTGGGCGGAGTTGTGTGTTTCTTCCTTTTTTCGATTTGTACAATTTTTACGTGGCTCGAAAATGATTTCTCTTTCTGTATACTTACTCTTTTTTTCTCTCTGTTTTTCTCTTGTGCGTATGTGTGTAAACATCTTTCATTGGACTTCTCATCGTTTTTCTACATCATATTCTTTCTCAATACTTGTGATTGACTCGATCTTTATGTGTTTTTTTTCAAGCTATCAGAAAAAAACAAGATTTCTCAACCCTTTATCTGTGTCTTCTTATCGTTTTCCTTCAACATAATCGTAAACGTTGTCAGCAGCTAAAGTAGCTCTTAGTATCTTTGTTACTTTATTAGCTTATCATAGGCTTGTGCTGAGCCCTATCCATTTTTCGTAGTATTCCTGATGCTCAACTTACGACGATACTTACGTAATGAAAAGTTCCAATTTTTTACATTAATGTCGAGATTTTTTAATTAATAATCGATATTCCTTCAACACACTGCCTAGACATTAACAAGACTTATACATAAAGAAATAAGCATGCGCTACAATTTAAATGTGGTTTTTTTACTTCCGCCCCATCGCACGTGACTATCTTTCGTTCAGCGACCGGACGACACTGAAAGGTATCAGATTTTTCGCACTGTAAAAAAAAAAATTTGCGTGTATAATGCAAAACAAAAATTTGCAAAGTGATAATCTTTTATTTTCGTCGTTATACCCGCTGCTCAAACCTCGAGATATATAATGTATTAACAATCGTCCTCAGAACAAACTCGGTTAATACTAGAAGATAAAAAAGATAATAATTCTCTTGCTAATTATTTTAACAAAACTGACATTTATTATTTTTTTTTTTTAATTTCTTGAGTTCCACTATTTCAACACGCAAGTAGAAGAAATGTAACTCTAATCGTTATTTCTATATTATATACAAATTTATGTGGGGTCTCTTTGTACAACTCTATACAAAATAAAATTACCTTTCACATTTACGAATAATTTGTAGAAATAATTTGCTAAAATTTCACTATCTATCTAGTATCTATAATAACATATTTTATAGTATCTTGTCACACACAAATTAGGAGAACGATGATAAGGCCGTAAAATAAGACATGGACGCTTGCACCATCTTAAAAATTGACGATTACATATACTTGTAATATTACAAAAGTGCTCGAAGTGAAAATACGGTAATTCTTACCGATGCGTAATTAGTCATCGATAGCACGTATATCTTGCCGGCTGTCAATGTACAAGGCGTAAGGCACTGGTGAAGCAACATATTTATTAATCGCGACGATTTTCGCGGCATTCTGTACCACAGAACATTGTACCTAAATATAACAATTCTTCACTTTTTTAAATCTACAGACAGCAATCGAATTTTCCTTCTTCGACGTTATTCGTAAAAAAATATTAAACTCGAAACTACCATTTAGTGCATCATAATAGTAAACGATATTTAAACTACTTCGATGTAACATATTTACGCTTTGTGAAATACTTCTGAACTGTGGTCTATTATTCTCTGGCCGGGATAGCTCAAAACGAAAAGATGCATAAAACCACCTAAACTCATCGCCACGTATCTGGTCATTTCCTCTTTACGATCCAACAATGAGAGTATCTGGAAAAAATTAAATGACGAATTGGTAACAAAGTTGATTCCCAATGAATCATTGTGTCGTATTGTACGCTCACTTGAATTCCGAGAAGACTTATAACAATTATATTAATAAACAACAATATAAATGACGTCAGTGAGAACGAAGAATCTAACAGACAGACATATCTGAAACATAAATTTTAATGAAATTAATGTCCGTTATTTTTTTCTTTTTATAAAAAAAAAAAGAATTTTAAATCTTACTCGATAGTCAGTTGATGCTGTTTCAAGACTACTATTATCTCGCGATACAATTTCTCATCTTTCTCTATGTAATCTGCCAATTTATACGTGGCAGTAGTTTCTACGAGACGACTTACGTTTGAATTTCTCCCCGGAGTTAGAGCTTCAAGTCGACTTCTTTAAAGCATTGAAAATTGATCAAACATTTGATATTGTTTACGTTTATATATCGCAATGTAATTAAGTAATTGTTTTACAGTTTTCGTCAAAACTGTGTAGATATTACAGATAATTTAATACCCAATAGCTGCGAACAGACCGCACGCGTGTTCTGCGAACACCATGTAGAGCGCATCGACTGTTATCATGATACTCATAGTCACTACAGTTGTTATGTAGGCATGAAGCAATACGAAATAATAATATTCTTCTCTCTCGAAGCTGTAGTCGATATCGAACAGATACTTGTACGGGCGCGATTTATTGAGAGGTTTGACAAGATCTAATAATTGTGGCGTCACTGGTATTAGCATGTAAAGACTCATCAATGAATAAACAAGAACTGGAAATTGCATTATTATGTCTTTATCGTTATTTAACACATTGTACAACTCATGAACCGTGTCTAAAGAAAAGCTATTTTTGAAAAATACTAATAGTATATAAGTGTGAATAACTCATTACCGGAGTAACTTATCGTCATCATTCTTCCTATCATAGCGTACTCGTGCATAATTGGCGTCTCCGTGGAATGCGTAAAAACAGTCCAATGATAATCAATGAGAGACAATAATCGTTCTATCTGGAAAAAAAATTACACAAGGCCGACTAACGAGATATTTATGTAACCGGTATTTATAGTCCGATCTTACAACTTTAGAAGATCGTCTTAATGCGATACGTCTCATTGATCGCAGAGCATCTGAAGATGAATTTAAGACGATCTTAAGATCCGATTATAAATATCGATTTTGCATGTGGTAGGTTTTGTCAGTTCACTCCCTTACTCTCAAAAGGTCTTCTCTCAAAAGTATATATGCCGCAGCATATGTAAATCTTACATTTTTTTTATTAAAAATTAAAGCGAACAGTTTGATGTAACCGCCTATTGTAATCAATATCACGATGAAGCACTCGCAATCTTGAGTTAAAGTTCTCCAAGTTTCGGAAAATTTTACGAACTGAAAATCACCAACAGTAATTGCGAACACTTTTCTGTACATTTCTAACGTTCCACTTACCTGTGTGTTAAAAATATTTAAATAATATATCGTATGCACAAAGAAACGTCGGCAAAAATAGAATCAATATTTTTTTCACAAAGTATATCGAAGCACCAACAAATGTTTAACCCGAGAGTAGTCGCGCTTTAATTTGGAACATGATGAATAAATTCGCATGAGGGTATAGATTATCCAATTTGCATCTATTGTTGTTAGTTCATAGTTGTGGATAAAATTTCGAAATGACAGCTGGTTGGTTTTTCCACGATGCAAAATTTTTTTTACGCGAAGTGACAGAATTTTGCACGTGAATTTTTGTTTTTTTACCTCGAGAAAACCGATGCTAAAAATGAATGACGTTATTATAGTCGGCGCCAGTATTCTCATAAATTTACTCTGGCTTGGCCAGCCACCAAGTTTCGACACGAGGAACTTGTTAATGTTGTAATAATGTTTTACAGCCGACTGCATTTTTCCGACTGGCTCTATCGTTGTGTCCTCAAGATCTCCGGAAGGGTCATTATTCTTTCCAACCCCTCTGTCCGAGTGGATACGCTAATAACGCTCCGCGACATTACAACGTAACGATAATCTCAGGTTGTCACAGAAAACAAACGCGCGTCGTGTCTTTATTATTCTTAGTCTTTTTACTATCAGCATGATAAAATAATTATACATTGAGAAATTATACTTTGCAAAATATATATCCGTCAATATGCAAACGATTGTTATCCCCACGCGCGCTCGATATCGATTTGCCTTTTTTTTTTTCAACAGTGTATGATTTCTGATACGTGATGTCATATTGTAAGTGCAAGATAAGTATATATGCCGGGAAGAGAGATCGACTGCGTGCGCGCGCGTGTATGTGTATGTGATGCGGCGAGTAACACGAGATATAAGCGAGACAAATTACAGCCTTGAGGCGTCATATTATGAGAATCCACGTGCTATTGTAAAAAGCTGCCCACTTCTAAACGACCACACAATAGACCACAAAAAGTTTAGTGGTTAATCGCAAAAAGTTTGTGGTTATTACATTTCTGGCCACGGTATCCTGGCTCATCCGAGATTGGACTACAAAATTTTCAGGATGACTTTGGTTACTCGTAAAAATTTGCGATTTGTTTTTTCTGTGTTCCCGAGACGACTTCAGAATTCTGAAAGCTTTGCGACACATGCTTTATTCACAATTTATTTCTTCTAAATCACATATGTATGTACATAAAATTATAGATACCTCTGATTCTATATTTTATGTAAGAAAGCTGTCAGTTGGGAGTACTATATTACAATATGCATATATGAAGAAATATTACGACGAAGAACAAATTAAAATTTTTTAAGTGAGTTTTTTTTAGTACGGTAAACTATTTTTTGTACATGTATCTACTATCTAAAATTGACGTTTAAAATTGACGTTACATGACATATTTTTTGCATATCGAGTTATCAACATAAAACTGCGACGCTTAATATATCTGTTGGAGAATGTGTTTAAAAGAAAAAAAGCGTATTTTTATCCGTATTGTTTTACACCAATACAATCATGTCTTTTTTTTTTTAAATACAATCATGTTTTTTTTTTTTTTCATACACTTATCATTCTTGTACACAATTGAGCGTGAGCCAAATTGTAAATGTGACTTCCACTTCATCGCACGTGATTCACTTTAGTACAGAGAGCATAGAAGCAATACATTAACGGCACTGAAAATTAAGTCAATTTTTTTAACTATAAGTGGAATACTTGTGCGTATGCAATTCATAATAAAAACTTGCAAACTCGATGATCTTCTATTTCTTGTCGTTATTCTCGCTGCTCTAATCTTGAGATAACGCATTTCTACTTTGGTTTTAGAAACTTAATTACTACAAACAGTTTGCAGAAGTCGTTAGAATTTCACTATCTATCTAATATCTATAGTAATATACTTTACAGAATCTTGTCACACACAATTAGGAGAACGATGACAAGGCCGTAAAATAAGACATGGACGCTTGCACCATCTTAAAAATTGATGATTACATATACTTGTAATATTACAAAAGTGCTCGAAGTGGAAATACGGTCATACTTACCGATGCGTAATTAGCCATTGATAGCACGTACATCTTGCCGGCTGTCAATGTGCAAGGCGTAAGGCACTTGTGAAGCAACATATTTATTAATCGCGACGATTTTCGCGGTATTCTGTACCACAGAACATTGTACCTAAATGTAATAATTCTTCTATTTTTTTAATCTACACACAGCAATCGAATTTTCTTTCTTCGACGTTATTCGTAAAAAAATATCAAACTCGAAACTACCATTTAGTGCATTATAATAGTAAACGATATTTAAACTACTTCGATGTAACATATTTACGCTTTGTGAAATATTTCTGAACTGTGGTCTATTATTCTCTGGCCGGGGTAGCTCAAAACGAAAAGATGCATAAAACCACCTAAACTCATCGCCACGTATCTGGTCATTTCCTCTTTACGATCCAACAACGAGAGTATCTGGAAAAAATTTAAATGACGAATTGGTAACAAAGTTAATTCCCAATGAATCATTGTGTCGCATTGTACGCTCACTTGAATTCCGAGAAGACTTATAACAATTATATTAATAAACAACAATATAAATGACGTCAGTGAGAACGAAGAATCTAACAACCATACGTATCTGAAACGTAAATCTTTATGAAATAAAATAACGTTTTACCTTTTTCTGTTTGGTTCTACTAAAAGTTTAAGAACTCACTGAATACTTAGTTGATGTCTTTTCAGGATTAGTATTAGCTCATGATAGATTTCGTCATCTTTCTCGTATTCCATGTTATTTGCTAGTTCACACTTGGCAGTAGTTCCTACACGACGATTCTTCATTTTCGAATGTATTTTCGAAGTTAGATTTTCTAGTCGATGTCTTGAAAACATTGAAAAATGAGTTTATTTTTTTATGTACATCACAGTGTAGTTAAATTTTCTAGGTAGTTGTTGATAAAACTCTATAGATATAAATATTACAGATAATTTAATTATACCCAACAGCTGCGAACAGACTGCACGCGTGTTGTGCAAACGCCATGTAGAGCGTATCAATTATCACTATGACACTCATAGTCGATACAGTTGTTATGTAGGCATGAAGCAATACGAAATAATAATATTCTTCTCTCTCAAAGCTGTAATCGATATCGAACAGATACTTGTACGGGCGCGATTTATTGAGAGGTTTGACCAGATCTAATAATTGTGGAGTCACTGGTATTAGCATGTAAAGACTCATCAATATATAAATCAGAGCTGCAAATTGCATTATCTCTATCATTATTTAAATTGTACACTTTGTACAACTTATGATGATCCACGCAATGTGTGTAAAAAATATTTAAAACAAATGATGATTTATCTCGTTTATTACCGGCGTAACCAATTGTCATCTTTCTTCCTGCCGTGGCGTAATCGTGCATAATCGACACTTCCGAGGAATGCGTAAAAATGCACCAATGATAATCGATGAGAAACAACAATCGTTCCTGGAAGACGAACAAATAAATCCAATCAGCGAAAAACGCATCTATGTGTGAGATTTTGCTCGCAAACAAATTTAGAGGAGGCATCAGAGTAACAAATTCAAGACTGTTGTTGCGTTATTTACGAAAAGAAGTGTGTTCTTCTGTATATTTAAAAGTATATATTTATCAAAATTTTTGCTCTTCCATTACTCTCGATCTCTCGTCCTCTCTCAATGAATTTAACTGCACTTAGTGTGAATCTTACATTTTTACTACTATTAAGAATTACATTAAACAGTTTGATGTAAATACCGATTGCAATTATCACTATTATAAAGCACTCGCAATCTTGCGTTACGGTCCTCCAAATTTCGGTCAATCTTACGAACTGAAAATCAATATTTTCTTTTTGTAAAAAAACATTTCGTTTTTTCTATAGTAGGTTTTTTTTTCAATTCTCTCACTCCCTCCGTCTCTTTTCTCCTACAATGTCGCGAAGTGACTGATTGTGCGAAATTACCTCGAGAATACCGATGCTGAGAGGAAAAGACAGTATTACGGTCGGCAACAATATTTTCATGAATTTACTTTGGCCCGGCCAAATGCCGATCTTCGACATTAGAATCTTATTAATGTTATAATAACGTTTCACAGCCGACTGAGTTTTATCGACTTGGCTCACCATTTTGCCCTCAACATTAACAATAATAGAAGTGCAATTGCTCTCTTCGCAAACCCCTCCATCTGCGTGAGTATAGCGCACAAATAACATCTTACGATATTACAATGTAAAGTCACGACATGATCACGGGTTGTCACGGAAAACGCGCTGGACATTTGACGGTTTTTCCTCGTTCTGTTATTATCTTTTTTATTCTTCTTACTTCTATCACATTAATTAGATATACAAATTACATATTCGGAAATTTATATTTTACAAAATAGTCATAGCGTATAATAATTATCTAACTTGGCTTGATATCAAGAATATTTTGTATATTTTTTTTTTTTTTTTGCAACACTGTGTGATTACTGTGATACACGTGTCGTGGAACAAGATAAGGAGCTTATGTCGGAAAGGCCGACTAGGTAAAGTAAAATAAAATCAAATTGTAAAACGTCAAATAAAAAATAAAAAGAAATGCGCGCGTATAGCACAGAAAAGAACCACACGTCGTGGACGTGTAGCACGGAATAGAACCACAGATTTATGCCGACCGTAAACCGTTCGTGAACATGACTACGTAGTTGTCAATGTGCACCGCCGTGAACATTTACGCTTGCGCACGGACAAAAAAAAATGATAACAGCTGAGATGCGGTCATTCTCAGTCGTTTTTCTGTTTGTACGCTGTTGGAGCAGCGCGGTGATATTTTATTTGAAGATATAATATGTCCGGTGTAATTAGCGGCAAAAACTTATTGCGGCCTAACAGCCTGCAATGCAAGAACCTGCACGAGTATTTGAAATCGCGTTCCCACGACACTCTAAACAAATTGTATCACAAGCCGCCGATATGTCTGGCCGTGTTTCGCGAGTTGCCGGAAATCGCCAAGCACTATGTGATGAGATTGTTGTTCGTTGAACAACCGGTGCCACAAGCGGTGATAGCGTCATGGTGTTCGAAACTTTACTTCGAGGAGCATCAGAAGGTGGTGCAGGTCTTGAACGAACTTTACGTGTGGAAGGAAGCGTCCATACCCGGAGGATTACCGGGATGGATACTGAACAACACGTTCAAAAAGAATCTGAAGATCGTGCTGTTGGGAGGCGGGAAACCGTGGACCATGTCGAATCAGCTGGAAACCGACAGCAAGCCGCGAGACGTAGCTTTCCTGGATTCTTACGCGCTAGAGAGATGGGAATGTGTGTTGCACTATATGGTTGGTTCCCAGCAGCAAGAGGGTGAGATTTTAAGTTTTTCTTCGAAAACACATAATTTTTGATGAATTGCAAAAAAATAGTTACACTTTACAATAAATACTTTACAATAGGTATTTCTGCGGATGCTGTGCGAATTCTTTTGCATGCTGGTTTAATGAAGAGAGATGAAGCCGATGGAAGTCCAGTTATCACACAAGCTGGTTTTCAGTTTTTGCTGTTAGATACAGCTTCGCAAGTAAAGTTCGTCAAATACATTTTTTAAACTTTTTTTTTACTTTGAACTATATATAGAACATGTAATATATATACCTGCAAATGTGTTCTTTTAGGTGTGGTATTTTATCCTGCAGTACCTTGACACAATTGAAGCACGTGGTCTTGACTTAGCCGAGTGTCTCACCTTCTTGTTTCAATTGAATTTTTCTACCCTCGGTAAAGATTACAGTACCGAAGGCATGTCGGAGGGACTCTTGACGTTCTTGCAGCACTTGAGAGAATTTGGACTGGTATATCAAAGAAAGCGCAAGGCAGGCAGGTACATTGACATCAAGATAATATTTTTGTTTTGAAATAATGCAAGATCTCTGCAAATGTAATATTTTTATTGAATGAATTTTTACGTTGTTCTAAGGTTTTATCCCACTCGACTAGCGTTAAATATCGCAACTGGCAAGAACAAGACTTTAACTAGAGATACGGACAAAGAAGGTTACATAGTTGTGGAAACGAATTATCGAGTGTACGCGTACACAAATTCCAATTTACAAGTAGCCTTACTTGGACTTTTCTGTGAAATGTTGTACAGGTAAGAACGTAATGAAGATTTTGCGCATTTCAAACAATCATATAATTCTTATATTCGAATTTGGACGCAGGTTTCCGGATTTAGTTGTGTCAATATTAACAAGAGATTCCGTAAGGCAAGCACTGAAGAGTGGAATAACTGCGTCTCAAATAGTAGGGTATGACGATGACTTTTATCGATGATATTTTTTATAACACGTCTCAAATAATATTGTAATACATCTTCTTCGTTTGTGTTCTTGTTTGTCAACAGTTATTTGCAGCAACACGCGCACGGTAAAATGATAGAAACAGGACTGCCGATATTACCGCCTACTGTAGTGGATCAAATCAAGCTTTGGGAGAACGAAAGAAATAGGTTTATATTCAGTGAGGGAGTTTTGTACAGTCAGTTTCTATCACAAACCGACTTCGAAGTTCTCAGAGACCATGCGCTCTCAACTGGAGTATTAATCTGGCAAAGTGAAAGGTGACGGGTTCTAATCTGACTGTAAAAAAATTTTGACGTGTTACTCAATAATAAAAAAAATTGTGTAATGTAAGATCAATAATAAAATATTTCTCACTTTACTGTAGGAAAAGAACTATGGTAGTCACCAAAGCGGGTCACGATGACGTGAAGAAGTTCTGGAAACGATACTCAAAAGGCGCGAGTTAATAATCGACTGTGGAATCTAATCAAATTAGATTATATCTTTCTACTCTTTGTTATATTTCTTAATTTTTGATATTCCCCGCGATTATAATTAAAATATCAAGTGCCTAAGAGAAAGGAAAAAGTTGAAAAATAAAACATCTCTGAAATAGGTATTAAGAAACAAAATTTGTTTTATTTTTGTAATCGATGCTTGTGATAAACATTTATATTAGATTTATAGTGAGAAGTAAGTTTATATTAAGAACTTAATGTTTTTTTTTTTAATTGCTCTGTTGTTTTATTTTTCAATAATAAAATTGTGTACAGTAAGAAATTACTTCGGAATTCGACGATTTAATTTAATGCAATAAAAAACCTGTTGGATTTCAAGCGTGATGTATAACCGTTCCTTTGTAATTCATTCAATATAACAATTTCTAGACGTAATAATTGCCACTTGTGCAATGGTACCATGCATGCAACACAAACACATTAAATAAAGCGATATTGTTCGCATGTTTTGGAACATATTTTTTACATACGAATATACAGTCTTATTTAGACAAATATAAATGCAGAATTATATTATTCGTTGTCAACTTTCTGGCATTAATACAGCTATGGAAAAAACCAGTGTTTTAGTCTGAAGTATTTTCAACACTTCAACACGAATCCCAAACGTTTGGCGAAGGGAGTGCTTCGTGTCAACGCTGCGGCGCCGCTTTCGGCTTTGGCATTTTAGCTAGTAAACCCTGAATCTCGTTCTTCTCGTCGTACTTTTTCCACAATTCGTACAAATTTATTATATACCGAGCTATTTCCTGTATTTTTTCCATGTCCGCGTTCAACTCGGCAAACCACGATTTCAGATCTCTCTGTAATATCACACAGGCTATTTGCATGCAACCTGCAAAGAAAACCAAATTTAATCAAATTGAGTGTCTTGAAGTGTTTATTTGCGTGCGAGATCGACGTAAAGTAATAAATACGCGGAACTTTACCGATAGCTATTTGATAAGGTGGATACAACAGACACACATCTGTTCTCAGACTATCGTTAATGATACGCCAGGCAAGAGTAAGTAACTGTTCGTCTGGCCCCACATCCTGAATTAACGTTAACAAGGGACGGTAAGGTTGATACACTATTAAACAGCAATCCAAATGCTCCAAAAGATAAAATTCGCATTCCAAAATATGATTTGTACGATACTGAAATTCTTGCGTATAGGCGTAGTTGAATTTGTTTTTTACTAAAAGAGAACAACATTAATTCAATGAGTCATAAAATAGCTGCGTGTGTCGATCGGTAAAAAATATACAACAAAAATATAAATGCAAAGATATTTTACTTACCTACAGTTCCCATTGTTGTTATTAATCTGGTATTAGATATTACTCCAAATTCCTCTACCTTTGATGCAAGAAAAACCGAAGTTGGAGCTAACAACAAAGGATCTATACACTTTAAGCTATTGCGAGCATAAAATCTTTTGAAATATACCGTGGCAGTAGCTATTACTTGCTGTCTCAGTTTCAATTGTTCACCTAACACTTGAATCACTGGGGAATACAATGAAATTGCACGTGTATGTAATTAATTTTGCACATATGTTTTACACATAAAATTCTGTTGGAAACAGACATCAGTTAACTTACTGTTGGCAAAGAAAATAAATATTTTCTGGTATTCTTCCTCCGTTAATATTGACAAATCATGCTGACGTTCTCTAACCAAATCTTGCTTGTCCAGTAACCATTGTTGGCTGTTAAAAATGAGACATTTAGGTGAAACTTCATGAAATACATCTCGCTTATGAATGATAATTCGCAAAACATTAACTTACTGATGTGAGCTTTGCCAAAAGTTACCGGCCATTTTTTATAAATAATATATTTACAATATAGAAGTTGTATTGCGGAATTGCTGACTGTCAGTGCTGGAGAGTTTCTGTGCGTATAGGGTAATAAAATACTCTCTTTTATTCTCACATTTTATCCAAAAAATCTATTCTAAGATTTCTACGAAAATCAATACACTGATAAACTAAATCTATCGTATAACATACATACCTGTATATGAAATAACTCAAAATTAAATCAAAATGATTGTCCGAAATCCGGAAAGTTTTGTCTCTAGTTTTAACCTCTAACTCTAACCAATGTCACAATGCGATTCTCCATTGAGGGGCGCACGAGTGATATAAAGCCTGGTTTACATAAATTTAAAGGTCTCGACAGACGGTTTGTGATAGTGCTTAAATTATTTTTAATTATTTTTTAATCTCCATGTAAATAATATTACATCCGACATGGGATATAGTAATAATATTGCATTGACGAGACTTGGAGATTACAGCGGGACAGTTATAGCGCAGTCAATAAAATTCAATATCGTGTTATCTCAAGTGATACTTGTACATGTATTAGCTGATGTAAAAACTCGTCTTGTAAAAACAATAATATGAAAAAGTTCAACAAAAATGTGTTGCTTTCTCAAATGAAATAATTGACCTTTTTTTCAAACCTGATCTTAAAGATTGAAAAAAAAAGGAATATTTAAATCTATAAAGGAATTATAAATTACTGCAACGTTTATACATATTAGAGCTTGCTAATTATCTTATTAGACGAAAAACGTTTTTTAATTTGTATTAACTGGCATGACACATGATGAGACATAGTTTAGTAGCTTATTAATATATATCTTATATAAGATATCTATATTTATTAATATATACAGCATACTTACGTTTATTATAATTTATAATATGGTTTTAAGTTATATATGTCTATAACTTGATATATGTTATATATAATTTATTTCACAAACACAATAAAAGTTTATTTTTTGTTATATTCACGCAAATTATATATTTCTGCTATTTTATATATATATTATACTTTCGACATTCAATTGCGCGCCTTTTTTTGATATTTGCCTCAACTTGATATTTATATCTCTAACAACTTAACTTCGATTCTAGTTGGTTACATTTTTAAAATGGTTTAAAAATTAATAGAAAAAAATATAAAATTTATTAATTTTTAAAAACGACATAAAATATTCTCTTCTTGAAAGTGAAAAGTCGACGCTGAAATAAATAAAATAAAGATAAAGGAAAATGGAATAGGAGTTGTGATTATAAAATTCATTAAACTTATATTTAAAATTGATATGTTTGTTTTTTTAATTTAAGAAAACAAGTTGGTAAAAATAAAAGATAAAATAAAAAACATATAAACATCCTAATTTGTTTCTATAGTCTGTTTTCGAGAAGAGATTTATCATTTATCTTCTAGTATTTTTTTTTCTATTCGTGTGCATACATAAATTCCGATAGTCACTTTAGCTATCCGCCACGTCGATCTTATCTCGGGACTCTTCCGAAGACAAGCGAAGATGATCATCGTAATTTACCACATCGGCCTCGATCACGAAGATCGACGCGGGCGGTGTTTCCTCGACGTGGTTTCCCTCCGCGTATAGAAGTGGTGCCAATGATTTGTGTGTTTGCAATTCCATCGACGAGGAGATTCTGCAGTCGGTCATATTCTCATTTTGATTGACGATATCGTCGATATCGCTATCGCTGCCTAACTCCTCGCTCAGTCGTCCCACCGCCGTCCGTGTGGAACTGCTAATAATTAGAGATGTAGTTACAGTCAGCGTGGTAGCATCAATGTTCGTAGCGGTTAGCTGAGTTTCTTTCTCCCGTATCGATGAGGCACGTCTTTCGGAATACGATCTACCCGTTTTTCTCGTGTCATCGATTACCTGTAACGTGATGCCCACGAAAAACAATAGCGCGGACAAAAACAATATAAAGTTATTTATTTCTTTAATTCATATATTTAACACTTTAATTACTGTAAAAACTGTGGGGAATTTATATCTTCTCTTTCTTCCATTATATTTATTTATACCAATGAAAGAATTCGTCGTACCTGGCGTAACAGGCTCGACCTTTGACTCCTCGATTGGGGATAACCGCTGAGTTGCCTCTGAAGCTGTCTCTGCGACCCGACAAGGGATCCTCGGTCTTGAATCACGCTAATGACGCTGGATTTGACGTCACTTTTGGGGAAGAACAGTCGTATCGCGAAGTTCTTCAGCGCAGCGCGGAAATCCTTGAGGTGATAAGCGTAGAGCAACGGATTGCCGACCGAGTTGATGTGCGAGAGAATGATGCAGAACTTCATGAAGAAGTCGTTCACCTCGCAGTTCGGGCAGAAAGCCATCACGCAGTTGATGGTGTACAACGGGAACCAGCAGATGATGAAGAAGAGGACAATACGCGAGAGATTCTGCGTGGCCTTGACCTCTCGTTTGCGCGCCGCCCCGAGAACACGCAGCATCGTCCCCGACGTCTGATGATGATTGCCACGTAAACGCAGACCGCCGAGACGGCGAACGCCACCACGACCACCCCCGATATTATCGGCACGGCCGCTGGTAGGATCCATCGTGACGATTTGCTGTAGCTAGAGTCGTCGTATCTGTTACACTCTTTTGAATAACTTACCGCCGGGTGATAGATGCTGAAAAACCGCGAGTTCTCTCACGACTAACCTGCTTTACGATCACCCGATAGATGTGGGCGTAGAACGCCGCGATTAGAAGCGCGGGGAAGATAATAGTGGCAAAGTAGAGGAACACGAGGTAGTCGTAGTCCATCACTTTCGTGAAGATACATCGGTGATCGCTCGTTTCGCCGACGTTCCAACCGAAGAGCGGCAAGAAACCCACCAAGGTGCCCGCGACCCAACAAACGCATATTATACCTGAAAATCATCAATAATCGTTTATTCTTTTCTCCTAATTTCGGTTTCGTTTGTTCAAAAAACTCGACGGCTTGTCATCGATATCAATTGATGTCGCGCCGTCGCGACTACGTACACACACAAACATGCAGAAATGATTCAACGAGTAATTAGTCTCCGTTCGTTACCCATCGCGCGGCCCACTCATCGCTATTAACACAGCGCGGCTCTCCTCTCTCTCTCTCTCTCAACACTCTCATAACTTGAGTAATTTTATTTCACATATGATGGACGAGAATACTCGGCTTCTTTATCGATTCACTCGTCATTTGTGAAACTCCACCGGGAACGCGTTATCAAGTGCGGAACACGACGTTTCTGAGTGCTCCCGGAACATTAGAAAATATATGTTTGCGTCTAAGAAATTTTACATTTATCGTATTTATCTCTCTTTTAAAAACGTAAAGAATATCTCGTTAAAAAAAAAAGACATTTCCAGCAGGATAATTTATTCCAGGTGTGAATGTCAGAGTTTTACTAGTGCAATTTATTTATTTATTGTGTAAACGGTATAGCTCTTTATTGTTAAAACAGAAGAAAAACAAATTGCCGGATTCAACAAACGAAATATAAAAATTAAAAAATAAAATATACACGTTGATTAGTTTTAGAACAAAAATGTAAGAAAATTTGTATGTTACGTGTAAAATCCCATTTTATTTGTCATGCTAACGAATTCTAACTTGTTTCTGTTTTCTCATTAAGTTCTGTCGCGAGAAGCTGCGGACTTGGATCAATGAACGTGAATCGCTTGTCCTCGTTAATCCTACGAGACATGAGATCATGTCTGATACCTGATATTACATATCGAATTAACGACGACGTTATGAGATTGCATGGTGTTTCCTCACCTATGGCAGTTTTGGTGCGCATGGTACGCGAATATCCCATAGGATACAGTATCGCCCAGTAACGATCGACGGACACCGCGACCAGGCAGAAGATGCTGATGGTGCAGAGAACCACGAGGACCGAGACGGTGAAGAGGCAGGCGTGGAGATTCGTCGGCAGACCGATGCTCGCGAGGATCGCGAACGGGATCGCGAACAATCCGACCAGCAGATCGGCCGCCGCCAGCGAGACGATGTAATAATTGGTGCGTCTCCGCAGCTTGCGCTCTTTGCTGAACACGATGATCACCAGACCGTTGCCGAAGACGGCGCATATTGCCACCAGGACCTCGCACACGGTGTACGGCAGATTCAGCTCCGCGCTGACCGCGGACGACGCGTTTGTCGGACTGGTATAATCCGAATACGCGAGCGACGAATCGATTGTCGTGTTCGACATAAATCCCATCGCAATAAAAGGGGTCGGCGGAACTTCTTATTAGCGTCGCCGAGCACGCAGGCGGATGATACGATGCATTATCTTCGTTACTTTCTGATATTAAGACATTGTATATCGTTTCTAATGAAATCGACCGGGACAATCGTCGGGAGACATTGCGCCACTTTCGGGACCGACAGATGTGACTACTTCATCATATTGATGTTCCGACGTGTGTCTCTACAAAAGTAGACTTTGTCAACATTCGTAAAACTGTAAACAATAAGATGTTGAAGAGATGTCCTGAAAAAAAATAAAATATATTTTAAGAAACCTCAAATACGCAATTATTAAAGAGTTATATATATATTATAACAATTTGTTTTTTAAACACAGTTTTATATATATTTTATATACAGTTTCGGTGATATATGTATTATTTACCTCTCAAATTCAAATATACCAAACGTGTTTTTAATTTATTATTATTTGGAGTTATTCTTCTCACCTTTTAAACTGATAAAATAATAACGCAGATAAAATTATTATTTCAATGAATTTCAAATCACAGAACGCTTGTAACTTTCTAAGCCTAATATTTTCCGTACATCAGCGATAGTCGTTAATTTTTTCACAAACACGAGAGTTGTAGAAATAACAATTTCGTCGCTTCAAATACGATTTAAAGATACACAAGCGCACATTAATAATCGAGTTTCCGCCACGTCTCTACATGAGAGACACAGAGAGAGAAAAAAATCCAAATATCTATAATTCTAAATTATTGCCCTACATATATTTCTATTTTTATATTTTAACTTCGTTCGTTTTATTTTTATTCGTAGCTCTCGTCGTGAGACGTAAAATTAGTTTATTCGCTCGAATCTCGTTTCATCATCAGTTTAAAAAAAAGGTGACTAAAAGGTGGTATAAATGACATTTGTCAAGGGTGGATAATAAACTCCTGGACGCTGGATCGCGGACAACTACATAGATCCGTTGCCGGGCAATGAATGAGGAGAAGCAAATGGCAAAAATGGGTCGCGCGTAAATTGTCACGGGAACAACATAGTTTGTGATTTTTGCGTGTAAAAAAATTGATAATAAATAGTTCAACGAAGGAGACTCACGGCAGACTGTTGTTCGAGACGTTTGTCAAATTTAAATTACACAGCGTTATTTCGTGTGCCAAACGTGAAAAGAATGAAGAATTTTAGCTCAAGAAGATACAAAGAAAATAAAATGCGCTCCTGAAACGTAGATGCGTTTCAATGCATTAGACGTGCCTAATTTTAGCGTTTTAAAAAACTCTCGTATTTATTCTACGCACCTGGTTCGGTGTCTTCTTTTGTTTTTTGTTTTTTTTTTTCAACGTGAATCTAATCAGTGAAACAATCTGGTATTAAAACTGCTGTGTCATTGTGCGATTATCCAATTGCCTCTATAAACACTAATGCGTTTCAGTGTAACTTACATCAACGTCTCCGTTTGTGCATCACTAGTAGTTAGACATCACACACTTCGTATTTTCCTTGTTTTTTCAAGCGAAAAATCCATCGATTTACATAATTTTTTTTACATTTCCGATATTAGAATATGTCAATTTTTTTTTTAATTAATGACAATCTTTTTCCAAACTATAGATATTTTATCGCGTATCGTCTGTTGCACGTTCGAAAGAACAAACGAGCGTGCGATCGATCGCTCATTGCGTGGCGTACGTTAACACACTCCGTGTTTCCTGTCCATTACTTACGAAGAAGTTAGAGCAGCTATGTATACGCGACCGCGTAAGATGGATTTCCGTGCGATATCATCTAATACGGCTGTTGCGTGTCACGCGAAGTTGCGGATGCGTTGTTGCGTACGACCGCGAAGTAAAACGAAGAAAGAAGTTGGCTTTGTCTTGCGAACGAACGTGTTCCGCATGATCGCGTTTAACACGTTGCACGCGCTGCTCCCGAGTTACCGATTTTTCTCTTTTTTTTTTTTTTAATTTCCGTAATGGATCGTGCGAACGAAATAAATTGAAGAACTATATAGCGATCAGCGAAGAAGCGCCGGTAATAATAATAATAATAATAATAATAATAATACGTATACCGGGTCGCGACGCAAAACTTAAAAATTGTTGATGGAAACTTTGCGTGTTAATCTCGATATGGCGAGCGATTGAATAAATAATTATCGAAGTCTCTTGTTACGACGGCACGTGCCAATGTTGGTTAAGCGTCATCGAGAGAGCGGGGGAAAGAGTTGAGCACAGGTTGTCGTAACGATAATACACTATAATATCACTTGACGCCGCGACGCGGTTGCGGCGCGCGGAACAAATATTTATTTTCGTATTAATTAACTTCGAACGCGCGAACATACACACACACACACACATCCACACACAAACGGGGGGGTTGAAAGTTCTTTTTATCCGCGCGCATCAAGCTCTGGAGCGGGGAAGCACCGCCGTCCGTCTTCTCAACCCCGTGGCGTGTAACTGAGGTGCTCCTTGTGCGACATTAGGGAACACCACGACGACGTGAAGATCGGTGGTGGTGGTGGAATCACTGGGCGATCTTGCTCGTGTTCCTTCCGCCTCCGCTGTCAAAAAACGTTAAGTTAGAAGATTCATTTTACGTTCACCGCGCTCAACTACGCGGCTGGATGCGCTACATAAGTACATATATAAATATATATATATATATATATATTATATACGCACATATACGTACAGTTTTTGCGTAGATGTAGTGAGTGCACGTTTAATTTCGCGATGTGGTACTCACATAAACGCAGATTTCACTACGTCTACGTGTATGTGTGTGTGAATATATCAACAGTTTGCTCCTCCCTTTTTAATCATAAATGAAAAACAATCGATATTTAATTAGATTTTGCAATTAGTTAAAAACACAAGGGCAATCAATGGAGAGAGAGAGCCAACGCTGTTGTTAACACGTACAGTTTTTCCTCTTTTATTCGGATATCTTGACCACAAATAATTTTGTCTCAATGTCACAAACAAACTCTCAAACGCGAATTATTTTTTACATAACAAAAAGCGAGTCTTGATGCCAGAGATAAACCAACATAAAATGTCACTCACTCTGCCGTGCCGAGAGCGTGTAAATAGCATCATTGTTGGGAAAAACATAAGCGTTCATCTCAGACATCAAAAAATCGATCGTTCTAGCAAACAACGAATAAATTACTCTTTTGTTTTTAAATATTTTTTTCATTTTTTTGGTTTTTTGAACTTCATATATTTTCTCACATAAAGTTGCGTCAGGTCTAAACAATTCGAGATAATCTGTACACATTTTGTTTGGATACTGATATACACATCCTGATTAGATATTGATGTATGTGTTGTATATTGATAAATGTAGAGAGAGAGAGAAGGATGCGAAGAAGCGGCAAAACGAAAGAAGCGATGTTGCGAATGCAATTTTTGCACGGATTATTTAGATCCGATTTATTATCAGAACTTTATGCAACTTTATGTGTGAGAGAACATTTGTAAAACCGATCGCGTATCAACATTGCGTGCTTTTTTTTTTATCATTAATTGCCAGTAAATTTTAATAATATATTGCAAAAAATTACGCGCCGTCATATTAGCACGTGTTTGAGAAAGCAACGGAAATCCATTTGACTCGAGTTATCCCGTCCTGGCTCTCGCATCTTTAACGAACGTTGAACGAGACCATTCGCGATAATTCGTACGTACTCATTGTCCGTAACTGGCATATAACGGAGCGCTTGACATTGCATAAAGGATCTCTAATTGCGGTGCGCAGTTAAATGACTTCTCTCTCCGATGTCGCGCGCACGCCATCGGACCATGGCGAAGCTCGAGGTTCTTCCTCGATGCGAGAGCACAGAGTCGATCTAAATCGAAAATGGGTCGTGTTCGTGTTACAGCAACCATGTAAACATATCCTGAAACATATCACCCGGTATCTAATGGTTTAATACGACTAATGTGTCGCGGCCGGAAGGTGGACTTAAGTTCAGTGCCGTGCTTTCGATTGCGAGATCCACTGGCCGGATTCATGTTATTTGGTGATGAAAAAAAAAAGATCAAATAAATATTGAGATTTTTGACAAAATTCAAGTAATCACATTTGTCTTAACAAATATTATCCTTCGTCGTTCTTTACTTCGACTGTATACTTTAATAATTTTGATTTCATAGTTTCAAAGTGTGTAAAGATTTTTATACAATATTTTTCAATACTTCACTTGATTTTTTTTTTTAGAATTAATGAGAACATGAAACTAATTGACCTAATGAATCAAATCGAGCAACTTCGAAAGTTCCCAAGCACTTTAAATGGAATATAACGAGGTTTGTGATTGATAATTTTTGTCTGATGACATCATCGGCAAAGGGGTGGGGATGACAGTATAATAAAGTATTCGGCTATTTACTTAACGTCGCACACAATTTCATGATACGTGTGTGCTTCTTCGGAGTTTTATATAATTCTACTTGTTTTAATTATCATTACCGTGTTCGGAAATTAACGCACACATATATATATAGTTGACGATGTATATTTAGTCAATGGTGTTCAGTTAACGAACATAATTACGCTCCGTAAATTACCGTTTGTTGATTCGAAACTAAGGCTGGACTAATAAAAACCGACTTTACACTCGCTATGCGTAACTCGTGAAAATGTTTCAGCAAATAAAAACTTAACAAAGACAAAGTATGGGATGTAACGCGAATCGTGTTTATCGCAGTGATAATAAAGAACGCTAGGTTTCTCCTCTACCTGGGACACATCTAGAGAGAGAGAAGATTCGCACACGAGAGCGGCGATAAAGGCGCGCACAAACCACGGTGTAACATCTAAAAAGATCCAATTAAAAGCTCGCTCGTCCGCACAATATATGTGCGCAGCGTATCGTGCTTCACTTACCTCGCATTTGTTGCAAGCCGTACACACGTTACAAGGACAGTGATAGAAAGTAATGAATTTTTGCTGTTTATGAAAAAAAGAAAAACCTTCTCTCGTGGCGGGAATCTTCCGCATGTTTGAAAAATTCGGAAACCAATAATCCAATTATCCTGAAAAATTAGGTAATTAATACCCGCACGTGTGAGAATATATATTTGTAAATCTCAAATGATATTACTTACCTATGATGCAGTTCTCCATCATTTTTTTCGAGTAAAGATGTTATCCGATAAAATGAATAATCGGTCGGAAAATCAGTTGATTGAGAATTGATCAATTCCTAAGTTGATCGACTTCTACCCGAAGTTGGTTGATTGCTCTAGGACCCGTTTCACATAAAGGTACACAACTTTTATTATGTTAGCAACTGTCCACTGAATGTGTATTACTGATTCCACAGTAGAATCACAGTAATATATTCCTTGGACAATAGCTAAAATATTACGCAATTGTAATATTAGCTCTATCTGCCGAATATATTACTGCTCCTATATAGAATCGGTATTATCCTACACAGAGAGACGTCTAACGAACGTCTAGTGGACGACAATGTGACGTCTAATGAATCATTCAGTGAGATGTGTACGGATTGTTGTTGTGTGGAATATTCTCTCGCTACAGTTACCGATATCACAAGATGTAATTGTAATTTTATAAGAAACAAAAATCTGATCTTACCCAGTCAAACGACCGCGTGTGGTCGCGCGTCCGCCATGACTGCCCGCGAAAACGAATATATCGAAGCGCGCGAAATTACGATATTCTCGAAATATCGAATCGACGAGCGCGGCAAAGCGCGCGCGTATAGCGCGAAACAGAACCAACAGATGGCATTTTTATTCATCCGGTTTTGATTCCGTGTGAACGGAGTTTGTGCGCGCACAAAACATGGACATCGGAGCACTCGTGGGAACGTAAAAAAATAGATGTCGTACGAGCCGTTTCATTGGCTGCAGAGCATCTGGAATAATAACTTATAAACTTAAAAGATAATTTTAAGTAAAAAATTTGACTATATATGTGAATACCGGCTTTTGACACGCGTGCGTACCAAACGATCGTTAAAATCGCTTAAAGTGCGTATATGTAAACAGTGTGTTACTGTGTGCAAATAGTGACCAAGTCAATAGGATTATTATTTTTTATTATTATTTAAACGATGGCTTCTTCCAACGATCTTGCTACGGTATGTTTTTTTTTGTATATGACTCAATTTATTTACACTTTACAAAGAACGTAAAACAGTGACGTTAAATATTTAATTATTAAATAAGTCAACTATTTTTTAATAATTTCCAAATTTAATAATAATATAAATTTTTTATGCGCACTGATTGTCAGTCTCTTACGTAGTATTTTTTTACAACGTAGAAGTTTGAGATTATTTAAGGTTATGTCTGTTAAAAACTCCTTTTATTATTGTGCTCAGTTTTATATTTCTGTATATTACAGAAGACAGATGTCTCATTTGATTTTGTTATAATTCTCATTTTTAGATTGAAACGCTGAAGTGCTTGAATCAATCAGTGATAGAACGATGTAGACATCTAGCTACCATTATAGACGACGCTAGCACAACCGAACTGCAGCATGTCTTTCCTGTACTGATAGATTCTTTATTCGGAATAGTAGACAATATTGGATGGGGCTTACATACCATTACATATAAAAAGAATCCGCAAGAATATGAGGCTCTTTGTAACTTCCTTGGCCCACAGGGATCAATGTTCTCCTTGTGCTACAAGTTGCTTCCAGACTGTTATCTGAAATATAATTTTCCAGTGTCATATCTTCCAGTATGTCTCAATCTACTCACATATTGCGTGCATATCTTGTTTCACGATATTTATTTATTACAGCTAAATAAATATCTCACTGCTTCTTCCAGTCAAAAATACGTTCCATGTTGGAAGAAGGAGTGATATCGCCATTTTATCTTGATAAAATTAAACAGGATCCAGGAGCACGTGTACCCTCAGCTTTATCTATGAGTATCCTTTAGTAAACACTATAAATAGTTATAATATTAATAAAATAAATATATATTAGTTACTATTCCTTAACAAATGCTCACATATCCTTTTGAGTACTACATTTTCCACTTTGCATACCATCTGACCAATCCCTGGCTGCAACTTCAACAGCAAGAGAATGTATGGATGAACTGGGAGACGGTTTATGTTCAATTAGCGCATTGTTATTTGTATCATTTTCTTCCCAGAGATAGTTCCACTGTTTTACCGGTAATTGGGCCGTATGTAAAAAAGACTCCGCCAAGAAAATTGACTCAATCGCCAGAATTCAGAAGGTACAAAGACGCTTGAAACATTCAAACACTTTTTTTTATATCTATCGTAAGCTGTTTATATTCATTTTTTAATTTCTACGCATGTTACATTCCATATACATCTTGAATTCAGAGATTGTCACAAGATGCAAACTCCAAGACTCTTAAGAACGTCCATATTGTCGCCGAGATCACCAAGTCCTGGATCGAATATACCGCAGCAACAGTGTTTACCGCAAGTGTGGAGAAGCGAGACGGTAGTGCAAGTTTTTCTTGATTTTTGGTTGGAATATACAGAGGATCAGCAAATAATTTCCCAAATGAACACATCTTACCTCACTTCTGTACCTCTACGAGTAAGTTTTTTTGTGTATATTATCAAGAAATTTTAATTGATACTTGAAAAAGAACAAATATTTTTGCGAAAACGATAGCGGTCGTAATTTTGAATTTTAGCATAGCATACATTCCGGGGAACATATACGTCTTGTGAGAGCGTTCATAAAAACACTGCACGAATTTACAAATACCGCTACGGGTGACAAGAGCGCAATGGACGAGTTAAAAAGGCACGGATATAATTTGAATATAATATTTCACTTTTTTTACTGCGTCGCAGTAATTTTTTGTTTTCAAGTTCTAATATTTTCTTGTATTTGTCACGCAGAATAATTCTTCCTTCGGTTCAAGGAAAAATATACACGTTTTTACGAAAAGCGATATATCATTGGCCATTAGACAGTTCGTTCAGGTTAATATTGGAAGCCTGGCTGAGCTTCATTCAACCGTGGAGATATGTGCCGGGAATAACGTACACTAAAGAAGGGTACGTATACATACAATATGTACTATCAATGAATGGATTGATATTTTCGTATTTTTAGAAAAACGGAGGAAGAGGAAAGAGGCAAAATTCATGATCCCAGCAGATGGACTCCTTTCGTTGCTAACAACCTGTTGGCATACGCAGCTATATTTCAACAACTGCTTCCGCGTTTTATAAGAACCGATCTAGTAGCGCCTAAGAATGCATTGATGTTGTACAGAGTTACAAAAGTACACGAATTTTCTTGTATATTTTTATTCGCGTTTAAATATATGTTCTTTACATACCGCATTTCTGCAGGTATTCGCACAACCACATTTGGGACAAATGATACGCGAAGTAGAAAGTTGTGTAGACGACGTAGGTTTAAGAGGTCGGCTAACTGCCAATCAATGGACAACGGTCGTTCGACAACAGTTTCACGAACTCGAAGGTCCCACGTATCAATATACACCAATGTTTTCGTCGTCCATCATCTCTCAGGTGTATATCCTATTCGTTCTGAGCGAATCAAATTTTTACATCTATTAGAAAACTAACTTTTTCATATGGCTTTTTAGGTTGTGTGCTTTTTGAGTATAATCAAACAGGCACACTTGACAGCGACCAGTTTAGTGGAGGCTCTTGAAAACAAGAGAAAAGGGAAACGTTTTTTCCCGTCTTTGTGGGAGTTTTTTTCGTGCGAGGATTATTCCTCGGACGACATCAGCATAGAAGAGAGACGACGCGTCCCCGTTCTCTTGGCTACTGCTCAACAACAGCTTATTGATATATTTCAAGTGATTAAACTTTCAATATTTATTATCTGTGTTAACTATCTGCTCGTTTGTATATACATGTGTTTACAATCATGACATCTTACAGATCACACTTGAAGACATTCCACAGGTTGCTATAGTGGCGGATCAAGAATATCACGATAGCATTTTGAAAACTTCATTCTGTCATCAATCATTGGTCGGTTTTATTGCTATTTTATTTGGAAACAGTAAGTTTTGTCTTGTCTGTTTGCATGTTAGCTTTGTTAATTGTTTCAGACGGAATCTAGTTTTGATTCGAATAAACCAGGTACTTTTGTACCACTGCAAGAGGGTAGACAAACGTGCCGGTATATCGAATACATGGGAGATCCGGAGTTGCAACCGGTGCGAACGAACGAATGCGCATTTTTAGTTCGAAACTTTTACAAGTTTTGCTGTTACATCAATCGCAAGGTATATTATCAATCACGCATATAATTCACTGTGGTAATACGTAACTGTGTTATTCCTCGATTCAAGATTATTTTTACTTATTACTGTTGCAGTATCAACACGAAATAACTTCGATGTACAACAGAAGGAGCTTTTTCGGTAGCATTTGTCGACAAGTAGTCGCACCTCCTACCACAATTGTTAAGTTGCCAAAACGAACGTTAACTGGATTCACCAGTGGCTACGAGGAACGAGTGCCGCCTCGATTGAGTTTACGGCCTTTGGCCAATTATTCCTTCCTTGCGAGCGTGTCACTCGGCGTGTTTATTGCATGGCTTATAAAGTACGTAATTTTCGCAATGTCCGTAATTTGCGAAGTGAAATCATCACTCATTGTTCAACACGATCATGATTTTCTTTTTGCAGTTACAGTCCTTTTACGTTTCTGGGATTTATATTTTGGGTGTGGATTATGTATGTGGTTATACGTGCAGGTCTGCAACACTGTTTCCCATCCAGCACACGTACTTCATGATCGAGCGCAATCATGTTTCCCTTTACTTGATAATATCTGCTGAAATAACGTGTTGGTATATACATTCCTTAATAAAAACACGCACAGACACAAAATAATGTTAAATAAGTATATTTATAAAATATCAAGATATATGTATATATATTGCGTGTGTGTGTGTGTATATATATATATATATATATATAATTATTTATACGCTATGTATTTACTTAATTAGTTTTGATATCATAAAAAAACATTAAATACAAATTATATATCTTTGATAACATAATTGTCTATTTATAATGACACGTAAAATAAAAAGATGTTTTTTAAGATAATAGAAATTATCTTGATCTTAATTTTATTTGCATCTTAATCTTATTTAAAGTTCTTGATACATCAGTCCTCCCTTCCCAAGTCTTTTTAAAATATCAAATTTTCTCTCAACGCGCGTTTCGATGCAGCAGATCTATTTTTCTATTGTTTTTTTATGTCAAAAAATAGATAAGACTCTCAACGATAGTAAAAAACGCGCAGTTAAACTAAAAGTAAAACAATTAATAATTTTTAAAAAATGTTCGAAGAACCGCATTTATTTAAAAGTGTTCGTTTGAGTATCGAATCCACATGGACCACACAGCTGCGCGTCACTTGCGACCTGATCTTACAAACAAAAAACTTGAAAGAAAAAAGAGAAGAAGAAGACAAGAGTTAAGTTGCTTTGTCGAGGGATGTTGCGCATTGTGCGCTACCGTCGTTGATCCTTCGGTAGAAAGACGACTGTTCATGTTTGTCACTCTCGCATCCGATGTTACACACAGGCAGGAAGGAGCAACACGAAGGAGAGAAAAGAGAGAAGCAAAAAAGACACGCGCGAACTATTCTCGTACATTCATATATAGGTACGTGGCGAATTGTGAGCGTCATAACGTCATGTTGTTGCTTAACGTGTTGAACTCTCACAAACAGGATAAAATTCAAGGCGAAATATATATATATATATATATATACAATCTATATATATGTATACGATCAGAATTTGATAATTATACACATATTGCTCCAGAAAATGCAAACTTCTTTTCAAATTTCATGACGTTTCCTCGTCGCTTTTCTCCGCTAAATTGTAATTTTATTTAATCAAGAGAGAATGATATTTCTTGCACAAAGAGAAATAAGTCTTGCAAAAGAGAACATTCCTTGCGCATCAACTTCCGGCGTATTTTTCAGATAATCTCTCGGAATTTAACTACCACGCGCGCGTTTCGCGCCACGCGCTCGGCTTCCTCGTGCGATTTTTGTTCCTGAGCACTCGGGCGAGAGAATTTCTCGCCTCTTTTCCCTCGGTGTGGCGTTTGTGTCCCCACCAAGAGTTCTTTTATATCTCCTCTCTGTCTCTGGCACTTCCTGTGTTCCGCCAACACACATTCACCTGTCTATCGCCACACCACCTGCCTTTCGTAATACCTAGCTAGCAGGCGTATATATGCGGGCTGCATATGTATATATGCCCCCGCTGCTGTTAAAAGCGTAATATATCCCGAAGGGCTTTAGTTTCGCCTAGCACGTAGTCACACGTGCATAGCGCACAGAGGCCGTGATCTTTCTCTCTCTCTCGCCGTCTATACTATACATACGCGTCCCATCCGGTAAATGCGACGACTTGTTGCTCGCCGCGTTGCACAGTCAATGTTACGCTGTCGTTGACTACGGTCGTGAAGTCACTTAGTCTCGTAAAGAGTCTTTCTCTCGTCTTTTTGATAAGCAAAACCCATCGTCGTTCTCGATGTCGCGCGATGCCAACTCCTATATGCCGTATGTAGTACATATGTGTAGCACACATGTAGACTAGAGGTTCGACGAACTTGTTGGCGGGAGAAGTTACTTTATACGATGTCGCTTCTCCGTTCACACCGCTGCTGGATACTCGCTAAGATATTTGCAACGCGCGCGAATATTTCGTAAGAAGAGGCGCACTTTGCTAAAAAAAAAAAAAAAAAATTGTCTCCGCGAATCACAACTCCGCGAAGGTGTTGAACTTCCCGCCGTCCAAAACGTGCTGGAAGGGACGAGGTATTGCGTTACGGGTTTCAAATGCTCTTTCCCCGATACACTTCAAGTTCCAGGAGAATGTTCGGCGCAAGTGTCGTTTGTTAATGTGAGCAGAAGTTGACAAACGAAATGGATTCAAAGTAGAAGCGAATTCTCGAGACGTATGTACCTACTAACCGGAATGAAAGTAAACGCGAAGAACGCGTGAAGCGAAACGCGATCGGGGAAGTATTTTGAATCGGGTTCCAGATATTGAATTTGACGAACCGGGTGGACTCCACCGATAATATTGTCGACAATTTGTGAATATCTCCGTGTTGACACGACGGAGTATTATCAAGAAGTGCGATAAAATTCTTATTGATCGTCTCTTGCATTTGGTTCTCAAACGCGGGAGGCCAAGTGAGTCGAACACACAACGTCTCACAATGTCAACGGAATATCTAAAAAGGTAAGTTTTTGCAATTAAATCGCTTATTCAAAAAAATTTTGCGTTTTCACGCGTGAAAATATTATACAATTAGCACTTTCAGTCGATAGATCTCGGGAACAAAATCCTTCACGTGTGGACAAATTTTATAAACTAGTTTACAATTATTTATAATCACATGTCATCTCATGCGTATTTGATTGTATTTGATCATATATCACCACAGATATAAAACTTGTCCATATACAAAGAACTTTTTTCACCAGAGCGTTATTCCGTATCGTATACTTGTGTAACAAATTATCTTTAAATGCATATTTGTTTATATAATATTTATTTTAGTTTACTTGATAAAGTTGACATTTACTAAGATTGCACGCGTGAATCCACAAACGTGACGTCTGAAAAAGAGTAAGCACGTCGGGAGTTTTCGCAAGCATTTCGTCGATTTAGTGTGAGGTCTTAACTTTCCCTTATCTGAACGTGTCGGCCGAAGCATTCGTATCGCGCTCAGATGGAAATGATGTCCCGCTTTACGTACCTACACAGAGAGAACATTTTTTTTCTACATATCTACTTCAAACAAACGCTCACAGAGAAAGAACGAAGAAGATAATATCATCACAGAGTGTTTTTAAAAAAAGATATCAACATGCAAAATTCCGATTATTGTGAGTTTTTATTCGGTAATTGAAATAGACAACATTTAGAAAACATTTTTCGTTTGCGTAAATCGTTGGCTCGTTGTGCGCTTTGCGCGCTTTAAAGAACGAGCGGAATCGTCGATAAACATTTGTATTTTAAAATATCTTGATTTCGATGCACACACACGTGCGCTACGTGTAGGAACGGAAGGAGAGAACATCCTGCCGATCGAATTGGGTAGCAATGCGAACAGCTGCCGCTGTCCGAGCGCGTTCTGAAAGCTGGCTGACAGCTGCAGCATCTTTCGGATTATTTCTATGACGCTCCAATTTCCTAGTTTAACACAATTGCCTGGATCTGAGAATTGAAAATTAGAAGTGAAAAAAATGTTGAACGCAAAAGAAAAAACAGGAAGAAAGAAATAATTATCGAGAGACAAAATAATGGAAGGACTCAAGATTACTGATAGGAAAAAAATTTTATCTCGAAATTACCGATAGAAAAAAAGCATCAAATATCATAAAAAAAAACTCATTTGGATATGGGATTTGCTTTTCAACTCAATACTTTTTCTTGAAAAACGCTCGAAATAACCAAACGCGTTAAAAAAATTTTTCTCAAATAAATGTTGCGATTTCAAAAACAATTCAAAGACGGATATGTGGATATGAACATCAAATCTCCCCGACGCTCTGAAAAATCAACCGACTTATCTATTATGCGAAGCGCCGCGAAGCTCCTTTCACCTGGCTGTTTTGCGACACGAGTCTTCCATTGCACGAGTTTTCTACGCCACGAGCGTAAATAATCGCAAATAACTGTACAGATCTGCATGCCAATATGGGACAAGAAACACAGCTCTCTGAGTCTGTTAATTGTTAGAGAAAAGTTTTTGCTCGCCAAAAAAGGAGACAAAATTGTTTTCAATCTGTCGCTGTATCCGTCAGAGTTTTTGATGTGTCTCACGTAAAAATACTTATCCTCCTTTTATGTTGAAAGAGAAGGAATTTACCGCGTGTTAATGACAAGCGGTAACAATTTGTGAAGAAATCACAGTACGCCGAGGTACAAATTAGACAGAGCGCGCAAACCCGACGAGTGCGAGAAGACAGAAGGCGCGGAGGAAAAAGGTCTATCGGCCAGCCAGCGGGCCGAAAGAGGAGGTTTGCAGCTGCTGTGACAGCTGCACACTTCCCCGTACACATTTTGTTACTCGAGCATGCGGCTCTCGAACCCTCCTTCGTCGTCTTGGAGGCCAGGTGCTTTTCGTATCGCATCGGAGTGCCTCGAAAAGAGTTCCTTCTTTGTCCTTCCCGCCCCTCATCGGAAACGTAACCATCTGGGCGCGTATACGATTTGTCGAAAACGCGAATCTTACGTAGAGAAAAATCCTTCGGTCGTGAGGATTGACCGCTCTCTCTCTCTCTTGGCGCGTACAGTCCCACCTGTAGCTTTGCGCAATTGCAAGCAGATGCACGTGGCGCTCGCACGTAAAAGTACGTACGAACAAGCATGCGATCGATTAAGTAACATTCTCCGTCGTTGTGTAACTCGACTTTTATCTCTCACCTCGCGTATTTAAATTTTAAACACGATGGCGACTCGCGAGACTCTCTCGAGATTTGGAATCAACGTGAAATACAACTCTTGCGGGCCAGAAGAGTCCGCAAACCGCTGCCACATCATATTGATAATCGGTGGGGAGAAGGTCGGAGAAGGCCGCAGCTGCGGCTAGAGATCCGGTCCGCGCAGTTGAATGCACGATACCCGCCGCGCGGCATATAGGTCCGTCCCGATATCGTTATTCCCCCTTTCTCTTCCTCTCTCGCCTACTCCACAAACTTGCAGTTGGCAACACGTGCCCCCGTATTTCACCTCTTCGCCCGTTGTTGCCTTCGATCTTCGTCTTCGAAAAAAAAAAAAGTTACGCACAAACAGTTGCTAAAAATGCTATCGCGAATGTCGTGAAACAAATTTAAAAAAATCTCCGTGTTAACTTGCTCGCCGTTTAGAAAAGTAATTCTGTTCTCATACGCGTGTGTTCATTCATCGTCTCCCCTTTTCTGTTTGTTCGACGATAACACTCCTTTTTTCACGGCTATCTCCTCTCAATTATCTACTTCCAAAACTGACGCCGCAAGAGTGTTTAAAAAACCGGCCGAGCTTATAAATTTTTGTAACTTCCTTTTAAACTCCATCAATATAATTATTACAATTTTTGAAAAAGTGAAGATAATTTTGATTTTTGTTAATTTTCATTAAATCTTTTATAATATGTACCAATATTTTTATTTATTTGATTCTTAGTTGACAAATTTCAAATAGAAATCTATTTTATTCTCTTATTAATTTTTCAAATCAAAATCGGTACGGAATATATAATTAAATTTTTCGTTTAAGATATTTTATGCACTCCAAGATAAACATAATATACAATTCTCATCAAGCTATTGTAAAAATTAACAGCTCAATTAATTCCAATCTTAACTGGACTGTTTTTTATTTTATTTTAAAGTAAAACAAACCAGCCACAGTTGAGTTTGAAATTCTCATCCGACAGTAGACCGTAAATTCTGCAGTTAGTGTATCGAACCTATTAATGTTCATGACGTCACGATATTTTGTTCGCAAAACATTTAAGGAATTACGAACGACTGAGTAAAGCTGAAAATTACCGTCGTGTGCGCGCACCATCCTTCATCGCCACCAATCTCTCCCGATCGCTCGCAAACGGCTCCTTCGACCTGCTGCGCGTCCCCCTTTCTCCTGCTTCGTTGCCTCTTCCTCTTTCTCCTCCAACGTTGGCTTGGCCACCACTACCACGTTCTCGTCGTCCCCATCGACACCGTGACGCTCCGGTCCAGAGGAGAGCTGCAGAACTAGTCGCAGCTTGCATGTCAGTTCATCAGTGAGCTCCGTCTTGCGCGCGTTATACCGAGAGCGCCTCTGTATATTTGGAGATCAAATTGGGAGAGAGAGAGAGAGAGAGAGATAATCCGCATCTTTGTGAGGTACACGTGTTTCTCACGGACTTCGGTGTTCTATTTGTATTTGTTTATTTATTTGTTTTTTTTTTCTAATGTCGTTGGAGCGAAATATCTCGAGTGTAAAAACACGACGAGTTCTTCTTACTTAATCTGCGGTACTTGCGTGTGAATGGTACCAGATTATCTCTGGTGTTGCGCGAGTGACATTTAGTGCCTGCGACTACGAAGATGGTGCGCGGTTTGTCGCAGTGGACCAAGACCCTGAGCTTTCCGGCGAGGGTGTCACCTCAGAGACCGAGCAAGGAGTCCAAGAGCTTTCACGTAAGCCCCAGTGCTAGTCCCACGTCACCGCCCAGCCCAATCAATGACACCATGGACAAAATGCCTATAATTACCGACGAGGTTAGACACATTTCTATCTGTAATCTCGTATTTTTGCAACTCTGTTAATCTGGTTTGTTTTTTCTGAGCGCGCTGTTAAAATGTTTTTTTTTTTTTTTTTTTTTTTTATCCGAGCTGACAGCTAACTTATCAATGTGCACATTGCATATGGCTCGGGATGCATCAATAATCTCACGTAACTGTTTACTTACATGCCAGTGTCCTGATTTCGTGATGCACAATCGCGCTTCCTTTCTCGCGATTATTTCGCGATGCACCGTATGGTACATGCATCATTTTTGACGGGAATAATGTCGCGAGAATTTGAGTGATCTCAAAAACCGTAAGCGCGAAGATGCGTGGCGTGCGCGAGAATAATATCACGCGCTTTTTTTTTCCTCCGAGACAATCTTGTTCTCGATATCTGCGTCGGCAGATGTTGCGCGACACGAGACTCGATGTTTCCACCCGTGCCCGTATGATTCGAGGAATTTTGTGCGTGAACGGTCGTGCCGTCTCACCGGAATAAAATGCCGGCTGTAAGGCGCGACGACGGCGGCGGCGGCAGCGGCGGCGGAAGCGTGGGAACCGAGCGTAACAGATGGCCTCGACCGCTTCCGAAGTTGCTCGACCTCCCCTCTCGTTACGGAGGTTCTTTCTTGCCTGACCGATGTGGTGTTCGTGTGATTTTGCTGATGTAAACCTTTTACAAACTACAGAGAGAACTTGATCTCTTCTCAAAATGAAGCGGAACCTCCAATCAAAACTCGAAGCTCTCCAAGCAAAAATTGTCCTCCTCCGAGACTCTGAAAATTGTTCGCAACACCTTCAAATAGCCATAGATCTCTTTTAACTAACAAATTGTTAGAAAACTTTTAATCTCGAAAATATAATGAAAATTTCTCTCACAATCTCGGAATTTCAAAAATTGTCACTTTCATGACAGAAAATTGCTCGCAACATCTTCAATTGTCATGCACTTCTTTCAAGGCAATTCTCTTGGTCTTTTCTTCAAAACAAACCGGGGGAACTCCCGATTAGAACTATGGAATTTTAAATGTCGGGGTGCTAAATTTACACACGCGGGCTGTTGGAAGTGTAAGTACACGCGGCAATTATAGCGTTATATTAAAAACCCTCGTTATTCTTCCCACGACGACGACATTCCCCAAAGGCCGGAAACCACGGGACCACGTTCTTTATTCGCTCATTGTTCCTTGTAGCGCATTCCACCGCGATGAACTTTTCTATGTCGTTCGTGAAAGAGGATGTTACGTTCCGCGGCGTGGTCGCGGGGAAACCTGGGTGTGCTCGTGTTTCGCGTCTCCCATACGGGGGCTGCTGGCTGTGCAGCGTAAACACAATCGCTATACCTTTCGTGACGTAAAATATCCTACCGCTTGAACGTGCTTAACACAATAATTGTAGTTTTCTTGATCTCCGGTTTATATCTAATTGCTGGAACTTCTTCAGAGAAACATTAAAGTAAGAAAAAAAAACATGTTTCACATATGTGTTGTTTTGTTCTGTAAGAAAAATATATATTACTGAAATAGTAATTAAAAAATGCAATTATTAATCGTTGATTACATAACGCGCTAAAAAGAATTGTGTGTGTGACACAAATGTCAAGAGCGTTTCTTCAAAAAAATTGCTAAAGCGATCTTTTATTGCCTCAATAAGATATTCATACCTGTATTCTCGAGAGGATGGACGGAGACACATTAACGCATGTCGCGTCGTATGTTAATTATCGACCATTCACCAAATTCGTATAGTCGTTCGAATGAGACGGCCATTCTGTTCGAGAGTTCGTAACAGTCGAATTCGTTAAGAAATTATCGTTGATACATCGAAGACTTTTTTATATTTTTAGACAGTTGCGCTGTTAATTGAAATAAATTTTAATACAAAATTGATGAAATTTGATTTCAAATTTGATTCACATTTTCTTTGTATTCGTATATTCAGTTTTTTATTATCTACATACACGTGTACGCAATCTTTTACTAAGAGCCTTAACACACGCGACACACATGCACGAAGCAGCTCTAGTATTTATCTTCTTTCCCTTCCTTTTATAATTGTCGCATCACGTTCGACCTCCTATGGTCGAAGGACTGCAAAGACACAACGTTCAAATTCCAGTGCACGGCTATAAATGTTTATTTTCAACAATATTTCTCTCATTTATTTTCTGCGGATGTTCTCCGATAAAATGACTAACCGTTCTTTGTTTCTCTACCGTCCTCGAGCCAAGCGATCTTTCGGTATTCAAGTCCGATCTCTTCTGCTGAAAACTTTGTATTGTGTGAGTATATCTTTTTTTTTTTTTTTTT